GAGGTGACTTTTAATTGTTTCTATCTTCTTTCATATTATTGAACTTTGCTTTCTTGTTTTTAACTCTAAATCTGTGTTCTTAATTTCTTATTCCTTTATTTTTAATTCTTTCTATGCAGCTTGCCGAATTCCAAATGGGTCTTGCAAAACTTGCTCTTGGTTCAGGGAATCTGTCATCTTCGCAGGTCTAGTCATGCCTATGTGATATTTGACCAATCGGAGTTATAGAAGTAGCACATGTTTTATTTTGTCTCCTTCTGTAAGAAGGGCCAGCAAGAGACATCCTTGTGTCATTTTAATTTTCTAATGGTACTGCTGCTTACCATTGCCGCAGGTCTTTGGAGCCATCAGACAGGCCATGCAGCGTGCACCTCACTATCCGGAATGCCATAATTTAACTGGGCTAGTCTATGAGGCACAATCCAATTATCAGTCTGCCGCTGCTTCTTATAGATTAGCACGCTGTGCAATCACCAATTTGTCAGGCAGTGATAGAAAATCTCATATGACGGATATATCAATCAATTTGGCTCGATCACTTAGTAAGGTAACACATATAATATCTTTTCAGTATCTGTTTTTGATCTGTAAGGGTGTAACCCTAATTATGTGTATACACATGCATACGATCGTACATGTTATCCTAATGCAAGTGTTGCTTCATATTTCGTTAAACATTTTCTGAAAAATGCTTCTCTGTGATGCAGGCAGGGAATGCTCTAGATGCTTTGCAGGAATGTGAAGATTTGAAGAAAGAAGGTTTGTATTAAGTATGCTTACATATGACCTTATAACAAGGATGGAGATAATGTATTAGTGGCTGTATGCTTTCTTGTTCACATCAGACCAACATTTACTTATAATAGAGGATGTTTAGAATTTTTACAAGTTGCCTTCAAGGATCTGTATTGTTGCTTCTGTTCATATGAATAATTTTGTGTCTGACTTAAAGAAGAGCATGAAAAGGCTTTCTTAAGAGCATCCTTGGATGTGGTTGTGTTCGATTACATATTGAAAACTTGTAAAAAAAAAAATGTCACTTTGTTGACTCTTTTTTTTCTGGTGTCCTCCATGTTTAAGGGTTGCTTGATGTGGAAGGTTTGCAAATATATGCTTTCTCCTTGTGGCAACTTGGTAAGACTGAACTGGCCCTCTCTGTGGCAAGAAATCTGGCAGTGAGTGTCTCTACAATGGAACAAACATCTGCAGCTGCCTCTGTTGTTTTTATCTGTAGATTCCTGTATCATATTTCTGGACTGGATTCGGCAATCAATAGCATTCTGAAGATGCCAAAGCAACTGTTTCAGAGTTCAAAGATCAGTTTCATAGTATCTGCTATTCATGCTCTAGATCGAAGTAATCGGCTTGAGTCTGTTGTGTCAAGCAGCCGTTACTATCTTAAATCTCATGAAGAGATAACTGGAATGCACTTTTTGATAGCACTTGGTAAACTAGTAAGTTTATTATTCCAGTAACCTCTCATGTTTGGTTGGGATTTGCTTGTTTATTTATGATTTGTGTATGATAAGTGATATTGCAATACTCTGGGTTGTTTTATGCAGGTAAAACATGGATCAGAACACCGTTTGGGATATCAAAGTGGAATTGATCACCTTAGGAAAGCTCTTCACATGTATCCTAACAGTAGCTTGTTAAGGTATCTCCAACAATCAACCTCATGGTTGAAACCTGATTTCTGTATAACTGCTGACATTGCCAGTAGCAACAACTGTAAAGGAATTAACTAACAGAATGACCACATATGGTATAGAGGTGTCTTAGTTTTAAGATTCTGGTGGTATTTTTGGTGGATTTCTTGTTCACTGATTGTACACATTAGTTTTTCTTTTATAATAAAATTGTTGTTTGTTATAAAAATTAAAAAAGAAAAAAAAAGAAAAAAAAAAGAAGCATCTGAATTTTAGTGCAACTTATTGGATTGAAACAAGAGATTTTATTGGTCAAATCAAAACCTTCTGTATTTATTCTAGGCAGCTAGGTTGGCATTGTTATGGTTCACTGCCATCTAGTTTGTAGAATGATGCTTTTGGTGTCAACCTAAGCTTCTTAATGCCTTGCCACTTCTAGTTATTATTTTTAGCCTTCAAACATTCTTCTGACAAACTTTTTTCGAACAGGAACCTTCTTGGTTGTCTTTTGTTGTGCAGTGAAGAATGGAATGATGCCCACATTGCAACTAGGTGTTGCGACATAGACACTACTAAGCCAAGTAAAGGCGGTTTAAAATCAGCATATGAAATTCTTGGTGCTGGAGCAGTCGCTTGCTATGCTGTTGGCAATTGCAGTCCTAAGTTCTCTTACCCAACATGCACATACCAGTGCCTGAATGAACCTGGAGCCATCCAGCAACTACAGAAGTATTGTAACTTATTCCTGCCTCTGAATTTGAATTCATTATATAACTTCTAAGTAAAAACTCTATGCCGCTTTTAGATTTTAAAGATCAATTTCTCCTCTAAGGAAAAAGAGAAAAAGTATAATCATTCCCTCCCCTTGCCTTTTTGACTGTTTGTGTTAGTTTTGCCTTTCATAGCTGTTTTCCTGTATGTTTTTTATATTGGCTACATAAAAACATGATGAATTAGACTATTGGTGTTTCTTTCCCGAAAGAAATTTGCCTGTTTTTGGAACAAAAAAATATGAAGGTGCCTTTTATTTTAATATGGGCTTATTGCTTATGCTTGTCTTTTCCATATTAAAGTTAACATGTTTTGCTTCCTAGTGAAAAGAATCACAGTTCTTGTCTTATATCCACAGATGTTTACGCCGAGAACCATGGAACCAGAATATAAGATATCTGCTTGTTCTCAATTTACTGCAGAAGGCACGTGAAGAGAGATTTCCTTGCCATCTTTGTATTATACTTGAGCGGCTAATAAGTGTAGCTCTTTCTGATGAAGTTTATCATAATACGGGCATGTCTTATGAATATAAGAAATTCCAGCTTCTACTTTGTGCTTCTGAGATCTGTTTGCAATGTGGTAATCTAACTGGCTGTATCAACCATGCCAAAAACGCTTCATCGATTATGCTTCCCGATGATTATCTTTTCTTTGCACACTTGCTATTACTCCGTGCCTATGCCTTAGAATGTGACACTGTAAACCTTCGAAAAGAGTATATAAGATGCTTGGAGCTCAAGACAGATCATCATATTGGTTGGATATGTCTAAAGTTCATCGAATATCGTTATGAATTGCAAAGTGATTTGGATATTTTAGAGTCTAGCTTCAAAGAATGCTCAAAGGAGCGAATGAATTCATGGAATATGTGGAGGGCTCTATTCATTCTGGTGCAAGGCTTGATATCTATATGGAGCCAGGACATTATTTCTGCTGAACAGTTTTTTGCACAAGCTTGTTCATTGGCGGGTGCTGAGAGCAGCCTCCTGCTTTGTCATGGTATTTGTCTGTTCATAGATGGGATTTTCTTTTTCCTCTAATAGGTCCTACTAATCATTAAATTTAAGACTCCATGCTTTAGTTAATTTTTTTTGGGGGTAACAGTGCTGTTGTTTAAATTTGGCATGACATGTTCCAACTAAATTAGATAGCCTAAAATTGGATAGACGTCTTGTTTTCCGGTAAAAAGTATATATGATGGTTCTTACTGCATATTCTACAAGTGGGTGCTAGATAGATTTGGTTTCCGGTCATTGTCTATGTATGCCTGATTTTGTACAATAGCAAGGGTGGTAGAAGTTTTGTATAACTCCTTTAGTGCAGTAATTAGATCATTGATGGGTCCAGGTGCCACCTGTATGGAGCTTTCTCGCCGGGGGTGTTCTTCGCAGTTTTTATCACTTGCTGTACGGAGTCTCACCAAAGCTCAAGAAGGTCCTCTCATTCCCTTACCGATTGTCTCAGCATTGCTAGCTCAAGCAGCAGGAAGTCTTGGTTCAAAAGAGAAGTGGGAGAAAAACCTCCGTCTTGAATGGCCTACTTGGCCTCAAGGTATGATATCTGTGCGACACATTGGTGTTCATGTCCTGATGATTTACTGTTTTTTTATTTAATTTTTTTTATAATCCAGCTAGAAATAAGCTACTGATGCAGCATCATTCACGTGCAAATCCGTTTTCATGCTGAATGGTAGAATTATGTGAAACCACTGAGAATTCCTTATTGGAGAAAACTGACCTCTTTCCCTAAGAGTGGCTGTCTGGTTTTATATGATGTATAGTCCATAATGTGTGGACGTTTTTAAATCTTTTGCAGAAATGAGGCCTGCAGAGCTGTTCTTTCAGATGCATTTGCTTGCAAGACAGACGAAAGCTAGTTCAGACTCTTCCAGAGTTGAGTTTTGTCAGAGTCCGGAGAAGTGGGTTCTTCGAGCAATTCACACGAACCCTTCTTGTATGAGATATTGGAAGGTTTTGCAGAAGCTCGTGGAATGAGTTGCAAACGGTGAAGATTTTGCATGCATTTTGTATCATGCATTATATATAGTACACCTCCTACTTCAGCTTAGCCTTGGTGTTTAAAATTTTTACTCAGCTAATTTTTCGTTGTTGTGTACCATATCGAGAGCTGCCTAATCCTAAATGCTCCCAGTTTTTCTGACTTTTGTACAATATGTCATCAAGCTGTCCCCAATTGTATGTAAATATGGAAAGTTTTTTGGGTAGCTTGTTGCTACAGAGTTAGGTTAATTAAGTCATTACAGGAATAGCATCCTTTGTAACATCAAATTAGATTTAGGAATTGTATTGATGATACTCATGCTCTACTAATACAGTTATTTTAATGATTTTTCTGAAGTAGATTGTGGCTGCTTTACCTGAAATATTTTTTTGCAGTTATAACTTAGCCCACTGATGCGATTTTGTAATCTCGACTTTATTCGATTTCTTACGTTGAAAAAATGATGTGAAAATTCACAAGCAGCACACCTGTTCCATTCTAAGCAAATGATGTTCAAACTTACTTTGCTAAGATTACAAAAATTCTAGTTTTAGTGTGGTGATTGGAAATTATGGCCTATCTTCCAAGACTGAGTGAGGTGGTTGAGTGTTGGAGCTCATCAGCATCAGATGGATCCCAGTCCAGTGTGGAGGAAAGAATCTTGGAGAGTGTCATGAAGGCTTCAGCCATGGTGGGGCGAGAGTTGATCTGAGTTGCAACGCAGCTTTTAGCCAACTGGGCCATGGAAAAAGCGAGATCCAAGGGGTACTCGCGCTTAAGAGAAGGATCCATAAAGCCTTCAAGTTTGTCTCTAACATGGTCTCCTTCCAACACCCCACTTATGGACGCAGATAGTAACAACTCTTGATCATCTCCTGAACCACCATTATTAGAGGCGGGAGCGGGAGCAGCAGCTTCTCTTCCAGATAAGAGCTCCAACAAGACGACCCCAAATGCAAAGACATCTAGTTTAGGAGTAATGACCCCGTTTTGGATGTACTCTGGCGGCATATAGCCATGAGTGCCCACCACATGTCTGGTGAGTTGGAGTTGGTCTTGATTGTGATTGTGACTGTGGGAGACGAGAAGGGGTCTTGCCAAGCCAAAATTGGAAAGCTTGGCCCTCAAACTGGCATCCAAGAGGATGTTGCTGGTCTTCAAATTGTTGTGGATACAGGGAGGGTGGGTGAAGTTGTGGAGATAGTTGAGAGCATCAGCGACGTCGTGGGCAATCTGAACCCTCTGCTTCCATGACAGTGTAGTAGGAGAATGAAGGCAGTGGGAAAGAGAGCCAGAGGGAGCATACTCGTAGACAAGGTAGGTGTGTCCCTGGTGGACGCAGAAGCCAGAGAGCCTGATGATGTTGGAGTGGTTGATCCGCTTGAGGAGGTTGATCTCGTCTCCAGACTGTGAGACATCCCCTATCACCACCTTGATGGCGGCATCGTCCCCCTCAAACGATCCTCTGAACACGGATCCTTGAATTCTGTTGGCTTCGCTGAAGAATTGGGTGGCCCTCTGCAGCTGCTCCAATTCGTAAAGGGTCAAGGACTCAACAGCATAGCCAAGCCCTCTAGAAGAAATGGTGTCGGATGAAGGTAGTGGCGAGGTTGACAAGTAGTCTGCGATCTTACCAGGTCCAGGTCCAGGTCCAGGTCCAGAAGAGACTTGTAGTTTGGAGTTGGGGGATTCCGTAGCCGCCGCCGATTGGTAATGTTGACGACGACGACGGCGGCGTAACAGGAGAAAGACCGTAATAACGAGGAGGAGGAGGCAAGCGGCTGCAACGCCGACACCCACTAAGATAGGTTTGTTGATTTTGCTGTTGTTGTTGTTGGAGTTTGGAGGTGGAGCGGCGGATGGAGGAGGAGGAGGAGAAGAGCGTGGTTGCAGTTGAGCAGGGGTAGGTTGGGAAGTGAGAGGGATCAGAAGTTGGGTGAAGGGATAGATGAGGTCGTTGGAAGAGAGGCGATTGGCTTGGAGCAAGGTGGGTACGTCTAAACCGAAGCGTTGGGCGATGGTAGTAAGGTCGTCTCCCCAGGTGACCAGGTAAGAGAGGAGGAACTTGACCCCAGCGGCGGTCTGGTTGGCGGTGGGGCAAGCGCACCTCAGGGGGACTTGAAGAGTGAGGCCCACCGTGAGGTTAGTGTCGCGGAAGGGGTTGTGAGCCATGAGGGCCTGGCAGGTGGTGAGGCCCTGGTAGGTGTTGTTGGCCACTCCGAAGTAGGTATCATCGGAGCTTTTGAGCACATAGGAGGCGTTGTGCTGGTAGTAAGAGGAGGAGCAAGAGCAGTTGACGGGCACGAGTATGAGGGTGTCCGTGGGAATGGGCTGAACATCGGAGATGTTGTTGGCTGCAGCGATGCGGGCGGGTTCGGAGCCCAGCAGGTAGGCGATGGAGGTCGGGGAGTCGTAATAAGGAGGGATGGAACGGAAGGTGAGGTAGGAGAGGCATGACGATGCGACGCCGTTGCAGACATAGCCGTCGGTGGTGTTGTAGTGGTTGTAGCAGTCGAGCTGTTTGTTGTCCACATAACTCTGCTGCCCTTGCACTTTAATCAAGATAAACACCACCACCACCACCACCACTACCATCCAATTCATCTTCAAAGGAATGGCTAAAGCTATAAACACAAACAAAATTCTTCATAATTTTCTGAGAGGCACCGTGAGGCCTCAATTATACAACCATTCAACGCGTCTTTAGTTGACCACTTGACAACCTTTATTTATTTATTTATTTTCATTTGACCTTAAAAGTCAGTCCACTCTTCAAACCCATCATTTTGATTTCTGCCAACAATTACCATTTTGGTTTCTTACTCCATCGTCATGAGACCATGGCCATGCGTACAAAATGGGCTCCTCCCTCCCTTTCCCGTGATTTTCTCACTTGAATATCTTCCAAATTTTCTTCAAATTTGATTTCACTTATTAAGGTATATAATGGTCTCTTATAGCTAGGATTTAGATTTTAGCCCAAAATTTGATACTTAAAACCTAAAATCGAAGCGATTAACCAATCCACTAATCCAATATTTGAAACCTAAAATATAAGGTTAATCGTTGTTGAGGCTCAAAAAATCTAAAGCTAGTCCCAAACATATTCTCGGTCTAGTGCAACACCTTACTGAGTGGAAACCCGATTTGGGTATGCGAAAGTTCATCGTATGCTCTCGCACAAATCACGATCCACGTGCCATGCAAAGTAAATATGTAACCTGTCACGCTAAGCATTGTAACGAGCTTGTAAAATGTACTGGCTCTATGAACTCATGCTTATTATCCCGTCAAAAGTCATTTTGACTCGACCATAGCCCTTTACAATATAATAAAATTCGAGCACGAGCACGCCAAATAACATGCAATGCCAAGCGCAAAACCCTTATTCTGCACCTAGCCATGCTACAAGTTTAAGTGGACCCAAGCCACGTAAATGCCCGAGGCTTGCTAAGTGGGTTGTGGTATAAATGGTTACGACAATTCATGAGGCCCATTGATGAGCCAAGAAGTGGAAGTTTTGTGCTGCTTGGGAGCCCCAAAACGCGAGTCCATTTCTTGAGCCTAAATATGTGGGTAAGCATGAAAGAAAGGAAAAATAGCCCATCACCTCAGAAAAGATAGCCCATCTCCTTAGTAAATTAGCCCATCACCTTAAGGAGTGGCTCAAGCAACTTAGAAAATATTTGAAAGTCTCCAGCATATAGCCAGAGACAAAACCAAGATAGACCATCTGAAAAAACCAAAGGATACTTGTGTGTGCAGGTTGATAGGAGCAAAACACCATTCAGACCAACACTATTAGCCATTTTTTTCCCCTACCAGCTATTGCCATAAAATAAGGGAGGAAAGAATGAGAGAGAGTGATTTTCATAGGGACATCTGCGGGAAGACTCTAGAGCTCCCTAAAATCTTGTCTCTGTGTGTTTGGATTAAGGGGATTTCACAAAATAGAGATGAATCAAAGGAAGAGAAGAGGAATTGAGGGGGAGACTTAGCAGATTTGAGAAAAACCAGCTAGGGTTTCTTAGGAAGAAGGAGCTTCCAGCGCCTATAAAAAGGGGCATCTCCTACCCATCATTTGAACCACATCCAGAGAAAGCAAGCATCCTCTCTCACTACTGGAACTCTTCAATTTCGAGCTTTGTTATTCCATTTCTTCCCTTTTTCTCTTCTGGCAAAACACTCAAGAGTGTGACGAAGCTTTCGTCAAACCGCTGGAAGATTTGCTCAAGCTACCCATTCTTCCACCCCCATCTTTTCCTATCTTCCCTAAACAAATCCTTTCAAAACTCCCTCTTCCCTTACTTTGAACCCCTGTTTCTCATAGGAAATCCAAGCCTTCTCTCTCTAATGCTAAACTCATGAATGCTCAGCTTCCATGCCACAAGTTTTCAAGCTAAGCCAAAGTATTTATTTGTAAGCAACTATTGATTTTGTTGGTGAAGGAAACTAAGGTGTTTCCTAAGGCTTCATGAACATTTCGAAGCACTCTTGGGGCCTAATTCTTGAACTTAGACACAAGGGCAACTCCACCTATTTGCTCTTTACAATAGTCTAGGCTCATTTGTAGCTATTGGAACAAAAAAGCACATACAATCGTTTTATTAGTTTTTGAACTTAGAACTGATTTGCATTTGAGTCCCTCAATCTCCAGAATCATTCCTGTGGTCATTTAACTTCACTTTTGTTAGGACAAATGGTCATACCATCAATTTTGTTAACTTTTTCTATTAAATGCAGGGGCAAAATGATATTTTATATTAAAAAAAACTTTAAAATAACAATTTTTTTTTTTTTTTTTTTTTTTTTTATAAAATTTGTGTGGGAGTAGAAATCAAGATAGAGGGGAAGAGAGAGAGTTTAATTTTAATTTTATAATTTTATAATTTTTTATTCATATTTTAATCAATTTAATACAAAAATATCATTTTACCTCTGCATTTAAAAATGAACAAAATTGACAGCAAGACCATTTGTCCTAACGAAACTAAAGTTGAAGGACCACAAGAACGATTTGGAAATTGAGGGACTCAAATGCAAATAGGGTCTAAATTTATTGACTAATAAAACGATTAACCCTAAAATATAAGTTATAAATGATAACATCGGTTCCCTTTTTGCATCTTCATCACTCTAACACCCTACTAACTTGAACAATGAACAGTAAAAAGATAAGTTTCACTACATATATTTGTTAATCAGAAATTTTACATCTCCAGTCATTTATTATTAGGTGAATAAAATTCTATATGCCTCAAAAACAAAATTCTACACACTAGAAAGTCAAAACTAGGTTCCCCTGATGATCATCACTGCAGTGAACTAAAAAACTACCACCATCTATCATTGAGCAGGTCAGTCGCACTTTCTTTTGTGGGCGCATCTCCTGCACGCTAATATACCAGCCCAAATTACTCCTATCAAAGCAAGGACAAAAGCTGCAACATCGAACGCAAAAATATAACAATCAGGACAGCAAACACAGATAAAATTAAATAAAGTTGCAATCAATTGAGCATAATTTGATGGTACCCCTTAAAAAAACGACAAACAAAAAATTGATTTGATGAAAGAAATGCACATCCTAATATTAGACCACCTGAATCCCTTATATATTAAGTCTATTTAAATTTTATAGTGAAGCCCTATAAAATTCTTTTTCTTTTTCTTGTTCCATTTATCCAGTCCATATGATATAAAGAGATTTTGCCGAAAACACTGAAATTTTCCCATGCAGTGTAGAAAAAAAGCAGATAGGCACATTCCATGCAAGAAGCATTCAATAGTAAAGCTGAAAGTCTCAGATAAACATACTCGCTGCAGCACAGTAAGCTAAAATAGCCAGGCGATATCTAACAATCCATGGTAGAGTGCTTTCAAGAGTGCAGTGCCTGTGATGCTCTCTTGCTTTCTTGGTGGTTGAAGAGGTGGAATTTCTTGCTTGCAGTTCCGATAGCGATGTAGTTACACCTGTCACAGGATTTCCGTTTATATCCCTGACTTGAATTTTCAATGTCACAGGAGTCGCATCCCAGTCTATCTCAACTGCTCCGAAATTAGACATGCCTGAAGAAAATACACATCCAGAAAATAAAAAAACCTGACATGTTCCGCCAGGAAACTCAGATATGTCAAATTTAAAATGACAAGCATACCATATGTGCACGACCTGTATCTGCAGTTTTGGTCCGTAACTCTCATAGTGTTAGGAGTTAACCATGCCAGAAATCTCACAAAGAAATGTAACGGTGGTGGGACTACCTTCTCAACTGCTTGGGTTATCCCACTTGAAGTAACATCATACAATGGATATCCAGTGGCACAATCATAACGTGTAATTTCTCCAAAGTGAACATCTCCACTTATGAAAAACACTCCATCCCTCTACAAGGAAAAGGATTTGTAAAAGAGCTGATCTAAGCATCCTCTCCTCTCAGACCAAGTTGTAAAAGTAAAAAATAAATACCCTGCTTCATGCATCTGCTGCTTGTATCTTAATTAGAAATCGCTACTGAAAGAAGTATAATTGAAAATATGCATCATGGAGCATACATATACCACCTTACTATCTGCTATCAATTTAAATAGCCGATCTCTCTCCTTTGGAAAACGTCCCCAAGACTCCATGTAAAACAATGGCCCAGTGGTTGCTGACAGATTTGATATTACCTGAATTGGGAGAAAGATAATTACTGAAACATATGCATTATTAACAAAACTTGCAGACACCATAGGCAAATCCAAACAACCCAACTAGCCAAGCATTAGGGAGTAGCACACAGGTAAATTAATTACATAGCTAACAGCTTTATGTAGAACAATGTAGGCATAAATTAAGGTATAGAAGATCCAAGCATGGTACCAACCTACCTAATATAATGCTGGCATAAATTGACAGCATACCTGTATAGAAGATCCAATAATTGTAACGGCTGTTGGAGAATCATTCAGCTCTTTTTCTAACCATTCCCACTGTGAGTGTCCCAAAATAGTTCCATCACTACGTAAAGGGTCTCGGTGGTACCTAGTATCTAATAGTATAACCTGAGGAAGTTTATTGCCCGTAATTAGAGCAAAACACAATTTTACTGAAAACGGTTGTTTGCTTACTTGATAGGCTTTCCTGGGAAAGCCCATTTGAATTCCATATGAAGAAATGTTTCAGACAGATACATAGAAGCTTTCACTTGGATACCTTGATTTGTCTACCCATGGGGCCAAGTGTGTAAGACGCATAAACTCCGTCTTGCTTGCGCCTACAATTGAAGCAAAAAAATAATTCAATATAATCAGCAATAATTAGGTATTACGAACAACTACATTGCAGTTCACCACAATTAGATAAGAGTTAAAATTAATGATGTTATTCATACAAAGCGAATGAGGCTTTAACAATGACAACATCAGCATCTTTGGATATCAGTAAGGCCACAATGACAATTCTACAAGGGGAGAACAGTTGCTCACCGTGGACTATGTTCCGGCTCATCCAAGAAATCAAGGAGAAGCCTTTGATTAGTTATTTTCCCGGAAAATTCTTTTCCTGCATCATTTAATCCATAATCGTGGTCATCCCATGTGCCAATTACCTACAAGATTGACACGCTACTACTTAGAACGAAGAATAATTATATAAAAAAGGAAATACGTATGAGCAAGAATAAGGATCTCAACAACTATTCAGTCAGATAAGTGAGGATGAAACACCTTAGTATTCTCTCGAAGACGAGAATAACCGGGGTTAGACTTGGCTTTCTCATATCTAGACTTCATTTCCTGCTCAGTAGAAGGAACAAATCTTGGGGCATTCTTCCACGGCCCAATTGTTCTTTCTTTTCCGAATAGTTTAAAAGGACGCCTAATGTCTCCATAAATGTTATCACCAAGCCAAATGAAAACTTGGGGATCAAATGAGATTATTGCATTCCAGATGGGCTGCACAAAACCGAAAATTTTAAGTTATCCTGAGAAACAAAAAAGAAGTAAATATATTCACAAAAGTTTCAGAGATGAAATTTCATTGCGTGGCAAAACAAATTGATAGATGATTTGATACAATATAATACCATTTGAACAGCTAAGTAATAAGCAACAGTTGCAGTAGGGTTCACTAGCAGAAAGTAAAAGCAGGGACAATGTGCAGAGGAAGATTGCCTAAACGTCACCTATCAATGGCCAGTTGGATTCAGATTTCGTTATGAGGAGATTGCCATTGTGGTCAAACTGAAGAGTGGAAGTGGGTTCATCTCCAACTATGTGTTCTTGAATTGTTTTTGGCATTTGGCAGACTTATAAATTTGTATAAATTATTATAAATTAGGAAATCATAACTGATTAAGTGTGAGTCAAATAAGCACTGTAATTAGAGAAACATGTGTTGTCATCAAAATTAGTGTGCCAAAATGGCAAAGCTATTGAGAGGTGAGAAGAAGAAAAGGAAAAAAAAACAAAGAGCAGAGTGCAGACGGACAGACAGACCTGAGGAGCGCTTTGGTTGGCACATGATCCAAACGCAATACGAGTAACCAGAGGCTGCTGCTCGGAAGGGACGCCCCATGCCACCACTCCAATCGCCGTCACTGTCAACATCCACCACCACTTCCAAACCATCTCTCTCAACTCTCAATTCTCAATTCTTAATTCTTAATTCAACTCTCAATTCTCATATGAGCAGCCACTAACTCTGGGATTCTCGCGTAAATATGAGGATTCTTTCCATTCTTAACCAATCACCTTATTTATTTCTTGAAAATTGCCTTATTTCCATAACAAGAGCCTGAAACCTTCCGATCAAGAAAATCCAATAAACTAATATATTAAGGAAAAACTTCCATTAAAGAATTCTTACATGCTCTCCTTTGCCTTTGTTTTTTTTTTTTTTTTTTGGTTTTGGTTTTTTTAGGTGAATTTGTACCCATTTTGTCACATTTTTAGTCCTTACATGTTACTTTTTCTTTGTTAAATCTAGGGGCAAAATAGTCATTTGTGGTCCAACCCTCATCACTCACACCAACTCCACCACTCCATATCCAAACTCACCATTCCCACCATCACCAGCGAAAAACAATCTCACGACCCCATCATCATCATAATCATCAATTTCAACCCTTCCACCTCCTTAGCCAATACTAGAGAGACAAAGAGACGTAGAGATATGGATAGAGAGAGACACAGAGACAAAGATGGGTGGTGGGGAGGTGCGTCAGGCAGAGGGCGTGGGACTGGGTGGGTGAGGGGATGAGAATGGGTGTCGTGTCTGTACAATGGGCATGTGCGATGGGTTGGGGATGATTGGGTGGGGGTGGCATCGATGGTGTTCGTGTGCTGAATAAAGGGGTGGTCGGCGACTGTGGCTTGGTGGGGGTTGGGGCTGCTGGGAAGAGGAGAGGGTTGCTGATGTTTTGACCATTAAAAAGACTGTTTTGCCCCTAAATTTGACAGAATATTTAACGCTGGACTAATAGTGCTAACCGAAGTGCAGTTGAGGGACTATAGTAGTCATTTTGCTTATTGGAGGACCAAATGCAAATAGGGTAAAAATTCAAGAACTAATGCTCCTTAAAACTCTTTTTAAAAAAGGGAATCATAAGCCAACGGAGTCTAGTCCAGTGAAATATAATTGACTTGTAGCTAATGGTCTTAGATTTAAACTCCAGGTTTCCTTGACAGTGTGTATGAGAAATCATCTCCCCTTATAGCCTTCACTATCACTTGTATTAAAAAGAAATACATGAAATGGAAATCAACTTTGATAGTTAACTTAAAAAAAGTGGCTGACTTGTAACCAAAAGAAATAGAGTTGTTATTGACACTCATAAAAAAAGTAATCCAATATACACTCTTTTTTTTTCTTTTTTCTTTTTGTAAAACACACGAGACAAATTAATCAATAACAATTCTCTGAAAAACACATGAATATTTGTTTTGGTTCAAACACATGAATATGGGGTATGAGTAGAGGTGGCCATTTGAACTGGTGAATCGAGTCGGACCGAGTCTTAAAAAACAAGAAAAAATTTGTATTGACCAAACAAACAAGTCAACTTAGACTCAAAAATTGAGCTGGACCATTTCGTATCATTTCCCAAATGCACATGCAATATTTGGGCGACATATCGCGAGATATTATCGATAGTATTGCGATATGAAACCGAAAAATAAATGAAAAATGTTGAGAAATCATGCTCTTGCTCACGAGAATTTATCAAAAATAGACAAAACTTGATCCCTAATTTCAAAAATGTCAGTTTTTATAAAAAATTTCAAATATAGCAGAAAACTCATCTAAATAGACACAAATGCCATCAAATTTAAAATCCACATAAACCTAAAAAAAAAACCATGTTAAATAAAACTTTGGAATATTTCCTTCAAACACTTTTCCAATCACCTCTCTATTTCTTTTTCATTTCTTTTTTCTTTCTTCTGCCATTTGTCTCCAGCATCACTCCCTCTCTTTTTCTTTCTTCTTCTCTCCATCTCTCTTTCCCTTTTCTTCTTCTTCCGTCTGCATGTCTCTTTTCTTCTTCTTCTCATCTTCTTCTCTCCCATTTCTCTCCAAATAAAATGTATGTATTTGGCAAAAAAAAAAAAAAAAAAAAAAAAAAAAAAAAAAAAAAAGAACCAAAAATTCAGAAAATGATTGAAAATCAATGCACAAGTATAATTTCTTCCTCTCACTCAAAAATGAAACAGAAAAATTACAAAACTTAATGGATACCAAATAAACCTTAGACACATCCAAGTTAGTCGAAGGTCCATATTGATGAACTAATAACATCAGCATGTGATTACATCTTCTGCTACACATATGTCAGAATCATCATATTACCAGACTCGATAATTTTCCAAGCATATCTGCACTAACCTTTGATGTAGGCTCAAAGTGAATTGACGATATTAAATCATAGCACTTTGGATAGGGCTCAAGAGTTAAGTCAGCAAAACCAAAATTGAAATTTTATAAATATAGATGAAGAATAAACAAAGAAACGAAGAAGAAATTGAACGAAGAACCAAGGAAGAACTGCACTCACCGTTTGACTATGGCGGCAATACGTTTGCGAATGAACTCTACGTACAAAGATTCCCAATCTAATAGGGTTTTCTTTTTTAGGTTTATGTGGGTTTTAAATTTGAGGGTATTTGTGTCTATTTAGGTGAGTTTTCTGCTATATTTGAAATTTTTTACAAAAACTGACATTTTTGAAATTAGGGGTCAAGTTTTGGCTATTTTTGATAAATTCTCCTTGCTCACAGGGGGGTATTTGAACCCCTTCCTTTCCCTTCCTCCTGCTAAGCCTTATCCACCCCATTGCAGATGAGTTTGTGAATATAGCTATGACATGTGATATTTATAAGGTCTTTAAAATTTTTGCAAGCTAATATTATCTAGGATAAATTTCCGTATAAAAAAAATTCCCTAAGGATAAATTTAGGCATGTTAATGTTATTTATTATTTTATTATGGAGTTGTTTTTTTGTTTTTGTTTTTGGTGGTTATATATTATGGAGTTGTATTATTATTCACTATTGAGTTTCAATATTATTCATTATATGTGATACTAAGTTTGAACTTAACATGAATTCTTTCTATGTGGTACTAAGTTACTCATATATTTTATCTTTGTTTTTTTTGTTCATGCTCATGTAAGCTTATATATCTTGTCATATGTATCAAGTGTAATATATTGTAGTAAATTATTGTAATTAAAAAATTATGGTGTGTTTAATTTTCTTTCACTAATTAGTACATATTTTCTAAAGTCATAGTGTTTGTCAGGTCGCTACATAATCAACTTAAATCACTCAAACCTACCATGACATGCATTTCCTTCTAATTTTTGGTGAAAAATAATAGACAATTGACTAAGTAAATATCCTCAAGTTTTTCTTACAATTTTCGTATTTTTATTCAATTTTTATTGATATCGATATTTCCTCGATATTTCCATCGATATATCCGTGTTTTTGGACCACCGATATTTCCAAAACCTTTGATATTTTAGACCTTGATTTTAACCCAATTAATACACAAATGTCTTAGTTCCAATTAATACCCAACTAAATAACTACTTTTGCCCAATTTCTTTTTTTTTTTGGTGAACCATATCCATTCTTGTTATGTTACGTATTTCTCTCTTTTCCACCTATTTCTTTAAATTTATCTATTTACATCTCTCACTTATTTTATCTCCTACCTTTTTCTCTATTATTTTATCTATTGTACATATTTTTCTCCTTTTCCAATTTTTCTACACATCATATTTCTCTCTTATTCACACATCTTTATATTTTTTTCTTTCCAAACCGAAAATTGGGCAGAATCAAATTGGAACCGCATAGGTCCAGTTCGGTTCAATTCTTCTAGACACTTTTTATAAAAATCAAACCGAATTGAATCGTGTGTAATTTCCAATTTCGGTTCCACCCCTAGGTACAAGTAGAAGAATGAAATTGATGGCAGGAAAGGATTAGGGCCGAGTTGGGCTTGGCACAACCACATAAAAGTCATTAGACCAAACAAAGCTAGAAAGCCTAGAAACAAACAATTGTTGGGGAAAGATTCTTCAACGACCAGTGCATTTCCCAAATTCGAAACATTTGGGCTTTTAGACCAGACCATAGGAAATACAAATGCAAATGCTGCAGAGCTCAATGTCATTGGGACTGTCAGCGTCTCCGGTTCGCGTCGTCAAGTGTTCTTTGGTCAGGGCTCCGAGCACCACCGTCAACGATCCCAATTCAATGGCAGCAGCTGGTCCCAAGTGGGCCCAGAAGACCATAACTCTTCCTCCGCAGAGGAGGGGTTGTCATCTCATCACCCCTAAGGTACTCTTTCACTCTTGAACCCTAACCCTAACAGCCACAGAGTCTTTTCGATTATGACATAACCCGCTTATTATTATGAAGCCCTTCAATTGAAACAAGTGTTGTGTTTTACTTTTAAGCACAACTTCAATTCAATTATGACTTTGTGTTCAACAATTCAATATCTACTGGTTTCTATTTCAGATAGTGAAGGAAATTGGCCAGGAATTGTCAGATTTCAACTGCGGCCTTGCACATCTCTTTTGTAAGTTAGCGAAGCCCTAAGGCTAAACTAATATCTGCCCCCTTGTCATGTTCAAAGTTCAATATTGCCTTTTAGTATTAACTATTTTTTATTTTACCTTTTGTTTTGAAAAAAAATATATTAATATTCCAGTGCAGCACACTAGTGCTTCTCTTACTATCAATGAGAATTATGACTCCGATGTTCGTGATGATACAGAGACATTCCTCAATAGGATAGTTCCTGAGGTTAGTTTGTTTCCTGTAATGTCTCACGTAGCAGTTGCAGTATACCGTATTCTAAGGACATAGATAATGTGATGTTTCGATGTTTATTTTCAGGGGACATCTGCACCATGGAAACATACCCTTGAAGGTTGGTATTGGATTCATTTGATCTCTTGGTCCGTGGAATACTTTGGTTTTCTCTGTTTAACCCAAATTGTTACTTAACGCAGCATTAACTTGGTTTGCTAGGTCTTCGGGTTGCATTGTATATAATTACATATGATTGATGTTGTACCCAAAATTTCTGTTTGGGTACATATAATTGTGGTCTTATTTATCTGGTTCTTTGCATTCATTCCCAAATGTTGATACTGATTTATGTAAGTTTTTCAGGCCCAGATGACATGCCGGCACATATTAAATCATCAATGTTTGGCTGCACACTGACGTGAGGATACCTTATTAGATCAGTTGAAACTGCTGTTTTTGCTTTGAAAATATGTAGCCTCGTTGGCATTTTCATGTTTCTTGTTCTCAATGCAGGGTTCCAATTACAAATGGAAAGCTTAACATGGGAACTTGGCAGGTCTGTGAAACCAATAATTAACTTTCAGAAGTTTTCTACTTATTAAGAGCCTTATTTCTCAATCTTGTCTTCTGATTTATAGCTTAGCAAGATTTTCATGGATGCTCTGCTGAGTAAATTTCTTGGTCGTGGGCTAATTATTAGCTATGAGAATAGAACTTACAATTAAAAATGCATCATGACATGATTAAGGAAGGTGAACCACAAAGCAGTAAAGAAATTACTAGCTACAGAACAAGTTGTTATGAAATACACTTGCATGCTTTACATTCTTCCTTACTAGAATTGGAGTTTCCATAAATTGGTTTTGATCCTTAATTGAACTATTTTCTATTTAGACAGTACGTAAATTAAAAAGACTAGAAATAGTTGACCCCACAAAAGAAAAAAAAAAAAAAGACAATGTCTTATGTAAATGTTTTGAAGACAGAAGAAGTCAATGGTGAAACATTTTCAGACCTAGCTTTAAGAAGCTGCACTAGGCTGCAATTTCTTGTACTTGAGTATGTAAACTGGGTAAGAATTCATGAGATCTCTGAGTGAGAGATAAAGATAAAAATAGGCCTTGTGCTTAAGATTTTACCAAGGCCTTTTAACTTCCAAGGGGCAGGTGAGGCAATTAACAAATTAATAACTATGGTACTATGAAATTAGCACTATGGTTTTCAATTATTGGTTATCGTTTTTGTTTTTGTTTTTTGGAAAGCTTCAAATACGCAGTGCATGTGCATATTCTTGTATGTTGTATGATGGACAACTAGTTTCCATTGCTTAATTGTTTGGCTCTCTAGTAAAGCAAAATTCCAAATTGTATCTGTGTTATTGATATGTCATATTGCATAATTTTTCCTTGTAATATCCTTCAGGGAATATGGTTGTGTGAGCATCGTGACTATCCTACTGCGCGGAAAGTTGTGGTCACCCTTAATGGAATGTGAGAAGCTTATATTTGGAAGTTTCCTGTTTCATTCATCCAGTGTGCAAATGAAATTGTACTCAAGTAACTTCTCTGGGTGGGTGGGATGTTAGTGTGCTTGCTATTTTCTCTGTTAATGGCAGCTTCCCAACCAGAATCTAGTAATACCTTGTTACTTGTAAGGGATTTAAGCTTTGTTATGCAGACTTGTAGAAAATGTAATGGAATTAATTTGTTACTTATTAGCTATTGCGACAATAGCAGCTGCTTGCCAATTACCACGTCGAAACCTTGCAGGTGTATATAACAACAATGGGTCAAATTGCAGGTATTAAAGTTACATGATTCTGCAGCGGGAGTCGGCCTGATTGTGTGTTTTTTTTTAGTACAAGGGAGGGGAGGGGGTGAATGAATGAGTAGAACAAAGTTAAGGGAGAAGAAAAAAAAAGGGGAAATATCTGAGTTACAAAGTTACTATATAAGTGATGTATATACACACGCGAAGGAATGAATGGAATCAAATTAATTTAACGCATCATGATTGTGAACTCATTAAAGCTGAGAACCCCATCTCCATCAAGGTCGAACGCTCGAATCATGGCCTTGCAGTCATCGATGGAGCGAGAGTCGCCAAGGCGGCTGAGCATCCTCTTCAAGCTGGCAGGGGTTATGCAGCCAGAGCCTTCCATTTCATACATCCCAAAGGCATCTCTGAGCTGCTGATTCTTGTTGTCGTCGTTTGTGGCTTCCATCAACTTCTGGAATTCTTCAAACCCCAGCAGCCCATCTCCATCCAAATCCGAAGCCTCCACGGCGGCCTCCGCTTCCTCCTCAGACAGCTCTCCCCCAACACTCCTCACACAAGTCTGCAGCTCTGCTGGGGAAATCTTACCATCTCCGTTCTCGTCGAAGAAATCAAACATCTTCGACATCTGGAGGTCGCTGTTGCTGCTGATGCTGCTGCATGTTGTTGGGTTCTCAATTGGGCCCCCTACTTCATGATGACCTGCCTCTGTCTTTCTTGGAGACAGTTTACGGCACAATCTTCCCAGGGCGGACGATGATGACTTGGGGGTGATCTCCATTGAAATTGCTAATTTGGTACTTTAATTGCTGCTATGTAAATGCGGACTTTGGTCTCTTCTAAGTGCTCTTCCTGGCTTTGTGGCTTCCTGACTTCTTGTAACTTGTATATGATGCTATTTATAGACGATGAGACCATGGGGATAAAGCAACGATGAAAAGAAGAGGATAAACTTAACCATTATAAAACAGCGGATCCTTGTTGGGGTGTAAAAATAACAAACGTGGAAGCCTCTTACTGATACAAGTTGAGGGATATTTGAGGGGAGAGAGAGAGATATATACATATTCTTCTATTGGGATATGGAATGACAAATTCCGTATTACAAGAGAACACGGTTTTGAGCGGCAAAATCCAGTTTTTTATAATTATTTTAAAATACTTGATAGACAAAATAAAGACATGATTTGCCGTCCCCGCCAGTTGTTTTGGTTTGCTTTTGTGGGTTCGAGGTTTCAGCGCGTCAGGGAAGCTTCCTGCTTGCAGCCTGCAGCGGGTTTCTCTTCTTGGCATTTCTGCGTTTTCTTTATTTTTTTGACAATTTAATAGTCTCAATTAAGGCTTTTTGGATCCTACTAAATTTCTAGACGTGGGAACAGTGTCGTACACTTGATGATACTAAGGGGACAAAATAGAGTATGTCGGCCACCGTCAAACCTGTGTATACAAAAATAGTCTCTCCAAAATGGGACATTTTCTCCACTTAACATCCTCTTTTACTTTTTGATACTTTTTTAATCAATTTTGTTCTTTTTTTATCTTTCTTTTTCCTTGTACAATCACTTACTCATATTATGAAAGAATAAAAATATAAGACTATTATGCATACCTTGCTCTCTGCATATTTATGCTCGTAATGATAGTTTGGTTAGTAGCATTGTTTGGTTCTTCTACCTGTAAACATATTAGCCCCAAAAATTTATTATTTATTAACTACAACAAATCACATACTTGGTAAAAAAAAACTTACAAGAATTTCTTGGGCGTGGGCTAATTATGAACTATGAGAATAGAACTTACAAGTAAATTATGGGCATAAAAATGCATCATGATTAAGGAAGGTGAACCACAAAGCAGTAAAGAAATTACTAGCTGCAAAACAAGTTGTTATGAGAATACACTTGCAGGCTTTACATTTTTCCTTACTATAATTGGAGTTTCCATAAATTGGTTTTGATCCTTAATTGAACTATTTTCTATGTAGATAGAGTATGTAAATTAAAGGTTTGGGGTCATTCTTAATATGGGTGACCGATTTTTAATATCATCATTTTAAACCCTATAGTTTTTAAATTCGGCCAATTTACACCGTCCGTCAAGTTGATCGTTAAATTAGTGACGTGGCAATTATGGTACCCACTTTGATGCTGATGTGTGAATAAAAAAAATAAAAGAAACTCTTTAAAAATATTATTAAATTAGATATGCTTTTAAAGGGAAACATATTTGGAGACTGCATTTCTATAATGGGGTACTTCCTCTTACGGCCCACCCTTGGCCTTGACCGGAATTTCTCATCAGCCTCTTCAAAATCCCCCTGCAATTCAAAGCAATAATGTCCCACATATGAACTCATAATGTGGCATTGCCTGGAAAGATGCTTATCCCAAAATCCAACATATGACGAGGGTATTGAACCTTCAATGATCTAAAGAATAATACTCACATATACACGTGACGCCCAGTCTTCTCATGCTTGTTTGCAATTCAAAGAAATAGTATAGCCGCGCGGCTATACGTGGCAGAATACGAAAAGAAGGGAATAAAGACTTTAAAACTCAGGTTTTCTTTAAAGTCAGGGAAAAAAAGAATTATTAAAAAATAAATAAATAAACCCCGCTTAGGCCGATTTTTCGATTTTTTATTTTTTTCCGACTGCAGCAGCGGCATTGCTCAGCTCTCACAGACTCATCGACTCTCTGGCCTTCCCTTTTCGTACGGCATCAGTCTCAGCCTCCGATGATGTCTTCACTTGGGACGACGTCGTCACGATGCCCGCCTAGGCCGCCTAGGCCGATTTTTTGATATATATATTTTTTCCGACTGCAGCAGCGGCATTCCTCAGCTCTCACAGACTCATCGACTCTCTGGCCTTCCTTTTTCGTACTGCATCAGTCTCAGCCTCCGATGATGTCTTCACTTGGGACGACGTGGTTACGATGCCCGCCTAGGCCGCCTAGGCCGATTTTTCGATATATATATATATTTTTCCGACTGCAGCAGCGGCATTCCTTAGCTCTCACAGACTCATCGACTCTCTGGCCTTCCGTTTTATTGCCAAAGCTTTTCGCGCTTTCCCCAAGGCGCTTATGACGTTGTTGCCAGTTCGTTCCAACCAGCAAGCTTTTCGTACTGCATCAGTCTCAGCCTTCGATGATGTCTTCACTTGGGACGACGTCGTTACGATATCCAAACTGGTTCAGATCTCAGGGGCTACTCGGAAAACATCAAAATCTGCAATCACACTTTCCTTGGTAAGTTATACAATACATTTTCTCAGCTGCCAAACAGAAACAGACCAATTGTTCGTTTTATCTCTCCACAGCCACAGTCCACTCCACATTTTATTGAAACTGCTTGCAGGAATCGCACTCTTAGTTCCTTCCCTTTGTATTCATCGCTGAGCACAGGACGATAGCTGTGGGAAATGTAATCAAAAGCTTAGGGGAAGAACATGGTCCAGGTATAAGGAATGAGCTATGGTTTGTTTCTGCGATTTGGGCCACCTTTTTTTTACATTGGTCTAGGTGATTAAACAGTGAATTATAATCAATTTTTGATGCATCTCTAGCAAGTCATTTTGGCTATATTAATCTGAATGATGAATGGCAACTGGCTCATTGGATTAATTGGTGCTATATATGTATCTTGCAGTGCCTCGACATGGAGGTTCTGTGAAAGGGCTTGATAATGAGGTTTGGAGGGGACACTGTGTGCGCTATAGTGTTGGCTAGAGAGGAATATAAGATTTTTTGTAGGGTTAGAAACTTCAGTGGTAGCATTGAGTCTGGTCGTTTTTTCAATGGTCATGTAGGAAGGAAGCCAGCTAACTCTTTTATTGTTGTTCATTTGATTTTCTTGCAACTTTTCATTTTTAACATTTTTTATGTGTACTTCTTGTTGGAATAGGCTTATGGAGTGCACATGAATGGCGCTGGTGGACTGGTTTGTAACGAGCTTTCATCTCACTTTAAGACATTTTAGTTTCTATTCTATCAGTATTTAGGCTGTCAGTGCTCAGTAGGAGCTTGCTTGAATAGTTTGCTTTTGGTATCTAGAGCCTCCAGACCTTGATGAAATAACATGGGCATTCTCCGACCCCGAAAGAGATGGATTTACATGACATGTTCCTAAATTAGACGGCTCTGGTGCACTTTAATGTCAATGTAATTGGTGAAACTACTTGACCCAAGAACTGGCTGGATTTTATGGTTGTAATCTGAGGCAACTAGAAGAGCAAGGGGTCCTTCCTTGCCTGATATTTAGTGGCCTACTTTAAGCATAACAAATGCAATTGGCAGGGATGTTTTGTTTTGCTATGATTTAAAACTTCCTGAGAGTTTCACGCCTAAGAATCAAGGTAAGACCCTTGGAGCTTAGCTTTTACCTAAAATAGTTGTGAACTGTGCCTTCAGCTTCGTCATTTTTCACCTTTCATTTCATCCTAAACCATCTGCAATTTTCCCCTTATTGAACAGATGGAGAGTTGGAGAGCTCCAATGTTAAAGCTCCTCAGGCGCTCTGTATCCACCTCACCAGAGAGTTGGCCATTCAGGTAAAGTTCCGTTCTTTTCTTAGATTGTTACTCCAATTGTTGTTGTTGTTTTTTTAAAATTAATTTGAATAGAAATTATATGGTGAATGATATACAATTTACTTAAAAGAAAGAAAGAAAGGCTCTTTTCTTTGTTTGTGGAAATTGAATATAGCTGAGCTTTTTGGACTAGAGGATTGATGGTGGTAAGTGAATGTGGCAGAATATGGAGGTCCTTCAGAAGATGGGGAAGTAAACGGGGATAAATGCAGAGTGTGTTGTCCCGACGGAGAGGACGAGTTCTACATCCATTCAATCTCGAGCACCAGTATCAGCACAAATTGTGATTGGAACCCATGGTACAATTAAGAAATGGATGTCTATCAAGAAGCTGGGCGTTACTCCTCTCTCTCTCTCTCGCTTTATCATGCTCGTTTTGAATTATATTTCGGTCATTGATATGCTATGTATATTGGTTTTATTTGCTTGAAATTGTAGATAAACGCTATGTGAAGGGCTTCGTGGATTCATGCTATGAGAGTTGCAAACGTAACTTCTTCACTCCTACCGTCATCACCAACATCATCAATAATAATAATAGAGAGAAAGAATATACTCTCCAAGGAGCAACGCCTAAAATAAGTATGCTATTCAATTTACTGCTAAACTGGTATGACATCATTCTTTCATGCATCATCACGTCTCAAAACAATACCCTCAAAGCTAGCTAGAAATTCATAAAAGTGGAAATTCACGTCTGCTTAACCCATTGATGGATGGAATTAAGCTCCAATAACAGGACCATTGTTTTTCTAATAGGTACAGAATTTACTCATATGCCGAATAACATACACCCAAATATATGAAATCTTCCCTTTGCTTTTCTTTTCACCACATTTTCAAGTAGAACCGGAAAAACATCCTAAATTTTTTAAAACCACGCTGCCTCTCTCTCCTCTGAGCCGTCGCCTCCTCTCTCTCTCTCTGTAATGCTCAACCAGTCCAAAACCAAACTCACAAAAACCACGACCAAAGGGAACCCTACGGCTAAACATTGACATTTGATACCTCTGTAATGTGTCTATGAAATTGATCAAAATGAAAACTTGAGCAGACAATAACTTCTTCTGTAACAATTCCTACTAGTTTGAACAAAGGTTTAAGAAAAAATTTGTGTACAAAATACATGATATTTACTGTCACATACTGAACAAGGTCTTATCAAAACTTGTCAAGTTGAGTGAAAAGATCAGTCACAATAAAATGAGTTAATTTTGACTGCAGAGCTCATACTAATGGCAAGCTGATGTGCAAGAGACTACATATATGAATAGCATCACTGAGCAAATATCATTCAGACTTCTGAGTGTGAGTACTAGAGACTTCAAATGAGATTAAAAAAAAACAAAAACAAAAACAACTGAAAAAACAGAAACCAAAGAATTCTATAACCATAATAGGAAACACAGTGGACCCATAACGCCAAAATCTAAAAGCATTTAATCACTTTATATGAAAAAATAATCAATCAGTGACTATCATCTTAATAAGAAGAAAGTGAAGCCATTAAGGTTTTCATTTTCCTCTTTTGGGTAACAGTTTTTGCCAAATTAGTAACGACAATCCAAATTAGTAAGAGAAAAAGTGTGATTACCAAAAATGAGAATAGAGACCCAGGAATAGCCAATCATTTGCATACCTCATGTAGAATAGAAATCACAGCTATGTTGGTTTTGCCAGCTCCTGTTGGAGCACAAACCTGCAAGTATCAAATCAGCACTTTCACTGCAATGGTTTGGTATTCACATAGTCAACAGAATCAATAACTTACTAGTATATTTTCATTAGTGTAATAAACAGTACGAAATATGCGGCTCTGAATACGGTTCAGAGACTTATATCCACGAAAAGCAGCCTGAGCGAATTCATGTGACTTCGTTGTCTCAATCTGACAGCATAAGACAGTAAACAGAAATAGAGGTCAGTAGGTGATAAAAGAAATAGCAAGCAACGACAATCCTATTTGTTTAACCACCAGAAAACGTGCAAATTATTATGGCTAGTTTGTCAGAGAACTCCAATTGCGTCACAAACTCCATACTGGAAATATATATTCATACAATTATCTTACACACACTATATGCATGTCACCTTTGCTCTTTCGCACCAGCAAGCTCCGTCTGTCTTCATTTGGAAAAAAAAATAGGACACGACCCGCCCTGGCGCCCAGACCTGCCCAGGCCGCCTAGATCCGCCCAGGCCGCCTAGGCGCCGCCTAGATCCTCCCAGGCCGCCTAGACCCCCCTCAACTCCCTGGTGTCGGTGTCCTCCCGCCTAGCGCCTAGGCCGATATCTCAAACACTGCTCAAAACCTGGAACGGCCTTGCTCTGTGCCCTAGACGTTCGTAGTGATGAGTTCGAGTTCGATTCGCCAGAATCTTTTAAGAAACCGAGTCTAGCCGCACGGCTATACTATTTTTTTAAAATTACGCATATACCGAGTAAAGCCGCCCGGCTGTACTGTTTTAAAAATAAAATTAGGATAAAACCTAGTATAGCCACGTGGAAGTACTATTTTTAAAATAAATTTGGGAAAAAACGAGTATAGCTCCAAGAGATATGAACCACCATTCTAACCTTTCTAAGAGAATGGATTCATCTTCATAGGAATCTTTGGATCTACCATATGAACCACCTTTGGCTACGATTTTTTCTCTTATTGTTCCTTTTTTTTGTTGTAAAATTTGAATTTTATAACTATTGTGCACGAATTATAATAATTTAGAAAATTTTGATAAATCACATCAACATGTCATGTGGATATGTACACAAGCAATAAAATAACTTCTCAAGTGAGTCAGCGAATTACTAAAGTATTTTGATGATCACAAATTTATTGATTCAATTTAGCACTCCGGACAAAATTTGTTTTGGTAAGGCTCCATTAACATAATATTTTAAACGTATGGCCGCACGGCTATACCCTTGAAATATCATAATATGAATTTCTCTTCTTTAATTACTTTATTTAGTAGTTATGTTTTAATTATTATTTACTTAGTGAATAATTAGTATTTAAGTATTTTATTAAAGAAAAAAATTAAAAACCAATTACTATTTATTAAGTAATATATTTGTGAAGTTAATTAAAATATTTAACACTAATTATTCACAAAATAAATAATGATTAAAACATAATTACTAATGAAAGTAATTAAATAAGGCTAAGATTTTATTTAATTACTAAAAATAAAATTTAAAATAAAAATGTACTGACCTAAAGATACTGAGTTTATACTTATTATTTAAAAAAACATCTCCCGACGAACTTTTGTCGACACAGGTCTATTTCGGTGCAATTTTGCCGGATTAGACCTCTCCCGACGACATTTCGTCGGCATAGGAAACTTTCCTCGGGAGAGGTCTAATCTGGCAAATAGTTGCCGGCATAGACCTATGGTCTTCTTGCTATTTATTTTTTTTTAAAAAATATAAATTAGTTTCTTTACTTTTATTTTTTGCCCAACTTCTTTAATTTCATATATATGTCATTAAGTAATATGTTTGCCTTTTTTAATTACTTCAATTAATAATTATATTATTATTCGAATATAGATGCTCCGCTATACTGTTTAAATATTCGAATATATTTAGGAATCTCTTCTCATACACATGCAACACACAAACAAGGCATAAATTTTCTCTCAACCCTAAGCGCACACAGAGCAACAAAGCTAGAACGTAAATACATACCATGTCTAATTGAATCATTATCTCAAGGCTCAGCTTTGCTACAGAGAAATCCATATTTTTATTGTTATATTTAAAGCGTATAGCCGCACGGCTATACTGGTAAAGATAGAATATTTTAAACGTATAGCTGTGTGGGAGAATATTTTTAAAGTATATCCGCTCGGCTATACTTTATAAGCCATAAAACAGTATTTTGAAAGAGAGTATAGCCGCACATAAATTCTCTATTTTAAAAGGGAGTATCGCCGCACGGCTATATTCAGTATATTTTAAAGGTATATACTCGGTAAAAAGAATATTTTAGAGTGACTACGCGCCATAAATATAATATTTTAAGAGTGTAGCCGCTTGGCCATTCCGTTTTTAAAGACGTTCTCACAAAAATTCGAGACCCTTCCTTGATGTGTAGCTGAAGCGATGAATGTCCCGATCAATCTCAAAGTAGTTAGGACCCTGCATGTGAGAGAGCTTGAGTAAAGTCAGACAACATGGTTTTTGTGTTTCATCTTCTTAACACTCAGCAACATAAATGTTCAATGTTTACCTTGTAAAAATTGTAACGGGGGCGTGAAAGAACTCGATTGTCATTATATGCATGTACAAGCTTCTTCTCAGTAGAACTCCGACCGAGATCTTCAGGATTTACCACCCCAGTCAAGATCTTTAGTCTTTCTCTGAAAGGTACAGTGGAGTCCTTTTTGAATCCTTTAACTTTTTCCGTCTCATCGTCAACCATTTTCTAAAAGCATCATTCAAATATACCAACAGACTGAGTGTTCCAATAGAACATAAGATCATTTCCATCAGGGAGAGTACATCAGAATAAAGTACATGCCTATCCAAATGGATGAGTTTGCATACAAAATGAAGTTACCTTGATGCTGTCTTGGAATTGAGGAGAGATGTCTTTATTAAAATTCTCAGAAACTTTGAAATACATTACAAGACTCCTCTCTCCATCACTATCACCAAGAAACATTGCAGCAGGATAAGTAGGCAATTGCAACAAGGCTCATCCTCTCTCCATCACTATGTTAGATGTGTGAAATCAAACTTCCAATGATTACTGCATCAATATATTATTTTCATTTCAGTCATATTCTATTGATAAATTTTATCTTTTTGAACCAGAGCAATATCACCAACTCCAAAACTAAAAACAGTATAAGAGAAAACAAATGGCAAATATACTCCAAAGGAAACATATTGTACAAAGATCAGGGCAGTCACTATGGCTGAAATCAAAACTTGCAAGGAATTGTAGGGGTCTAGCTGAAAGATGTGGATGAAGAGAAGAGAGATAGATGTGGAGAAGAGAGAGATACTTTGTAATGCTCAACCAGTCCAAAAAAAAACTCACAAAAACCACAACCAAAGGGAACCCTACGGCTAAACACTGACATTTGATACCTCTGAAAAGTGTTTATGAAATTGATCAAAATGAAAACTCGAGCAGACAACTTCTTCTGTAACAATTCCTAATTTGTTTAAAGAAATAGTATAGCCGGTTGACTATACTCGGCCTTCCCAATTTGGTTAAAGAAAATAGTAATTTTTTTAAAGAGCGGCTATACTCCATTTCTCCCATTTTTTTTTAAAGAAATCGTATAGCCGCGCGGCTATACGCCGTTTTGCATTTGGTTTAAAGAAATAGTATAGCCGTGCGGCTATACTCTGTTTCTCCAATTTTTAAGAAATAGTATAGCCGCGCGGCGATACGCTGTTTAATTACTTAAATAGTAACTTCTTGCCTCTCCGACGGAAAAGCCAATACCAAGTTTAAATCATTGTAATCTAATGATCCTCAAAAACAAATATTTTCAAAAGTCTCACCTTTTTCTTAATCTTCCCGCCTGGAAGACGCTTGACTTCTTCTTGCTTAGGTGCTGAAGTGCCACCACCAACCCCGAGAGAGTGATAGTGGGGGTAATGAAATACAAAAACTGCTACATACATCTATACACATATTTACAGTATTACCTAAAGATATACCAGTAGACTGCAACTGGTTGGCTACTTTATCAGCTTCCTTCGCATTAGCCTCTACCCAAAATAAAAACAAGAATTAAATTATTAACAAAAAAGATGACAAATTTATTAAATATAGCAAGTGAAGAAAACAAAACAGAGCAATCATAAGGAAATAAGAGGTGATGCCAAAATATATTTCACAAAATCTGATGCTATCCAACTCATTAACCAAAAGCTTGAGCCAACTTTATATCCCTCTTTAACTCTCAAATAAATCCCAATTTCTTTGCTTTTCCTCACCCTCAATTGCTTCTGTTTGGTTCTTTTTGAAATTTTTCCTCACCCTCAATATCTTAAAATTTCACTCCCCTAGGCAGTTTAGATAATGATATTCGTCCTACAGTGTAATTTCAGGACTTTTTGATGTTTGAAAAAGATATCCGTTTCTCCGATGATCAATTTACAAATTTTTTAATACTAGTACCCAACTTAATCCAGTTATGTCTATAAATATTACATAAAATGGTTCTTCTGCTTGAGCTTTTAGAAAAATATTATGCAAAGAGGAATTGCTTCTTAACTTAGGCAACAATCCATTTTAAATAATCTTAATCGATTAAATCCTGCCAAGAACTTGCAAATGACAACAGAGCCTCGTTTAAAATTGTATTAACAACCAGAAGCAATAAAACCATGTGCTACCAAATATCTTCATCACTTTCACAAAAGAGTAAGATTTCAAACCCACATAAGCATGTAACCAGATTCCAACTCACCCCGCAGATCAAAAGCTAAGACTGACTTTCAGAGAACCAACACAAAACATAAGCTAGCTAGTAAACTGTTGCATACTCTGTCATGACATCAGCCAAAATAAAATCAATGGAGGAACATAAATTCAAGCCTTAACTCAGGACTAAATCGACACCGCATTAAAAGAGAGAAATTATTGCAAAATTACAAGGGATGAATCTTGAAAACAGTAGGAAACATATAAGACCCGGGTCATCAGTAAAGCACTAGGAAGGATACATAAGCATTGGAGGACATCGGAATACCAAGTGCATTGATATTCTTTATAAGCCATAAACAGAATATTTTGAAAGAGAGTATAGCCGCACATAAATTCTCTATTTTAAAAGGGAGTATCGCCGCACGGCTATATTCTATATTTTAAAAGTATGACCGCGCGACTATACTCCATAAAAAGAATATTTTAGAGTGACTACGCGCCATAAATATAATATTTTAAGAGTATAGCCGCTTGGCCATTCCGTTTTTAAAGACGTTCTCACAAAAATTCGAGACCCTTCCTTGATATGTAGCTGAAGCGATGAATGTCCCGATCAATCTCAAAGTAGTTTGGACCCTGCATGTGAGAGAGCTTGAGTAAAGTCAGACAACATGGGTTTTTGTGTTTCATCTTCTTAACACTCAGCAACATAAATGTTCAATGTTTACCTTGTAAAAATTGTAACGGGGGCGTGAAAGAACTCGTTTGTCATTATATGCACGTACAAGCTTCTTCTCAGCAGAACTCCGACCGAGATCTTCAGGATTTACCACCCCAGTCAAGATCTTTAGTCTTTCTCTGAAAGGTATAGTGGAGTCCTTTTTGAATCCTTTAACTTTTTCCGTCTCATCGTCAACCATTTTCTAAAAGCATCATTCAAATATACCAACAGACTGAGTGTTCCAATAGAACATAAGATCATTTCCATCAGGGAGAGTACATCAGAATAAAGTACATGCCTATCCAAATGGATGAAGTTGCATACAAAATGAAGTTACCTTGATGCTGTCTTGGAATTGAGGAGAGATGTCTTTATTAAAATTCTCAGAAACTTTGAAATACATTACAAGACTCCTCCTCTCTCCATCACTATCACCAAGAAACATTGCAGCAGGATAAGTAGGCAATTGCAACAAGGCTCATCCTCTCTCCATCACTATGTTAGATGTGTGAAATCAAACTTCCAATGATTACTGCATCAATATATTATTTTTCATTTCAGTCATATTCTATTGATAAATTTTATCTTTTTGAACCAGAGCAATATCACCAACTCCAAAACTAAAAACAGTATAAGAGAAAACAAATGGCAAATATACTCCAAAGGAAACATATTGTACAAAGATCAGGGCAGTCACTATGGCTGAAATCAAAACTTGCAAGGAATTGTAGGGGTCTAGCTGAAAGATGTGGATGAAGAGAAAGAGAGATAGATGTGGATGAAGAGAGAGATACCTTTGTAATGCTCAACCAGTCCAAAAAAAAAACTCACAAAAACCACAACCAAAGGGAACCCTACGGCTAAACACTGACATTTGATACCTCTGAAAAGTGTCTATGAAATTGATCAAAATGAAAACTCGAGCAGACAACTTCTTCTGTAACAATTCCTAATTTGTTTAAAGAAATAGTATAGCCAGTTGACTATACTCGGCCTTCCCAATTTGTTTAAAGAAAATAGTAATTTTTTGAAGAGCGGCTATACTCTGTTCTCCATTTTTTTAAAATAAACTATAGCCGCGCGGCTATACTCAGTTTTCCCAATTTTTTTTTATTCTAAGAAATCGTGCATTTTTTAAAGAGCCGTGCGGCTATACTCTGTTTCTCCAATTTTTAAAGAAATAGTATAGCCGCGCGGCGATACGCTGTTTAATTACTTAAATAGTAACTTCTTGCCTCTCCGACGGAAAAGCCAATACCAAGTTTAAATCATTGTAATCTAATGATCCTCAAAAACAAATATTTTCAAAAGTCTCACCTTTTTCTTAATCTTCTCGCCTGGAAGACGCTTGACTTCTTCTTGCTTAGGTGCTGAAGTGCCACCACCAACCCCGAGAGAGAGAGATAGTGGGGGTAATGAAACACAAAAACTGCTACATACATCTATACACATATTTACAGTATTACCTGAAAGAAGAAACGGCTCCATCTCCACCGAAGATATACCAGTAGACTGCAACTGGTTGGCTACTTTATCAGCTTCCTTCGCATTAGCCTCTACCCAAAATAAAAACAAGAATTAAATTATTAACAAAAAAGATGACAAATTTATTAAATATAGCAAGTGAAGAAAACAAAACAGAGCAATCATAAGGAAATAAGAGGTGATGCCAAAATATATTTCACAAAATCTGATGCTATCCAACTCATTAACCAAAAGCTTGAGCCAAACTTAATCCAGTTATGTCTATAAATATTACATAAAATGGTTCTTCTCCTTGAGCTTTTAGAAAAATATTATGCAAAGAGGAATTGCTTCTTAACTAAGGCAACAATCCATTTTGAATAATCTTAATCGATTAAATCCTACCAAGAACTTGCAAATGACAACAGAGCCTCGTTTAAAATTGTATTAACAACCAGAAGCAATAAAACCATGTGCTACCAAATATCTTCATCACTTTCACAGAAGCATGTAACCAGATTCCAACTCACCTCGCAGATCAAAAGCTAAGACTGACTTTCAGAGAACTAACACAAAACATAACCTAGCTGGTAAACTGTTGCATACTCTGACATGACATCAGCCAAAATAAAATCAATGGAGGAACATAAATTCAAGCCTTAACTCAGGACTAAATCGACACCGCATTAAAAGAGAGAAATTGTTGCAAAATTACAAGGGATGAATCTTGAAAACAGTAGGAAACATATAAGACCCGGGTCATCAGTAAAGCACTAGGAAGGATACATAAGCATTGGAGGGCATCGGAATACCAAGTGAGTAGAACTCCAAAAAAGCTATCAACAAGATATGAAGCACACCAGGGTGCATTGATTTCCATATCATGCCAAATACAACCAAACTGGATGGAAGAGAAATCAATATGCACTTGCAAAACACGAGACCACAAACTCAGACAAACATTGATCTCAAAGTCATAAATCAATGGTCCAACAAGTTATAAATTAATCGTAGTTGTGAAGTCAGAGACAGATGTGTGGGTTCACTAATGGAGAGTTGCAGAGCTATGCTTTACACATTTATAGCGTATAGCCGAGCGGCTATACTTTTAAAATTACAATTTATAGCGTATAGCCGTGCGGCTATGCTCTTAAAATATTCTACTTAAAGGGTATAGGCCTACTTAGAGCACTTCCACCCATTTGCTACGGCAGAGGACAATGGGACGCAAGGGCTATTGGTATTCACGTGAATAGTGGCAGCCCTTGCAATAGGCTTGTGGTGTTTTCATCCATTGCCATGGCAACCACTATTCACAAGAGATGTGAGGAGAGGAATTTGTATAGAGTTTTGGTGTGGAAAGTGAAAAATATAACTAAGTATTTATTTTTAAAAAAAATTCTGAAACTTTTAGTATTTTTTTAAATTTTGTATAGATTGTTTTAAATTTTTTTGGTTGCTGACGTTAGCAATACCCAGGCTAGAGCAAGGGCTGATTTTGCCTGAGGGCCAACCCAGGTTGGTGGAGCCCACACCCAGCCCAGGCAAAAAAAGCCCGCTGGAACTCGTTTTTTCTTCTTGGGCCCCCTGCCCTGGTGCTGTCAACCAGTGGAATAGCCCTTAAAGGGTATAGCCGCTCGGCTATAAGGTTATAATATCTATTTATAGAGTTCAGCCTACCGGCTATTCGTTTAAAATTTCTATTTATAGAGTATAGCTGTGCAACAATACGTTTGAAATATATAAAAAAACCTGTCCCGACGAAATTTTGTCGGCAAAGGTGTATGTTGGCAAAGGGTTTAGGGTTTAGTTATGTCGTATTTGTGATCGAAATAGTATAGCCGCTATACTCGAATGCATGCTTATCTCCAACTGTTGTAAACTCAAAATAAAATCAAATCCCATAGGAAGAGCAGTCACTAGTTTAATGGGAAGCATAATGAAACTCATTTCAAAGAGACGTACCGGTTCAGAAGAACATTAGGATTGTAGGGAAACAGATTCTTTTGGTGTAAACCTTCAATAGAAATTTTAAGTGAAAGTAAGCACTCTTTGTTTTCTTTGAAATACTGTCCTCCATTTTGGCATCAAGAAATGTAAGATGATTTTTTGTTGCTGCAAGAGAATCCTCTCCCCAGGAACTCGAGCCACCCAATGAAACTTTTCTTCTCTTGCAAAATGACTGATTTGTAGCTTGCCTACCCACTAGAAATTCCACAAATAAGCTCCATGAATCACACACTTTACGCAAGCACCTAAAAGAGAATGCGTTAAGGACGGTAAGAAGCAAATGAAAGATACAAAGAGTTGCAATTAAAAACAACTGTCTGGGGTCAACGAAATTGATTATTGTTTTGCTAATTAGTAAGAAGTCATGTAAAAGCAGAGTGTTAATGTTTTATAGTTTAGTCACCGAGGTCGACACCGGAAAAATGCAGCCCACCACAGTTTAGATTTCATAAGTTAAGAGAAGGTGTGGAAAGAGAAAAGACCTTAAAAGATATTCTGCACAACTGATTCTGGTATCTTTTGAAATAAGGTAATCAAGAAGCACCTGATGGTCATAGCTCAATTGAAAAATAGGAAGAAAAAAGAAAGTGCACAATGTAAGTGATTCTTTTTTATTCTGCAATACCATATACTTCAAATTAACAACTAGGAGGCATGCCGAAGTGGAAATGCAGATATGTAAATGTCCAAGAGTGAGCATCTTGCCTCTAATAGGAAAAGATGGAACAAGAGTACAGGATTGAAAAGATCTGAGACACGGAAAAGTAAATTTCCATTCGAATCCTCCAATGCAACCTTTTCCTTTTCCTCCCTATATAAACCCAAAAATCTTGTTAAAGGGAATCCATGACGATAACTTTTAAAACAATGGAAAACTAGGATATTAATTCCTTACTGTTCTGCACAACAAGGTACACAAAGCAGATGCAAGAGCACTTTGAATAATACATCATCCTACAGTTCAAAAACAAGCCAATAAATGAGGACATGAGTCTAAAAAACTGCAAGAAAAATACGACAAATGAAGAATACAGAACTGCAATTTTAGTACGTGAAATTGTTGAATAAGATGATGTGCATTCAGATAGACAAAACAAAATATGGATACAAATTTTCTTTTTTTGGGTCTGGGTGAATAGATTGCCTATTTTGCTTATATCACGTTGCATATAAACATAGACAAAAAAAACTCCTAGTTTCAAAGATAAAGAAGACATACCTCTTTGATATACAGTTGGATGAAGGATTCGGCAAAGTCAACACATTCTAAAAAATACATTTCATGGTCCACTGTCATATTAGCTGGAAGATGCCCTTGAAGCCAGTTATAAAGCTGTTAGTGTATTTTGAGTCTGTATATGGGTTTTGGTGAGAATGAAGAAGAGAAGAATGACCAAGAAAAGATTGCAAGTTTTTACTCTGCTATTCGTGTAGCAGAGAACATTCTCATTCTAGAGACTGCAGAATTGGCACAATATAGCTCACACTCTTGGTGTGAGAATATTACCGTTATACATTGCCAGCTGGATGCATTACATCACAACGCAATCTCAGCCTTCCATTAAACTAACCAATCAACCTATGCCACTTGGACTAAAACCAAAATTACAATAAAACGGAAAACAACCAACTATGAAATCAGCTTGAGCACTTATAATTCAACACTCCCCTGTAAGTCTTGAGCTGATTTCACTCCAAGCATGCCTCTGAGATAATTGAATCGATCTTTGGCCAAGGGTTTGGTGAAGATGTCAGCCGGTTGCTCATTCGTGGGACAATATTCCAGATTAATAACTCCTTCTTGCAAAGCATCCTTGATGAAATGGTATTTCCTGTCAATATGCTTTGTCTTCTGGTGGAATACAGGATTCTTAGTGATTGCTATTGCTGAGATGTTATCACAATGCAAAGGAGTAGCTTCAGTTTGAAGCTGTCCAAAATCCTCTAGCACAAATAGTAGCCAAATGGCCTGTGTAATAGCCTCTGCTGCACTAATGTACTCAGCTTCTGAGCATATGGGTGCATATGTTTCATTGTAATCCAGCCCAGGCTTCTGAGCATATCCTTTGGCAACTAACCTTGCTTTATTCTTTTGAACTGAACCATCCAAATTTAGCTTTGTCTTATAGACCCACTTAACTCCAATCACTGGTTTTTCAGATGGTCTGTCCACCAATTTCCATGTTCCATTCTTTTCAATCATCTGCAGTTCATCTTGCATAGCCTTAAGCCAAGATTCATCCTTAGTAGCATCTGCATAGTTTTCTGGTTCTATGATGCACAAGTTACATTGTGCCAACACATCATCTAATCTCCTCCACTTTAATGGAGAATGATCATAGGCTTGAGTTCTCCTTTCTTCACTACTTATATCACTTGGAGTGTGATGTGAAGTTGACAAAATTCCTTCCTGCAGATTCTGAGTTTGAGGTGTAGCCACATCATTGTCATATGAACTTCCAGAATTTGCATCGAAATCTACTTGATTTCCAACTGAGTATGATGGCATGTCTGAACCATTGTTATATGTCCACTTCCACACACCTTCTTCATCAAATGTCACATCTCTTGACAATACCAGCTTGTTAGAAATTGGATCAAAGATCCTATAACCTTTTTCACAAATTGCATATCCTACAAACACCTCTTTTGTACTCTTGGGTTCCAGCTTGTGTCTCAATTCATCTGGCACATGAACATAACACAAAGAACCGAATATTTTAAGATGTGCAATTCCAGGTTTCCTTCCACTATATGCTTCAAATGGAGTGATGTTGCTGAGGGCTTTGGTAGGACACCTGTTCAGCAAGTAAACAGCTCTATGCACTGCTTTAGCCCATAGGAATAAGGTATTCCCTTCTCATGCAACATTGATTTGGCCATTTCAATAACAGTCATATTCTTCCTCTCTACCACTCCATTTTGCTGAGGAGTATAGGCCATTGTGAGTTGCCTTTGGATGCCTTGAGCTTCACAAAACTCCACAAATTCTGCAGACGGAAACTCTCCACCTCTGTCACTTCTGATGCATTTCACTTTGTGTCCAGTTTGTAGTTCAGTCATTGATTTGAACTTCTTGAAACAACTGAAGGCTTCTGACTTGTTTCTCAAGAAGTAAACCCAAATCATCCTTGTGAAGTCATCAATAAGCAACATGAAATATCTATTCTTTGCAACAGATTCATTTCTTATAGGGCCACACAGATCTATATGCACTAATTCAAGTGCCTTGCTTGCTCTTTGAGCTTGTTCCTTTGGAAACACAACCCTGTGTTGTTTTCCCAATTGGCACCCTTCACACACACCACTTTGTTCTTCCAATTGTGGTAAACCATGCACCATGCCTTTCTCTCTTAACTGTTTCAGACCTTTAAAATGTAAGTGACCTAGTCTCTTATGCCACATCCATGTGAATTGAGTGAAACTAGTTTTCATGAGAAGTTGGTTGTCAGCAAGAAAAGATACCGGATAGCATCTGTTACTCTTCATTGGAACTTTGATGATTAGATAATCCATAGATGGACTATCAAACACCCTGCACATTCCTTCTCCAAACACCAGACAGTATCCATGTTGATCCATTTGCCCAACATTGAGTAGGTTTTCCTTCAACCCTGGCAGATACATTACCTCTCTGATGTATTTCCTGCCCTTTTCTGTGTCAATCATCAGATGTATTTCCTGCCCTTTTCTGTGTCAATCATCAGTGAACCAATGCCAGCTACATTTACAAGTGCACCAGTCGGTATTTGCACCTTCCCAGTCACATTAGTTCTTACATCAACCAGCAGTTTTAAATCTCCTGTCATATGATTGCTACAACCACTATCAACACATATACCATTCTTCATTGGCTTTGATCTCAGTGGTTGTGCAATTGGCATAAAACAGATTCCCTGTCACATCCATTTGGTTTACACAATTTTCCTTCTGCACATTCTTACTCACAGTGCAGTCCCTAGCAAAATGTCCAAATCTGTCATAGTTATAGCATTTTGGTTTTCCCTTGTACCTGCACTCACCAAAATGATGCTTTGAACACACCTTGCATTGAGGTTTAGTATTCTCCTGGTTTGTGTAATTGACATTCTGTGCAGGATAACTGCTCTGCTGTGACTTGCCTTTTGATTCCCATGGCTTTCCTTTAGAATTCCAACTTCCCTGTGACTTGGATGAACCAGACTGAGATCCATTTTTATTCTGACCTTTGGAACTCACAGTGAATGAGGCAAATGCTTTTTCATGTGTATCAACATTATGCATTTCATGCCTTTGCTCTTGACTCTTCAAAATAACAATCACTTCCTGCAACTCCACAGTTTCTAGTGCTTTTCTATTTTCAATCACAGGGAAGATAGGATCATACTTCTTACTAAGACTAATTAAAACCTTTTGAACCTGCCTCTCATTTGACAGAACTTCACCAAATGTTTTCATTTGGTTAATCAATTCGGTCAGTCTAGTAAGATAGTCAGATAAGGATTCGTTATCACGCATCCTAGTATACTCAAATTCACGTATGAGGTTTTGAAGTTTTACCAATCTGACATGCTCTCCACCATGATATTCAGCATATAACAATTCCCAAGCCATCTTTGCAGAATCTGCATTAGCAATCCGTGGAAAAATCTGGTCAGAAACGACATTTTGGATGATACCCAATGCTTTCGCATCCTTCATGAGAATCGCAGCTGTTTTCTCATCAACTTCTTCTTCTGAAATATCCTCAGATTCCTTCTTCTTCTTTGAATCCGGGATTGAAAATCCCTTCTCTACCAAACTCCACAAACCATATGATTTGAATATGGTAACCATCTTAATCCTCCAAAATTCATAGTTCTCAACAGAGAAAATGGGGATTATAGCCTTTGAGCTTCCAGATGCAGCCATTTCGAATTTTAGATGCACCTGGAAACAAGTTGTTTTCAGATCGACAATTGAATGAGCTCAATCAGCTTCGTGAGCTATGAATGAGCTTCACCTCGATTGATTTTCTTCACAGAACGAATGCCCAGCTTTAGATAATTGAACCTGGCTCTGAGGCCATGTTACTGTATTTTGAGTCTATATATGGGTTTTGGTGAGAATGAAGAAGAGAAGAATGACCAAGAAAAGATTGCAAGTTTTTACTCTGCTATTCGTGTAGCAGAGAACATTCTCATTCTAGAGACTGCAAGAATTGGTACAGTATAGCTCACATTCTTGGTGTGAGAATATTACCGTTATACATTGCCAGCTGGATGCATTACATCACAACGCAATCTCAGCCTTCCATTAAACTAACTAATCAACCTATGCCACTTGGACTAAAACCAAAATTACAATAAAGCGGAAAACAACCAACTATGAAATCAGCTTGAGCACTTATAATTCAACAAAAACTCCAACAGACCTTTCTTTCTTAGACAGTAACATTAGGCTTCTAGTACTAGAAAGAAATCAATAAAGCAGAAAGGCATTGGTGAGCATTGCCAATGCGCCTCCCTCCACTAACCGACCTCTCCCTGCATGCGTGTTGACGACTAATTTATCCTTTCCTTTTCTTTACCCCAACCAAAACAACCAAGAATTATAAATCTCTCATTCCCTCTTCATTTGCCTCCCAATTCTCACTCTCTCAACAACAGAAACATCGTTTTCTATCTCTTCCTTTCACTCCACACGAAACAAACCCCTCATGTCATATGCCTTTCCTTATTTTGTGTCACCTTTCCTCCTTCTCACACACTATATACCTGTCACCTTTGCTCCTACGCACCAGCTAGCTTCGTCTGTCTTCATTTGGAAAAAAAGGAACACGACCGCCCTGGAGCCCAGACCGGCCTAGGCCGCCTAGATCCGCCCAGGCCGCCTACATCCTCCCAGGCCCCCTAGATCCGCCCAGGTCACCTAGGGGCCCCCTAGATCCTCCCAGGCCGCCTAGGCCCCCCTTAACTACCTGGTGTCGGTGTCCTCTCGCCTAGCGCCTAGGCCGACCTTGCTCTGTGCCCTAGACGTTCGTGGTGATGAGTTCGAGTCCGATTCGCTAGAATATTTTTAAAAACCGAGTATAGCCGCACGGCTATACTAATTTGTTTAAATTACGAAAATACCGAGTGAAGCCGTTCGGCTGTACTGTTTTAAAAATAAAATTAGGAAAAAACCCAGTATAGCCGAGCGGCTATATTATTTTCAAAATAAATTTGGGAAAAACGAGTATGGCCGCGCGGCTATACTATTTTCCAAGGGATATGAACCACCATTCTAAGCTCTCTAAGAGAATGGATTCATCTTCATAGGAATCTTTGGATCTACCGTATGAACCACCAAAATACCTCTAAATAGTTCGGTAAAGTGGCTGAAAGGCCCACAATGCGTATCATTGTCTGTGTAGACTCTACCTGCCACACACACACACAAAAACCACAACAACAACAACAACGACAACAACAAAAAAAACAAAAAAAAACCAACGACAACTAAAAAGCAAACAATAGGTCATAAGCACCTAAATTTTTTGCAACCAACCATAAACTGCATAAGCAACACGTAAGTTGTAACAGACATCTGATAAACATTTTTAAAAATAAACATCCCGCTATCACAATAACCCTAATAAGAAACAGATAATACCTCTCCAACTTTCATGAGCATAAGTTGCAACTGTACAAATGTTCGCAACTAATTTAAATAGTGCGCAAGTTATTCAGCAGAAAGAAGCCAAGATCAGTAATAATTCAGTAAAAGTTTACCTGGCGCAAAGTTCGAGCAACTAGTGCCTCATACCTTCATTGGCACAACATAAACTATCTAAAATTCGTCTTTATGCAAGTAATCGTCTTTGAAGTGCTGTACAATCTGCCACAGAAAATGCCGACTTACCATCTAAATCTCAAAATGGATGATATACTACCATACTGAATATTTTCAAAAACTAAATAGATTGAATTCAACATGAAAATGAGTACATCACCATGACATAAAAGGACTCGAATAACCAAGGCAGCCAAAAGTTAGTTTCCTTGCTTTATTTTGCAAGCTGATATCTTTAACACACTAACCCTCCCAGAAATTTTTTTTTCAATACCAGCTCATATGACATTACAGCCATTCCCATGTCATTTTAACTATGCAATTAACCCAGATTAACTCTTACACAATACAAAAACAAATGTGTGAATTTGAGATCAAGCCAAAGTAGTAAGAGAAAAAGTATGATTGCCAAAAATGAGAATAGAGACCCAGGAATAGACAATCATTTGCATACCTCATGTAGAATAGAAATCACAGCTATGTTTGTTTTGCCAGCTCCTGTTGGAGCACAAACCTGCAAGTAAATGAAAATCACATTCAAGCAGATATCATATCAGCACTTTCACTGCAATGGTTTGGTTTTCACATAATCAACAGAATCAATAACTTACTAGTATATTTTCATTAGTGTAATAAGCAGTGTGAAATATGTGGATCTGAATAAGGTTCAGAGACTTATATCCATTAAAAGCAGCCTGAGCGAATTCATGTAACTTCGTTATCTCAATCTGACAGCATAAGACAGTAAACAGCAAGCAAGGACAATCCTATTTGTTTAACCACCAGAAAACGTGCAAATTATTATGGCTAGTTTGTCAGAGAACTCCAATTGCATCACAAACTCCATACTGGAAATATATATTCATACAATTATCTTAGAGCTACAAAGAATTTCATGCTCAATATAATTTCCTAAAGAAAGTACTATCCAGAGGCTTATACATGTCACATACATTCTATCCAATCCCTTTCCCCTGTTCGAAATCAATATCAAATTTTCATAAGACCTAGTTTGGTTTGGCCTGTGCATGTTCAGATGCAAGCAGAACAATAGTCTGTGGCCTGTGCATTTGCTGACAACACAAATCAAAATACCACGCACCAAATATTCCACCCAAATTTAAATCTATTTCTTTTTTCTACTTACAGTAATTGAAAGTTCTATTGAAAGGGATGAGTTTTCAAAGTCATTCTTAATTATCAGAACAACCCAAAACTATATATTCACAAGGTCTGAACAAGCAGAACAAAGTTGTTCCACATAAACTTGTGGTGGGCAAAAATGAGAGCAAAAAGAAGAGAGAGCACTCATTCCACAACTTTGAGCCAATGCAAAATGACTGTTCCAGCCCATCAAAGTTATGGGTGGTTTGGCAAGTAGTGCACAAATTTGTTCTTCAGAGCTCAGAGAGAGGTTGTGGTTCAACAATTGTATTAATAAATACCATTCAACTATACAGAAGAATGCTTATCTCCAAAAAAAATACAGAAATGCTCAGATTCACAGCATCACCCAATTTCCATATCTAGTGTTGAGATTCATGGCACCCAATTTCCTTCTAAGTAGGTTAGCGTACGTAGTGGATATGTCCAATCACTTACTTCAAGGGTATGCCTTCCCTTTTCGTACGGCATCAGTCTCAGCCTCCGATGATGTCTTCACTTGGGACGACGTCGTCACGATGCCCGCCTAGGCCGATTTTTTGATATATATATTTTTTCCGACTGCAGCAGCGGCATTCCTCAGCTCTCACAGACTCATCGACTCTCTGGCCTTCCCTTTTCGTACGGCATCAGTCTCAGCCTCCGATGATGTCTTCACTTGGGACGACGTCGTCACGATGCCCGCCTAGGCCGCCTAGGCCGATTTTTTGATATATATATTTTTTCCGACTGCAGCAGCGGCATTCCTCAGCTCTCACAGACTCATCGACTCTCTGGCCTTCCTTTTTCGTACTGCATCAGTCTCAGCCTCCGATGATGTCTTCAATTGGGACGACGTCGTTACGATGCCCGCCTAGGCCGATTTTTCGATATATATATATTTTTTTTCCCACTGCAGCAGCAAGCTTTTCGTACTGCATCAGTCTCAGCCTCCGATGATGTCTTCACTTGGGACGACGTCGTTACGATATCCAAACCGGTTCAGATCTCAGGGGCTACTCGGAAAACATCAAAATCTGCAATCGCGCTTTCCTTGGTAAGTTATACAATACATTTTCTCAGCTGCCAAACAGAAACAGACCAATTGTTCGTTTTATCTCTCCACAGTCACAGTCCACTCCACATTTGATTGAAACTGCTTGCAGGAATCGCACTCTGAGTTCCTTCCCTTTGTATTCATCGCTGAGCACAGGACGAGAGCTGTGGGAGATGTAATCAAAAGCTTAGGGGAAGAACATGGTCCAGGTATAAGGAATGAGCTACGGTTTGTTTCTGCGATTTGGGCCACCTTTTTTTACCTTGGTCTAGGTGATTAAACAGTGAATTATAATCAATTTTTGATGCATCTCTAGCAAGTCATTTTGGCTATATTAATCTGAATGATGAATGGCAACTGGCTCATTGGATTAATTGGTGCTATATATGTATCTTGCAGTGCCTCGACATGGAGGTTCTGTGAAAGGGCTTGATAATGAGGTTTGGAGGGGACACTGTGTGCGCTATAGTGTTGGCTAGAGAGGAATATAAGATTTTTTGTAGGGTTAGAAACTTCAGTGGTAGCATTGAGTCTGGTCGTTTTTTCAATGGTCATGTAGGAAGGAAGCCAGCTAACTCTTTTATTGTTGTTCATTTGATTTTCTTGCAACTTTTCATTTTTAACATTTTTTATGTGTACTTCTTGTTGGAATAGGCTTATGGAGTGCACATGAATGGCGCTGGTGGACTGGTTTGTAACGAGCTTTCATCTCACTTTAAGACATTTTAGTTTCTATTCTATCAGTATTTAGGCTGTCAGTGCTCAGTAGGAGCTTGCTTGAATAGTTTTGCTTTTGGTATCTAGAGCCTCCAGACCTTGATGAAATAACATGGGCATTCTCCGACCCCGAAAGAGATGGATTTACATGACATGTTCCTAAATTAGACGGCTCTGGTGCACTTTAATGTCAATGTAATTGGTGAAACTACTTGACCCAAGAACTGGCTGGATTTTATGGTTGTAATCTGAGGCAACTAGAAGAGCAAGGGGTCCTTCCTTGCCTGATATTTAGTGGCCTACTTTAAGCATAACAAATGCAATTGGCAGGGATGTTTTGTTTTGCTATGATTTAAAATTTCCTGAGAGTTTCACGCCTAAGAATCAAGGTAAGACCCTTGGAGCTTAGCTTTTACCTAAAATAGTTGTGAACTGTGCCTTCAGCTTCGTCATTTTTCACCTTTCATTTCATCCTAAACCATCTGCAATTTTCCCCTTATTGAACAGATGGAGAGGTGGAGAGCTCCAATGTTAAAGCTCCTCAGGCGCTCTGTATCCACCTCACCAGAGAGTTGGCCATTCAGGTAAAGTTCCGTTCTTTTCTTAGATTGTTACTCCAATCGTTGTTGTTTTTTTTAAAATTATTTTGAATAGAAATTATATGGTGAATGATATACAATTTACTTAAAAGAAAGAAAGAAAGGCTCTTTTCTTTGTTTGTGGAAATTGAATATAGCTGAGCTTTTTGGACTAGAGGATTGATGGTGGTAAGTGAATGTGGCAGAATATGGAGGTCCTTCAGAAGATGGGGAAGTACACGGGGATAAATGCAGAGTGTGTTGTCCCGACGGAGAGGACGAGTTCTACATCCATTCAATCTCGAGCACCAGTATCAGCACAAATTGTGATTGGAACCCATGGTACAATTAAGAAATGGATGTCTATCAAGAAGCTGGGCGTTACTCCTCTCTCTCTCTCTCGCTTTATCATGCTCGTTTTGAATTATATTTCGGTCATTGATATGCTATGTATATTGGTTTTATTTGCTTGAAATTGAAGATAAACGCTATGTGAAGGGCTTCGTGGATTCATGCTATGAGAGCTGCTTCAAGAATGATCATATTAATTAAGGGATTGGCAATTGTTGCCTAGCTAGCTGCATGCAGCATGAATGTCTTGCGCTCCAGAAAAATAAATGACAATTACGTCTTGCATATGCAATAATTTTAATTTAAAATAATAATTAGATTGTTCCAATTACTATTTATATTGCTTTGTGGACCTTATTTCTTTCTTGCATACCACCATCTTAATATGTTACAAACGTAACTTCTTCACTCCTACCGTCATCACCAACATCATCAATAATAATAATAGAGAGAAAGAATATACTCTCCAAGGAGCAACGCCTAAAATAAGTATGCTATTCAATTTACTGCTAAACTGGTATGACATCATTCTTTCATGCATCATCACGTCTCAAAACAATACCCTCAAAGCTAGCTAGAAATTCATAAAAGTGGAAATTCACGTCTGCTTAACCCATTGATGGATGGAATTAAGCTCCAATAACAGGACCATTGTTTTTCTAATAGGTACAGAATTTACTCATATGCCGAATAACATACACCCAAATATATGAAATCTTCCCTTTGCTTTTCTTTTCACCACATTTTCAAGTAGAACCGGAAAAACATCCTAAATTTTTTAAAACCCCGCTGCCTCTCTCTCCTCTGAGCCGTCGCCTCCTCTCTCTCTCTCTCTGTAATGCTCAACCAGTCCAAAACCAAACTCACAAAAACCACGACCAAAGGGAACCCTACGGCTAAACATTGACATTTGATACTGTTGATGCTCTTTTTCGGAGAGGGTCAACTTAGAGAAAAAGGGGTTTGCCTTCAGCAAGGAAAGGGTCTGGGCCTTCAATAAAGGCTAGCCTGCAGAAGACAAAAATAGGGGAAGCAGTCGTCAAGCTCCGGGCACCGGTGTGGTGCCGGCCGAAGGCTCTCCGATGCTTAAGTCAGCTAAGAAGGGTAACTTTTGCAGAGTAATAGTAAAAGGCAGAAAAGTAGTTCCCCCTCTTACTAGGGTACTGTTCCCTTTTATAGGGAAGTGAAAGTGGGAGGTTGGTGTAGATTTCCGATGTGGGACTCTGTGCAAGTCGCCGCGGTGGTGACACGTGTCATGAGAATTAGGTTTAACAGTTTGTGAGCTTTGGCAGTCGGGAGTTTCGGCAGGTGCTTGGCACCTCGGAAGAGTGTCTTCCTTCGGCAGGAGAGAAGGCGTGTCTGCCTTGGTGCTAGTTGTTTTGAGACTGGATATGCTCGGTTGATTATGGTGTAAACAGATACCTCTGTAATGTGTCTATGAAATTGATCAAAATGAAAACTTGAGCAGACAATAACTTCTTCTGTAACAATTCCTACTAGTTTGAACAAAGGTTTAAGAAAAAATTTGTGTACAAAATACATGATATTTACTGTCACATACTGAACAAGGTCTTATCAAAACTTGTCAAGTTGAGTGAAAAGATCAGTCACAATAAAATGAGTTAATTTTGACTGCAGAGCTCATACTAATGGCAAGCTGATGTGCAAGAGACTACATATATGAATAGCATCACTGAGCAAATATCATTCAGACTTCTGAGTGTGAGTACTAGAGACTTCAAACGAGATTAAAAAAAACAAAAACAAAAACAACAAAAACAACAAAAAAACAAAACAGAAATCAAAGAATTCTATAACCATAATAGGAAACACAGTGGACCCATAACGCCAAAATCTAAAAGCATTTAATCACTTTATATGAAAAAATAATCAATCAGTGACTATCATCTTAATAAGAAGAAAGTGAAGCCATTAAGGTTTTCATTTTCCTCTTTTGGGTAACAGTTTTTGCCAAATTAGTAACGACAATCCAAATTAGTAAGAGAAAAAGTGTGATTACCAAAAATGAGAATAGAGACCCAGGAATAGCCAATCATTTGCATACCTCATGTAGAATAGAAATCACAGCTATGTTGGTTTTGCCAGCTCCTGTTGGAGCACAAACCTGCAAGTATCAAATCAGCACTTTCACTGCAATGGTTTGGTATTCACATAGTCAACAGAATCAATAACTTACTAGTATATTTTCATTAGTGTAATAAACAGTACGAAATATGCGGCTCTGAATACGGTTCAGAGACTTATATCCACGAAAAGCAGCCTGAGCGAATTCATGTGACTTCGTTGTCTCAATCTGACAGCATAAGACAGTAAACAGAAATAGAGGTCAGTAGGTGATAAAAGAAATAGCAAGCAACGACAATCCTATTTGTTTAACCACCAGAAAACGTGCAAATTATTATGGCTAGTTTGTCAGAGAACTCCCAATTGCGTCACAAACTCCATACTGGAAATATATATTCATACAATTATCTTACACACACTATATGCATGTCACCTTTGCTCTTTCGCACCAGCAAGCTCCGTCTGTCTTCATTTGGAAAAAAAAATAGGGCACGACCCGCCCTGGCGCCCAGAGCTGCCCCAGCCGCCCAGCCCGCCAGGCCGCCTAGATCCTCCCAGGCCGCCTAGACCCCCCTTAACTCCCTGGTGTCGGTGTCCTCCCAGCCTAGCGCCTAGGCCGATATCTCAAACACTGCTCAAAACCTGGAACGGCCTTGCTCTGTGCCCTAGACGTTCGTAGTGATGAGTTCGAGTTCGATTCGCCAGAATCTTTTAAGAAACCGAGTCTAGCCGCACGGCTATACTATTTTTTTAAAATTACGCATATACCGAGTAAAGCCGACCGGCTGTACTGTTTTTAAAAAAAAAGGATAAAACCTAGTATAGCCACGTGGAAGTACTATTTTTAAAATAAATTTGGGAAAAACGAGTATAGCCGCGCGGTTGTACTATTTTCCAAGAGATATGAACCACCATTCTAAGCTTTCTAAGAGAATGGATTCATCTTCATAGGAATCTTTGGATCTACCATATGAACCACCTTTGGCTACGATTTTTTCTCTTATTGTTCCTTTTTTTTTGTTGTAAAATTTGAATTTTATAACTATTGTGCACGAATTATAATAATTTTAGAAAATTTTGATAAATCACATCAACATGTCAGGTGGATATGTACACAAGCAATCAAATAACTTCTCAAGTGAGTCAGCGAATTACTAAAGTATTTTGATGATCACAAATTTATTGATTCAATTTAGCACTCCGGACATAAATTTGTTTTGGTAAGGCTCCATTAACATAATATTTTAAACGTATGGCCGCACGGCTATACCCTTGAAATATCATAATATGAATTTCTCTTCTTTAATTACTTTATTTAGTAGTTATGTTTTAATTATTATTTACTTAGTGAATAATTAGTATTTAAGTATTTTATTAAAGAAAAAAAATTAAAAACCAATTACTATTTATTAAGTAATATATTTCTGAAGTTAATTAAAATATTTAACACTAATTATTCACAAAATAAATAATGATTAAAACATAATTACTAATGAAAGTAATTAAATAAGGCTAAGATTTTATTTAATTACTAAAAATAAAATTTAAAATAAAAATGTACTGACCTAAAGATACTGAGTTTATACTTATTATTTAAAAAAACATCTCCCGACGAACTTTTGTCGACACAGGTCTATTTGAGTGCAATTTTGCCGGATTAGACCTCTCCCGACGACATTTTGTCGGCATAGGGAACTTTCCTCGGGAGAGGTCTAATCTGGCAAATAGTTGCCGGCATAGACCTATGCTTTTCTTGCTATTTATTTTTTAAAAAATATATAATTAGTTTCTTTACTTCTATTTTTTGCCCAACTTCTTTAATTTCATATATATGTCATTAAGTAATATGTTTGCCTTTTTTAATTACTTCAATTAATAATTATATTATTATTCGAATATAGATGCTCCGCTATACTGTTTAAATATTCGAATATATTTAGGAATCTCTTCTCATACACATGCAACACACAAACAAGGTATAAATTTTCTCTCAACCCTAAGCGCACACAGAGCAACAAAGCTAGAACGTAAATACATACCATGTCTAATTGAATCATTATCTCAAGGCTCAGCTTTCCTACAGAGAAATCCATATTTTTATTGTTATATTTAAAGCGTATAGCCGCACGGCTATACTGGTAAGATAGAATATTTTAAACGTATAGCTGTGTGGGAGAATATTTTTTAAGTATAGCCGCTCGGCTATACTTTATAAGCCATAAACAGTATTTTGAAAGAGAGTATAGCCGCACATAAATTCTCTATTTTAAAAGGGAGTATCGCCGCACGGCTATATTCCGTACAAAGAATATTTTAGAGTGACTACGCGCCATAAATATAATATTTTAAGAGTATAGCCGCTTGGCCATTCCGTTTTTAAAGACGTTCTCACAAAAATTCGAGACCCTTCCTTGATATGTAGCTGAAGCGATGAATGTCCCGATCAATCTCAAAGTAGTTTGGACCCTGCATTTGAGAGAGCTTGAGTAAAGTCAGACAACATGGTTTTTGAGTTTCATCTTCTTAACACTCAGCAACATAAATGTTCAATGTTTACCTTGTAAAAATTGTAACGGGGGCGTGAAAGAACTCGTTTGTCATTATATGCACGTACAAGCTTCTTCTCAACAGAACTCCGACCGAGATCTTTAGGATTTACCACCCCAGTCAAGATCTTTAGTCTTTCTCTGAAAGGTATAGTGGAGTCCTTTTTGAATCCTTTAACTTTTTCCGTCTCATCGTCAACCATTTTCTAAAAGCATCATTCAAATATACCAACAGACTGAGTGTTCCAATAGAATATAAGATCATTTCCATCAGGAAGAGTACATCAGAATAAAGCACATGCCTATCCAAATGGATGAGTTTGCATACAAAATGAAGTTACCTTGATGCTGTCTTGCAATTGAGGAGAGATGTCTTTATTAATATTCTCAGAAACTTTGAAATACATTACAAGACTCCTCCTCTCTCCATCACTATCACCAAGAAACATTGCAGCAGGATAAGTAGGCAATTGCAACAAGGCTCATCCTTTCTACATCACTATGTTAGATGTGTGAAATCAAACTTCCAATGATTACTGCATCAATATATTATTTTTCATTTCAGTCATATTCTATTGATAAATTTTATCTTTTTGAAGCAAAGCAATATCACCAACTCCAAAACTAAAAACAGTATAAGAGAAAACAAATGGCAAATATACTCCAAAGGAAACATATTGTACAAAGATACGGGCAGTCACTATGGCTGAAATCAAAACTTGCAAGGAATCGTAGGGGTCTAGCTGAAAGATGTGGATGAAGAGAAAGAGAGATAGATGTGGATGAAGAGAGAGATACCTTTGTAATGCTCAACCAGTCCAAAAAAAAACTCACAAAAACCACAACCAAAGGGAACCCTACGACTAAACACTGACATTTGATACCTCTGAAAAGTGTCTATGAAATTGATCAAAATGAAAACTCGAGCAGACAACTTCTTCTGTTACAATTCCTAATTTGTTTAAAGAAATAGTATAGCCGGTTGACTATACTCGGCCTTCCCATTTTGTTTAAAGAAAATAGTAATTTTTTTAAAGAGCGGCTATACTCTGTTTCTCCAATTTTTTAAGAAATAGTATAGCCGCGCGGCGATACGCTGTTTAATTACTTAAATAGTAACTTCTTGCCTCTCCGACGGAAAAGCCAATACCAAGTTTAAATCATCGTAATCTAATGATCCTCAAAAACAAATATTTTCAAAAGTCTCTCCTTTTTCTTAATCTTCTCGCCTAGAAGACGCTTGACTTCTTCTTGCTTAGGTGCTGAAGTGCCACCACCAACCCCGAGAGAGTGATAGTGGGGGTAATGAAATACAAAAACTGCTACATACATCTATACACATATTTACAGTATTACCTGAAGAAGAAGCGGCTCCATCTCCACCGAAGGTATACCAGTAGACTGCAACTGGTTGGCTACTTTATCAGCTTCCTTCGCATTAGCCTCTACCCAAAATAAAAACAAGAATTAAATTATTAACAAAAAAGATGACAAATTTATTAAATATAGCAAGTGAAGAAAACAAAACAGAGCAATCATAAGGAAATAAGAGGTGATGCCAGAATATATTTCACAAAATCTGATGCTATCCAACTCATTAACCAAAAGCTTGAGCCAACTTTATATCCCTCTTTAACTCTCAATTAAATCCCAATTTCTTTGCTTTTCCTCACCCTCAATTGCTTCTGTTTGGTTCATTTTGAAATTTTTCCTCACCCTCAATATCTTAAAATTTCACTCCCCTAGGCAGTTTAGATAATGATATTCGTCCTACAGTGTAATTTCAGGACTTTTTGATCGAAAAAGATATCCGTTTCTTCGATGATCAATTTACAAATTTTTTAATACTAGTACCTAACTTAATCCAGTTATGTCTATAAATATGACATAAAATGGTTCTTCTGCTTGAGAAATCAATATGCACTTGCAAAACACGAGACCACAAACTCAGACAAACATTGATCTCAAAGTCATAAATCAATGGTCCACAAACTCTTGAGAATCAAGATGTATATGATCTTCAAGTCCCACAAACTCTGGGATATGGTAGAAACTGGTTTTGAACCAGTGAAGAAGGAAGATGGTGAAGCTCTGACCACAGCTCAGAAGCTCACTTTGGAAGACAATATTGCAAAAGATGCTAAGGCATTGGGTATGATCCAGAATGCAGTTTCAGATGATATTTTTCCCAGAATTGCTTTGAAGGAATCAGCCAATGAGGCATGGGAAATTCTGCAGCAAGAATTCAGAGGAGACAAGAAGGTAAGATCTGTGAAACTTCAAGCTCTTAGAAGAGAATTTGAATACACTCGCATGCATGATGATGAATCTTTATCTGGGTATGTCACTAAATTGCTTGAGTTGGTAGATCAAATGAAGGCATATGGTGAAGAGTTAACTGAACAGAGGATTGTTCAGAAACTGTTGATCAGTTTGTCCAGAGAATATGATTCCATTGCAGAAGTTATAAAGGAAACCAAGGATACAGAATCCATAGGAGTTCAGGAGGTTATAGGCTCCCTAAAATCCCATGAACAACGCCTACTAAGGCATAATGAGAGAGTGACAGAAAAGGCATTTTACAGCCTAAATGTAGGGTCTAGAGACCAATCAAACACAGGACAAGCTGGTAGTTCTAAGTCTAAGAAGAATTGGAAATCTCATAAAGGGAAGAAATGGGATACTAAGTTTGAAAACAGTTCCAAGAAGGAAAATCAAAGTGAAGGAGACAAGGTTCCTTGTAAAACTTGTGACAAATTGCACTACAGTGCTTGCTGGTTCAAAGGCAAACCTAAGTGTTATAAATGTGATAGGTTTGGTCATATAGCCAAAGACTGCAAAGGAAAACCAGATCAAGCTGCTAACTATGCATCACACAAGGAGGAAGAAGGCAACATGTTCTATGCTTGTCATGCTGCTGCAATAGTGAAAAATAATGGTGTGTGGTATGTGGATAGTGCATGTAGCAACCACATGACTTCACAAGTATCCCTTCTAGTCAATATTGACACCAAGGTCACTGCAAAAGTAAAAATGGGCACTGGAGACTTGGTACAAGCAACTGGGAAAGGTACTCTGGTTATTGACACAAAATCTGGCCCGAGATACATTAAAGAAGTCATGCTTGTACCAGGGTTGGATGAGAACTTGCTTAGTGTGGGTCAGATGGTAGAACATGGCTATTATCTGGTTTTTGGAAATTCCATGGTGGAGATATTTGATGACAGCTCCATGGAAAACTTAGTGGCAAAAGTTTCCATGACAGGAAATAGATGTTTTCCACTCTCACTAAAGTATGCAAATTCTATAGCTATGAAGGCAACCGTTGAAGAATCCACTTGGTTTTGGCATAGGAGGTTTGGTCATTTGAATCTGCAGAGTCTGAGGCTGTTACAACAACAAGAGCTGGTCTATGGATTACCTGAAATTGGCAATGCAAAGAGAATATGTCAAGGGTGTGCTATTGGCAAAGCACACAGAGAAGCTTTTGGTAAAGAGAAAACATGGAGAGCAAGTGTGCCACTGGAGCTGGTGCATTCAGATGTGTGTGGACCTATGCAAACTACAACAATAGGGGGAAATAAATATTTCTTGACTTTCATTGATGACTGCACTAGAATGTGCTGGGTGTATTTCATGAAATTTAAGTTAAAAGTGTTTAATATTTTCAAGAAGTTTAAAGCTATGGTGGAACTGCAAAGTGGCTACAAAATCAAGAAACTTAGAAGTGACAGAGGTGGAGAATACACCTCCACTGAATTTCTGCAGTTTTGTGATGAAGTCGGGTTGGAAAGACAACTAACCGTGGCCTATTCACCTCAGCAAAATGGAGTTGCTGAGAGAAAGAACAGGACAATAGTGGAAATGAGCAAGGCAATGATGAATGAGAAGAAACTACCTTACATGTTTTGGGGAGAGGCAGTGAATACTGCTGTTTACATTCAAAACAGATGTCCTACAAAGGCTTTAAATACCACAAATCCTTTCGAAGCCTTTAGTGGGAGAAATCCTGGAATTAAACACTTAAGAGTGTTTGGTTCCATTTGTTTTTGCCATGTTCCGAGTCAATTGAGGTCTAAATTGGCAGACTCAGCTGTCAAATGCATTTTTGTTGGCTATGGAAAATGTGAAAAGGGCTATAGAGTATACAACCTGCAGACAAACAAGATAACTGTATCTAGAAGTGTTATTTTTGGTGAAGGTGCATTTTGGGATTGGGACAAACAGATTATTGAGTATATCACGGTTCCAATGAACCTTGAAGACAATCCTAGAAGTACTGAAGAAGAGTATGAAGTCACAGCTTCATCTACACCAGCAACACAACTTGAAAATATCTCTAGCTCAGTTGAGTTAATCACGGATGTGTCAAATACTGATTCATCAGATGAATCACCAAGTTCTACACCTGTGAAGCTCAGAGATATCACTGAGATCTATGCTAGATGCAATATGAGTATCATTGAACCAGAGAATTTTGCAGAAGCTTCAAAGGATAAGGCTTGGCAAAAGGCAATGGAAATAGAAATGGAGATGATTGAGAAGAATGAGACTTGGGAACTAGTTGATAGACCAAGTGATAAACTTGTGATTGGTGTGAAATGGGTTTATAAAACCAAATTGAACCTTGATGGCTCAATACAGAAGCATAAAGCTAGGTTGGTGGTCAAAGGCTATGCACAGAAGCCTGGAATTGACTTCAATGAGACTTTTGCTCCTGTGGCCAGACTTGACACGATTAGAACTCTCATAGCTTTGGCAGCTCAAAAAGGGTGGAAACTATACCAGTTAGATGTCAAGTCTGCATTCCTAAATGGTGTACTTAAGGAGGAAGTTTATGTAGATCAACCGGATGGATTTGTGACTACAAACTATGAAGACAAGGTGTACAAACTGAAGAAAGCCTTGTATGATTTAAAACAGGCTCCAAGAGCCTGGTATGAGGAAATCAATGCCTATCTTGTTAGTTGTGGTTATGTCAGAAGCACAAGTGAGGCTATATTGTATTGCAAGACTAAGGAAGACTCTGGAACTCTAATAGTCTCAATCTATGTTGATGACATTGTGTATATAGGTAGCAGTGAAGAATTAATTGCTAAATTCAAGACTGAAATGATGAGAAGGTATGAAATGACTGACTTAGGCCTTTTATATCATTTCCTTGGTATGGCAGTGATTCAAATTGAATCCTGCATTTTCATAAATCAAAAGAAGTATGCTCTGACATTGCTGAACAAGTTTGGTTTGAAACAATGTAAGCCAGTTAGTACTCCTCTTGTGGCAAGTGAAAAATTGTGCAAGGATGATGGAAGTGATCCTGCAGATGAGAGTGAATACAGGCAGATTGTAGGTAGTCTGTTGCATTTGACAGCTACAAGACCTGATATTATGTTTGCAGCTAGCTTATTAGCTAGGTTCATGCATTGCCCAACTAAGAAACACTATGGAACGGCTAAGAGGGTGCTAAGATATATCCAAGGCACAATTGATTTTGGTATAGAATATCAGAAGGGAAAAGAAGCTGTTCTAATTGGGTACTGTGATAGTGACTGGAGTGGAATTCAAGATGACATGAGAAGCACTTCAGGCTATGCTTTCTCTTTTGGCAGTGGAGTGTTCTCTTGGGCATCAGTCAAGCAACATAGTGTTGCTCTCTCCACAGCTGAAGCTGAGTATGTCAGTGCAAGTGAAGCTACTACACAGGCTATATGGTTGAGGTTTGTTCTAGAGGATTTTGGAGAATTGCAAGCTGATGCAACTCCATTAATGGTGGACAACACTTCTGGCATTGCAATGACTAGAAACCCAGTCTTTCATCAAAAGACCAAGCACATAAATCGCAGGTACCATTTCATCCGAGATGCTCTACAAGATGGGGTAGTGGATTTAAAATATTGCAAGTCTGAAGAACAAATGGCTGACATCTTCACCAAAGCTCTGCCTAAAGATCGATTCAACTATTTGAGAGGATTGCTTGGTGTTAAACCAGTTAACAATTTAGAAGGGAATGTTGAAATGTAAATTAGTTACTGGTTTAAGTTTGTTAGCTGACAGGTGTAAGGCTTAGCTTTCATTCTAGAGTGTAGGTCTCAAAGGTCCTAGCTCAAGCCAAGTGTGCAGCTCATATTGCTGACACTAAATTGTATGGCTGAGATCATATTCTCTGTTGTACAAAAGAATTTTCTGTTAGAAATGAAAAAGGTGTGTGTACGTTGCATTCTATTGCTATCGGAGCTGAGTAACATTCTCTCTCTCTTTCACGCACCATCTCTATTTTCTCTGCTGCATTTCTTCAAATACTTTCTCTACAAGAAAACTGATACACTATCAAAACTTCAACAGGCCCCGCCTAGATCTGCCCAGGTTGCCTAGGCGCCGCCTAGATCCTCCCAGGCCTCCTAGGCCCCCCTTAACTCCCTGGTGTCGGTGTCCTCCCGCCTAGTGCCTAGGCCGATATCTCGAACACCGCTCAAAACCTGAAACGGCCTTGCTCTGTGCCCTATACATTCGTAGTGATGAGTTCGAGTTCGATTGCTAGAATATTTTTAAAAACCGAGTATAGCCGCACGGCTATACTAATTATTTTTAAATTACGAAAATACCGAGTGAAGCCGCCCGGCTGTACTGTTTTAAAAATAAAATTAGGAAAAAACCTAGTATAGCCGAGCGGCTATACTATTTTCAAAATAAATTTGGGAAAAAACGAGTATAGCTCCAGGAGATATGAACCACCATTCTAAGCTTTCTAAGAGAATGGATTCATCTTCATAGGAATCTTTGGATCTACCATATGAACCACCTTCGGCTACGATTTTTTCTCTTATTGTTCCTTTTTTTTGTTGTTGTAAAAGTCATATTCTGTTGATAAATTTTATCTTTTTGAACCAGAGCAATATCATTAACTCCAAAACTTAAAACAATATAAGAGAAAACAAATGGCTGAAATCAAAACTTGCAAGGAATCGTAGGGGTCCAGCTGATGCAATTGCATCAGCAACCAACTGAAGCTTCCTCATTTATGAAGTCAGCATGACTAATTATTATTAAACACTTTCAAAAAATAATTTCAACCAAATAGAAACCCACACAAGTAAGATGGAATATAAAAGTATACCAATTTCTGAGCTGTTTTTGTTGTGTCCTTCCGAGAATGAACGAATACCATTGCCTGATAAGCTTGCCTGAGTGATTCAAAAACCTGGCAGAAAAAAGTATCAGTCAGTTAAATAATCATTCTAATGCATACATTACACACAGGAGAGCCCAAGGAAAAAGCAACCTTCTTGTAGCATATCTCATTCTGCAATTCAATACGGGTTGTAAAATTCTGCTCACTAATACCAATATACTGCTATGCCAGGGGCACAGGGCGATAACTAGAATCAAAGAAGAAGAGTCTTGCTTCAGGATTCACTCTCAGAAACTGTGCAACCTGGGTGGTTATAGAAGAATAATCCACATTAACAAATAAACAGAATAGATTTCAGAGTACGGCATTTAAAGGCCAATAAATACAGATAAAAGATATCATCAGGTGACCAAAATACCTCTAAATAGTTCAGTAAAGTGGCTGAAAGGCCCACAATGCGTATCATTGTCTGTGTAGACTCTACCTGCCACACACACACACAAAAACCACAACAACAACAACAACAACAACGACAACAACAACAAAAAAAAAAAAAAAAAACCAACGACAACTAAAAGCAAACAATAGGTCATAAGCAACTAAATTTTTGGCAACCAACCATAAACTGCATAAGCAACATGTAAGTTGTAACAGACATCTGATAAACATTTTTAAATATAAACATCCCGATATCACAATAACCCTAATAAGAAACAGATAATACCTCTCCAACTTTCATGAGCATAAGTTGCAACTGTACAAATGTTCGCAACTAATTTAAATAGTGCGCTAGTTATTCAGCAGAAAGAAGCCAAGATCAGTAATAATTCAGTAAAAGTTTACCTGGCGCAAAGTTCGAGCAACTAGTGCCTCATACCTTCATTGGCACAACATAAACTATCTAAAATTCGTCTTTATGCAAGTAATCGTCTTTGAAGTGCTGTCCAATCTGCCACAGAAAATGCCGACTCACCATCTAAATCTCAAAATGGATGATATACTACCATACTGAATATTTTCAAAAACTAAATAGGTTGAATTCAACATGAAAATGAGTACATCACCATGACATAAAAGGACTCGAATAACCAAGGCAGCCAAAAGCTTAGTTTCCTTGCTTTATTTTGCAAGCTGATATCTTTAACACACTAACCCTCCCAGAATTTTTTTTTCAATACCAGCTCATATGACATTACAGCCATTCCCATGCCATTTTAACTATGCAATTAACCCAGATTAACTCTTACACAATACAAAAACAAATGTGTGAATTTGAGATCAAGCCAAAGTAGTAAGAGAAAAAGTATGATTGCCAAAAATGAGAATAGAGACCCAGGAATAGACAATCATTTGCATACCTCATGTAGAATAGAAATCACAGCTATGTTTGTTTTGCCAGCTCCTGTTGGAGCACAAACCTGCAAGTAAATGAAAATCACATTCAAGCAGATATCATATCAGCACTTTCACTGCAATGGTTTGGTTTTCACATAATCAACAGAATCAATAACTTACTAGTATATTTTCATTAGTGTAATAAGCAGTGTGAAATATGTGGATCTGAATAAGGTTCAGAGACTTATATCCATTAAAAGCAGCCTGAGCGAATTCATGTAACTTCGTTTTTTTTTTTTTTTTTTTTTTTTTTTTTTTTTTTTTTTTTTTTTTTTTTTTTTTTTTTTTTTTTTTTTTTTTTTTTTTTTTTTTTTTTTTTTTTTTTTTTTTTTTTTTTTTTTTTTTTTTTTTTTTTTTTTTTTTTTTTTTTTTTTTTTTTTTTTTTTTTTTTTTTTTTTTTTTTTTTTTTTTTTTTTTTTTTTTTTTTTTTTTTTTTTTTTTTTTTTTTTTTTTTTTTTTTTTTTTTTTTTTTTTTTTTTTTTTTTTTTTTTTTTTTTTTTTTTTTTTTTTTTTTTTTTTTTTTTTTTTTTTTTTTTTTTTTTTTTTTTTTTTTTTTTTTTTTTTTTTTTTTTTTTTTTTTTTTTTTTTTTTTTTTTTTTTTTTTTTTTTTTTTTTGGGGCCAAACGTAACTTCTTCACTCCTACCGTCATCACCAACATCATCAATAATAATAATAGAGAGAAAGAATATACTCTCCAAGGAGCAACGCCTAAAATAAGTATGCTATTCAATTTACTGCTAAACTGGTATGACATCATTCTTTCATGCATCATCACGTCTCAAAACAATACCCTCAAGGCTAGCTCGAAATTCATAAAAGTGGAAATTCACGTCTGCTTAACCCATTGATGGATGGAATTAAGCTCCAATAACAGGACCATTGTTTTTCTAATAGGTACAGAATTTACTCATATGCCGAATAACATACACCCAAATATATGAAATCTTCCCTTTGCTTTTCTTTTCACCACATTTTCAAGTAGAACCGGAAAAACATCCTAAATTTTTTAAAACCACGCTGCCTCTCTCTCCTCTGAGCCGTCGCCTCCTCTCTCTCTCTCTCTCTCTGACCTCCTTGCCCACCAGCGACCCGCCTAGGCCGATTTTTCGATATATATATATTTTTTTTCCGACTGCAGCAGCAAGCTTTTCGTACTGCATCAGTCTCAGCCTCCGATGATGTCTTCACTTGGGACGACGTCGTTACGATATCCAAACCGGTTCAGATCTCAGGGGCTACTCGGAAAACATCAAAATCTGCAATCGCGCTTTCCTTGGTAAGTTATACAATACATTTTCTCAGCTGCCAAACAGAAACAGACCAATTGTTCGTTTTATCTCTCCACAGTCACAGTCCACTCCACATTTGATTGAAACTGCTTGCAGGAATCGCACTCTGAGTTCCTTCCCTTTGTATTCATCGCTGAGCACAGGACGAGAGCTGTGGGAGATGTAATCAAAAGCTTAGGGGAAGAACATGGTCCAGGTATAAGGAATGAGCTACGGTTTGTTTCTGCGATTTGGGCCACCTTTTTTTTACCTTGGTCTAGGTGATTAAACAGTGAATTATAATCAATTTTTGATGCATCTCTAGCAAGTCATTTTGGCTATATTAATCTGAATGATGAATGGCAACTGGCTCATTGGATTAATTGGTGCTATATATGTATCTTGCAGTGCCTCGACATGGAGGTTCTGTGAAAGGGCTTGATAATGAGGTTTGGAGGGGACACTGTGTGCGCTATAGTGTTGGCTAGAGAGGAATATAAGATTTTTTGTAGGGTTAGAAACTTCAGTGGTGGCATTGAGTCTGGTCGTTTTTTCAATGGTCATGTAGGAAGGAAGCCAGCTAACTCTTTTATTGTTGTTCATTTGATTTTCTTGCAACTTTTCATTTTTAACATTTTTTATGTGTACTTCTTGTTGGAATAGGCTTATGGAGTGCACATGAATGGCGCTGGTGGACTGGTTTGTAACGAGCTTTCATCTCACTTTAAGACATTTTAGTTTCTATTCTATCAGTATTTAGGCTGTCAGTGCTCAGTAGGAGCTTGCTTGAATAGTTTTGCTTTTGGTATCTAGAGCCTCCAGACCTTGATGAAATAACATGGGCATTCTCCGACCCCGAAAGAGATGGATTTACATGACATGTTCCTAAATTAGACGGCTCTGGTGCACTTTAATGTCAATGTAATTGGTGAAACTACTTGACCCAAGAACTGGCTGGATTTTATGGTTGTAATCTGAGGCAACTAGAAGAGCAAGGGGTCCTTCCTTGCCTGATATTTAGTGGCCTACTTTAAGCATAACAAATGCAATTGGCAGGGATGTTTTGTTTTGCTATGATTTAAAACTTCCTGAGAGTTTCACGCCTAAGAATCAAGGTAAGACCCTTGGAGCTTAGCTTTTACCTAAAATAGTTGTGAACTGTGCCTTCAGCTTCGTCATTTTTTCACCTTTCATTTCATCCTAAACCATCTGCAATTTTCCCCTTATTGAACAGATGGAGAGGTGGAGAGCTCCAATGTTAAAGCTCCTCAGGCGCTCTGTATCCACCTCACCAGAGAGTTGGCCATTCAGGTAAAGTTCCGTTCTTTTCTTAGATTGTTACTCCAATTGTTGTTGTTGTTTTTTTAAAATTAATTTGAATAGAAATTATATGGTGAATGATATACAATTTACTTAAAAGAAAGAAAGAAAGGCTCTTTTCTTTGTTTGTGGAAATTGAATATAGCTGAGCTTTTTGGACTAGAGGATTGATGGTGGTAAGTGAATGTGGCAGAATATGGAGGTCCTTCAGAAGATGGGGAAGTACACGGGGATAAATGCAGAGTGTGTTGTCCCGACGGAGAGGACGAGTTCTACATCCATTCAATCTCGAGCACCAGTATCAGCACAAATTGTGATTGGAACCCATGGTACAATTAAGAAATGGATGTCTATCAAGAAGCGGGGCGTTACTCGTCTCTCTCTCTCTCTTTTTAATAAATAGTGTAGCCGTGCGGCTATTCTCGATTTATTTCTAATTTGTTAAAGAAATAGTATAGCCGTTCGGCTATAATGTTCCCAATATAATGATGTATAGACGCCAAAAAGTGCTAAATTATAAATTTAACTTTCGAGGTGAGCATAGTTCCCTCTGCGTCTCCCTATAAGCTCCCCCCCCCCCCCCCCCCCCCCCCCCCCCCCCCTTACTGAATGCTCTTCTTCCATAGCCCTACTACCCTCCATTATCAACCTTTCCACAATCCCTTCATACTCCGTACTCTCCCCAAGTACCCAAGGCTTCATCATGTCTATCACTCTCCAAGTCTTCCCAATTGAAGGCATGGGTACTTGGCGGACTTTGGCTATTTCTTTTAGAATTATCAGACATCTACAAAGACAAATACAGACAAACTAATGGACATGCGAAGATTAAAACAAAGTTCCTACGAATATGGCATGCCTAATTCTCCTACTATATGCATGTTTATCACTGCTCATCAAATGTTTATCAATTCTTATCAAAGTTCATGCACAAATTCAACAAAATAAGCCTTTCAATCCAAAAATCGAAACAAACACAAACCATACCTTGTTATCACCACCACACACAGCAGTCGGAATCGCAATGACCTAGTCGGAAATCTCCTCCGCCGCAACACACTACACTGGAAATTGCAATGGCCTAGTCAGAAATCATCTCCACCGCAATACAATTCATCGGAAATCGCCTATGCTTGTCTAACCAAAACTCTCGAAAAACTTCTAAGTACTTTCACTTCTACCCTTCGACACTCTTATATAGATGCCAAAAGACACCTCAACACGCGAAGCGTCGCCTCCCTCTCCCAAGCACCCCCATTAGGAACGACGCATCGATCCCCACAAAAAACCCTTCAATTCTTCCGACACGTGGCAGAGAGAGGCTGACGTCACACCTTCCGTTTTGCACCCTTCGTGCCGAATGTGCAAGGGACTCACGAGACAAGCGCGTTGACGTCACACCTTCCATTCGGCATCCTACGTGTCTAACTTGCAAGGGACTCACGCGACAAGGGCGCTGACGTCACACCTTCCGTGGCGAACGTGCAAGGGAATCACGAACAAGGGTACTGACATCACACCTTCCGTTCAGCACCCTCTGTGCCGAAAGTACAAGTGGACTCACGCGATAAACCGGCTGATGTCACGCATGCCGTTCAACACCCTCCGTGCCGAACGTGCAGATGGAGACATGCGACTCTCGCGCTGACATCACCATTTCCTTCGGCACCATACATGCCGAAGGTTCATAGGTACTGACGCAATTTCACTCGCACCACACCACTCCCTTTGGCACCTGCCATGCCAAACCTCCAAATAGATCAAACAACAACAGGTGGTGTCCCAACTTCCCTTCACCTCCCCATGTGCCAATATTAGAGACATGTCATCGCAAAGAATTGCTTTTCCAGCAATCGTGCCTTCTAGCTTCAGAACTTGGGGGACTAGGGGACTGCCTACGACACCCGTCATACCGAAATGCTAGATTTAATTACTTAACATTTTACAAGTTCCCAACCCAGAAGTCACTCCTTAATTGGCAACTTAGGAGACTACTGTTTACACTATAATCAACCGAGCGCATTTGGCATTATACGACTGATACTTAGGCATGCACCCCGGTTGCCAAGGGGAAAGAGACACTCTGAAAGATACTCGGACAAACCCTTAGAATACAAGTGACATCACCACCTTCTTAACCTATCGAAGGAAGACCTCCGTCTGAAGCGGTAACCGCCTACCGATGCTCTCAACTAGAAAACCCAGTTTCCATGGACACGTGCCACCTCCACAACAGTTTGTACAAAGTCCCACATCGAAACTTTGTGCAAAACTCTCATTCTCATTTCCCTATAAATAGGGAACAGTGCCCAAGTAAAAGAGGTAACTACTTTTCACCTTTACCGTTACCCTGTTAAAATTACCACATATACTCGCTGACTTAAAATATCGAAGAGCCTTCAGCAAGTATCACACTGGTGCCCGAAGCTTAACGATTGCTTTCTCCTTATTTTCTTTTACAGGACCCCTCTGTGTCGAAGGTTCATAAACTTCTCGCCCTGTTGAAGATCCACCACTCATTCACCTAAGTTGACATTCCTAAAAAGAGCATCAACAATGTGAATTTTATAATAAATATGAACACATGCAACTGAAAATCTTATCTGAAAATTTAATACGAAAATTTTATCTGAAATTTGAGAAGAGAAATTTATAATAAATAGTAACATGTGGCAGTTGAAAATTTTACTCGAAAATCTTAACAAAATTAATCGTTTAAGTATTAAAAAAAAAGGAAATAAATTAAAGTGAATAGTAATTGTTTTTGCCCTTACCCTTGCCCTTTAGAGCATCTCCACCCACAAGGGCTAAGTCTAGGGCAAGGGCAAGGAAGGGCTGCCACTATTCACGTGAATAGTGTCAGCCTTTGCATTTGTGGTTCCACCCACAAGGGCAAAGTCTAGGGCAAGTCTAAGGCAATTACTATTCATTGTACTTTATTTTCTATTTTTTTATAGTTTAAATCATTAATTTTGATAATCTTTTGTAATTAAATTTCGGATAAGATTTTCACCCTCTAAAATTGTGCCACGTCTGATGTAGAACAAATGTCAGATTTTATCGCTTGAGCTAGAAAAAGGACGTAGTGGGAATTTGCAGATTTGTTGTCCGAGCTCCGATTAGGACGCAAAATACCATTTCGGAAAGGGAACGACGCCACGAGTCAAACTCACTGCTTTGCCGTGACATATGATGGATTTTGGCATTTTGAGGTCGTTTGGCCTTCCAAAACGGCATTTAAAGTTTCGTAGTTAATTTTCAGTATTTTAGATTTTAATAAAAATTATTCAAAGAAAATTCCTTTTAAAATTGTGCCACGTGTCAAATGTTAGATAACATTTTCAGATATTTTAAAAAAATTTTAATCTCAGATTTCAGATAAGATTTTCACTCTCTATAATTGTGCCACGTGTCAAATGTCAGATAACATTTTCAGATATTTAAAAAAAAATTTAATCTCAGATTTCAGATTAGATTTTCACCCTCTACAATTGTGCCACGTGTCAAATGTCAGATAACATTTTCAGATATTTTAAAAAAAATTTAATCTCAGATTTTTGATAAGATTTTCATCCTCTCAAATTGTGCCACGTGTCATCTCTATCTTCTAAATCCGTCTATAAACTAGACCTGATTTTCAAACCTCTCACACCATCTCTTATCTATTCCTTCATTTCTCAGATTGTAGAAAACACATTCTACTCTCAATGTCAAACTTGTTGAGGGTGTTGGAGAGGCAACGGAAACAAAGGGAAGAAACAAGGCGTAGACGTGCTGAAGAAGATCGGGAAGCTGATGAAGAAGAGGAACTACTGCTTGCAGCAGCGGTGTGTATGATGGATCAATCAAGGCAAAACCGTCGTCCTCGTGCCCCGAATGTGGACAGACGTAGGGAGTCTCGGGGTAAGAATCTCATGGAGGATTATTTTATCCCAAATCCGTTATATCCTGCTTCTAAGTTTCGAGAAAGATATAGAATGCAACCACATTTGTTCCAAAAAATCATGCATGATATTTGTAATTACGACACATACTTCATTCAAAAGCATGATGCTGTTGGAGCTTTAGGTCTTATCCCGGAGCAAAAAACTGACAGCTGCTTTGCGGATGCTTGCTTATGGGGCATCTGCAGAGCAGGTGGATGAGATTGCAAGGATGGGAAAATCTACTGTCCTAGAGTGCTTGGTGAGATTTTGTGATGCAGTGGAAAATTTGTACACGAGGGAGTACCTTCGCAAACCAACGCCAAGAGACCTGCAACGGCTTCTACAAAAAGGCGAGGCCCGAGGTTTCCCAGGAATGATTGGAAGCATCGATTGTATGCACTGGCAGTGGAAGAACTGCCCTACTGCGTGGCAAGGGGAGTACGGGAATCGGAAGGGCCAAAAAAGTATAATTTTGGAGGCCGTAGCTTCATTCGATTGTTGGGTTTGGCATGCCTTCTTCGGGGGTTGCCGGTTCTCAGAATGACCTCAATGTCCTTGGTCAATCCCCAGTGTTCGATGAGGTATTGCGAGGTCATTCCCCCCAGGTGACGTACCAAATCAACAATACCGTTTACTCTGGTGCGTACTACCTTTCCGACGGAATTTATCCTAGGTGGACGACATTCGTGAAAACAATTCCGAATCCCCAATCCGAGAAGGAAAGAAACTTTGCTTCCTTTCAAGAAGGTTACAGGAAAGACGTGGGAGAGGTGTTTCGGTATCTTGCAAGCTCGTTGGGCAATTATTAGAGGTGCTGCTCGGATGCTAGATGAGGAGGTGCTGCGGAGTATTATGATGACTTGCATCATCCTTCACAACATGATTGTGGAGGATGAGTATGACTATGATGCTCAAGAGGTGTTTGAACCCGATCCAATGAACACATCGTTGACAAGAATATATGAAAGGCCGATTGGACCAAATGGACTACCACTGGAGCCCGAACCCATACTTCGGGATGGTCAATTCAACAACCCCATGATTGATCGGTATCAAGAAATGCAATCTTCATATGTTCACGAGATACGTCAACGTGACTTGATCGAGCACTTGTGGGAGATCAAAGGCAATCACAATGGATGAAGTCAAGATTAGTGCTTTGTTTGGAATTATGCTTTGTTTTTAATTATGCTTTGTTTTGTGTGTGGTTTTGTTTGGAATTATGCTTTGTTTTAATTATGCTTTATTTGTGTGTGGTTTTTTTTTGGAATTATGCTTTTTATTATTATGCTTTTATGTATGGTTTGTTTTGTGTGTTGTTTGCAATCAATGAAGGTTTTTTTAAATTAATATTTGTTTTGATGCTCAAATGTTTTAATAAATAGTCATTTAATTTAATGCTTTTTTGATTGAATAAAAGGGAACAATTCAACAAATTAAAGGATAAGGGAACAATACAACAAATTAAAGGATAAGGGAACAATACAACAAAGTAAAGGATAATACAACAATACAACAACTTAAAGGATAATACAACAATACAACAATACAACAACCTAATGGTTTTCATCATTTAACCAATCCGTATTGCTAGGTCCGTCGTCATTGAAAAGTTTTTTCCTCATCACATCTCTTCGTCGTAGCTTCCAATAAGCCTTTGTTTCGGGAGACATATGGCTCGTATCCATAGCCATGATTTTCATCTCTCTATCCTCTATGTCTTTTTCTTGTGCCATTTGTTGTTGGAGAGCAAATGCTTCCTCTCGTGCCTTGTCCATTTCATCTCTTTTCAAGTCTCTCTCGATTCTTAGTGTGGCGCTCTTAGCTATTTGCTCCAATAATTGTACACAATCATTGCTCGAAGTGGCCCCTCTCTTGGCCTTTGCCGCCTTTCTCCCAATAGGTCTTGGCGGACGTGGCACAAATGGTGACTCCGTTTCCATTGGGGAGTCCAATGGAGAATCGGTTGATGTTGAATCGTGGAGTGGCGTCTCATTCATCACAACCGGCGGACCGGTGGGAATAATTTTGAACCTCGAACAATCCTTCACAATTTCCCAACATTGGAAATGCACGAAACTTTTTTGCCTTGCCCCATGGCACCGAAACCACATTTGTGCTTGTACCATCTATTAAAAATAAATAATTGGAAGTGCAAGAAACAAAAATTATTATGCAAGAAAATATAAACTATTTTGAAATGCAAAAATAAAATTGATTATGCAAGAAAATATAGACAAATTAAAGGTGCACCAAGAAAAAAAAAATTATGCAAGAAAAACAAATAGAATATGCAATAAAAAAAAATGACATTGAATTGATTAAAATGGCAAATATAAATATTTTACCTCATCGGTCAAATTTGACCGCTTTGAATGTTCGCCTTTGCTTTTGTCAAGGCATTCCTCCATTTCCCTAACTCTTTATTAAGAAGTTTCCATCTACTAGACAACGCCATTTCGGTCCGAATCGAACCCGATCTTTGACAAAATTCTCCATGAATTTTGCTCCACATGTGATGAAACTTCATTTCATTACCCGTGATAGGGTCATGACTAATGTTCACCCAAGATTAACACAACGCAATATCTTCATTGTTGACCACAAGCCTCCGACTTCAATACAAGATGCCATTTGTTTTTTTTTATACAAATGGAAAGTAGTAGAAAGAGAGTAAAAAATATTGGAAGGAGAAGAGTTTGTATGGAGAATTGGTGTGGAAGTGAAAAATGTGAGTGGAGATGAACAAAAAAAATTGGAAGGAGAAAAGTTTGTATGAAGAATTGGTGTGGAAAGTGAATAATGTGAGTAAAGAGTAAAAAATATGGGATGGAGAAGAAATTGTATGAAGATTTTAGTGTGGAAAGTAAATAAAATGGTTAGGTATTTATAGAGAAAAAATACAGAATTTTGGGTATTTTTTTAAAAAAAATTCAGATTTTTTTCTATTTTTTTCTATTTTTTTGAAATTTTTTTAGCCAAAAAAACGAGGACCGTCGGATTTCTGGAAAAATTCCATCGGAGAGTCCCCGTTGCGCCACGTGGCACCCGCCCGTTGGAGCTGTCAGTGGCTGACGTCAGCGCTGGCGTCACGCTGACGCCAGCGCACGGTAAGTCAAATTTTTTTACCGTTGGCGCGTGAATTACACGCGCCAACGGTAAAAAAATTTTGACTTACCGTGCGCTGGCGTCAGCTTGACGCCAGCGCTGACGTCACCAACTCGGGCTTCAGCCTGGGCAAGATTTGCCCTTGGGCTTCCTCGGGCTCGTGGGACCCGCCACCAAACTGGGCTACGGGCCCTGCGCTGGAGTGAACTCGGGCTGCGTCAGGCAGCCTATCCCCCCTAGCCCGACCTGCGCTGGAGATGCTCTTAATAGTTAAAAACCTTGCCTTATCTCTGCGTTGCCCTTGTCTTTTGGGGTGGATGTGCTCTAACAGAAAGAATAAAAAGGAGAGAGAGAGAGAGAGAGAGAGAGGAGAGAGAGAGAGAGAGAGAGGAGAATTTGTTGAGAGGAACAAGAGAGAATCTCAATAACAAAACAAGCGCGATTGGATGGAAGAAAGGCGGGATTGGAAAAGGTGTGCCAGGACGTGCGCTAAGGGGCAAGTTTTTCTATTGTAAGCTCTCTTTTTCTCTCCCAGCCGTTGAGATCACTTTGATGGCTGGGATGGGACCGTAAATAGGGGTTCGCAAAAAAGGAGTTCCCAGTGCGGGGAAGGATTCATCAACGACCTGTGCATTTCCCAAAGTCCTACATTTGGGCTTTTAGACCAGACCATAGGAAATATAAATGCAAATGCTGCAGAGCTCAGTGTCATTGGGACTGTCAGCGTCTCCGGTTCGCGTCGTCAAGTGTTCTTTGGTCGGGCTCCGAGCACCACCGTCAACGATCCCAATTCAATGGCAGCAGCTGGTCCCAAGTGGGCCCAGAAGACCATAACTCTGCCTCCCCAGAGGAGGGATTGTCATCTCATCACCCCTCAGGTACTCTTTCACTCTTGAACCCTAACCCTAACAACTACAGAGTGTTTTCGATTATGACATAACCGGCTTATTATTATGAAGCCCTTCAATTGAAAGTGTTGTGTTTTACTTTTAAGCACAACTTCAATTCAATTATGATTTTGTGTTCAACAATTCAATATCTACTGGTTTCTATTTCAGATAGTGAAGGAAATTGGCCAGGAATTGTCACATTTCAACTGCGGCCTTGCACATCTCTTTTGTAAGTTAGCGAAGCCCCAAGGCTAAACTAATATCTGCCCCCTTGTCATGTTCAAAGTTCAAAATTGCCTTTTAGTATTAACTATTTTTTATTTTACCCTTTGTTTTGAATTTTTTATTTTATTTTTTATTTTTAAAATATTCCAGTGCAGCACACTACTGCTTCTCTTACTATCAATGAGAATGTTGACTCTGATGTTCGTGATGATACAGAGACATTCCTCAATAGGATAGTTCCTGAGGTTAGTTTGTTTCCGGTAATGTCTCACGTAGCAGTTGCAGTATACCTTATTCTAAGGACACAGATAAGGTGATGTTTCAATGTTTATTTTCAGGGGACATCTGCACCATGGAAGCATACCCTTGAAGCTTGGTATTGGATTCATTTGATCCCTTGGCCCGTGGAATACTTTTGGTTTTCTCTGTTTAACCCAAATTGTTACTTAATGCAGCATTAACTTGATTGGCTAGGTCTTCGGGTTGGATTTTATATAATTACATATGATTGATATTGTACCCAAAATTTCTGTTTGATCAAATAACCCTTTGTTTGGGTTGGGTACATAGTAATTGTGGTCTTATTTATCTGGTTCTTTGCATTCTTTCCGAAATGTTGATACTAAAATCATTAATGTTTGGTTGCACACTGACGTGAGGATACCTTATTAGATTGGTTGAAACTACTTTTTTGCTTTGAAAATATGTAGCCTCATTGGCATTTACATGTTTCTTGTTCTCATGCAGGGTTCCAATTACAAATGGAAAGCTTAACATGGGACCTTGGCAGGTCTGTGAAACCAATAATTAACTTTCAGAAGTTTTCTACTTATTAAGAGCCTTATTTCTCAACCATAGCTTAGCAAGATTTTCATGGATGCTTTGCTGAGTAAATTTCTTGGGTGTAGGCTAGTTATTAGCTATGAGAATAGAACTTAAAAGTAAATTATGGGCATAAGATTACACTTGCATGCTTTGCTTTCTTCCTTACTAGAATTGGAGTTTCCATAAATTGGTTTTGATCCTTAATTGAACTATTTTCTATGTAGACAGGGTATGTAAATTAAAAAGACTAGAAATAGTTGACCCCCCCCCAAAAAAAGGACTAGCAATGTCTTATGTAAAATGTTTTGAAGACAGGAAATCAATGGTGAAACATTTGCAGACCTAGCTTTAAGAAGCTGCACTAGGCTGCAATTTCTTGTACTCGAGTATGTAAACTGGGTAAGAATTCATGAGATCACTGAGTGAGAGATAAAGATAAAAATAGGCCTTGTGCTTAAGATTTTACCAAGGCCTTTTAAGTTCCAAGGGGCAGGTGAGGCAATTAACAAACTAATAACTATGGTACGATGAAATTAGCACTATGGTTTTCAATTATTGCTTATCGTTTTTGTTTTTGTTTTTTTGGAAAGCTTCAAATACGCAGTACATGTGTATATTCTTGTATGTTGTAGGATGGACAACTAGTTTCCATTGCTTAATTGTTTGGCTCTCTAGTAAAGCAAAATTTCAAATTGTGGCTGTGTTATTGATATGTCATTTTGCATAATTTTTCCTTGTAATATCCTTCAGGGAATATGGTTGTGCGAGCATCGTGACTATCCTACTGGGCGGAAAGTTGTGGTCACCCTTAATGGAATATGAGAAGCTTAGATTTGGAAGTTTCCTGTTTCTTTCATCCAGTGTGCAAATGAAGTTGTACTCAAGCATCTTCTATGTTAATGGGTGGGTGGGATGTTAGTGTTTTAGCTATTTTCTATGTTAATGGCAGCTTCCCTACCAGAATCTGGTAATACCTTGTTACTTGTAATGGATTTAAGTTTTGTTATGCAAACCTGTAGAAAATGTAATGAAATTAACTTGTTACTTATTAGCTATTGCGACAATAGCAGCTGCTTGCCAATTACCATGTAAGAAATTTTGGAAATTCCTGGGAGTTTATACGTCGAAACCTTGTAGGTGTATATAACATCAATGGGTCAAATTGCAGGTATTAAAGTTACATGATTCTGCAGTGGGAGTCAGCCTGATTGGTTTTTTGTTTTTGGTACAAGCGATAGTCTAAACTAGAGGGGAGGGGGTTTCTCACACACACGGACAATCAAGATATCATGGGGGCTAGACCTCATGCACAACCAAGATGTCTGTTCGAAAAGGGAAAAGAAAAAAAAAGAAAAAAAGAAAGGAAATATCTGAGTTACAAAGTTATTATATAAATGATGTATATATACACAAAGGAATGAACGGAATTAAATTAATTTAACGCATCATGATTGTGAACTCATTAAAGCTGAGAACCCCATCTCCGTTAAGGTCGAACGCTCGAATCATGGCTTTGCAGTCATCGATGGAGCGAGAGTCGCCGAGGCGGCTGAGCATCCTCTTCAAGCTGGCTGGGGTTATGCAGCCAGAGCCTTCCATTTCATACATCCCAAAGGCATCTCTGAGCTGCTGATTGTTGTTTTCCTCGTTTGTGGCTTCCATCAACTTCTGGAATTCTTCAAACCCCAGCAGCCCATCTCCATCCAAATCCGAAGCCTCCACGGCGGCCTCCGCTTCCTCCTCAGACAGCTCTCCCCCAACACTCCTCACACAAGTCTGCAGCTCTGCTGGGGAAATCTTACCATCTCCGTTCTCGTCGAAGAAATCAAACACCTTCCACATCTGGAGGTCGCTGTTGCTGCTGATGCTGCTGCATGTTGTTGGGTTCTCAATTGGGCCCTCTACATCATGATGACCTGCCTTTGTCTTTCTTGGAGACACTTTACGGCACAATCTTCCCAGGGCGGACGATGATGACTTGGGGGTGATCTCCATTGAAATTGCTAATTTGGTCCTTTAATTGCTGCTATGTAAATGCGGACTCTGGTCTCTTCTAAGTGCTCTTCCTGGCTTCGTGGCTTCCTGACTTGTTGTATATGATGCTATTTATAGACGATGAGACCATGGGGATAAAGCAACGATGAAAAGAAGAGGATAAACTTAAACTATTATAAAATAATGGATCCTTGTTGGAGTGTAACGATAACAAACGTGGAAGCCTCGTAATTATACTAGTTTAGGATATTTGAGGGGAGAGAGAGAGAGAGAGGTTCGCTATATTCTTCGATTGGGATATGGAATGACAAATTCCGTATTACATAGGAGGACAGGAGAACACGGTTGAGCGGCCAAATCCAGTTTTTTATAATCATTTAAAAATACTTGATAGATAAAATAAAGACAAGATTTGCCGTACCCGCCAGTTGTTTTGGTTTGCTTTTGTGGGTTTTGAGGTTTCAGCGCGTCAGGGAAGCTTCCTGCTTGCGGCCTGCAGCGGGTTTCTCTTCCTGGCATTTCTGCGTTTCTTTATTTTTTTGACAATTTAATAGTCTTAATTAAGGTTTCTTTATTTGGTTGACCTCGCTGCTTTTTGGACCTTATTGAATTTCTAGACGCGGGAACAGTGTCGTACACCTGATACTAAGGGGACAAAATAGAGTATGTCGGCTACCGTCACAACTTGTGTATACAAAGTTAGTCTCCCCACTCTTCTGTTTTTTTTACTTACATTTTCTTTTGCTTTTTAGGAGGTGTATTCAATTGTGATTTTAATGGATTGTTTTTAAGCTTAAAATACAACGGTAATCAATTAGGATTTTTAAGTAATCAATAAAAATCTGGTGGTATTCAATTAAGATTTTTAAATAATCAATACAAGTCCGGTGGTATTCAATTAGGACTTTTAAAAGATAAGAAAAAGTACCGTGGTATTCAAAAACTTACTGATTTTAAGGTATTTCATTAAATGATGTATTGTGTAAGACTTTTGAGTGTGTGATATAAATATCAAATCACATAACAAAATCTCATCTTCCTATGCATGATTCTCATACTTTTTTTCCCCACTATTTTTGTATGCTTTCGATTGTACATAAAAAAAACTTTTCATAAGAGAGACGATAAAGAAACATTAACAAGAAAGACGATATTGCCTCTTCTGGAGCTAATGGGCATTTTCCAATAGCTCTTCTTTCCCTATAGACAAGCTTATTTGGAGCAAAATTATATATTTCAATACTTTTTTTTTGGGTAAATTACTCAAATGGTCCTCAAACTTGTAAGCGATTTACATTTTGGTCCCTAAATTAAATTATTAGTCCAAATGGTACATAAACTCTATTTTAATCGCCCATTTGATCCAACCGTTACATTCTGTCAATGTTGCTGTTAAATATAAGGGCAAATTGGTCATTTCGTAAGTTAAAATAAATAAAAACTCTCTCTCTGTCTCTCTCTCCCCATTCCCCCATGGCCACCACCCTCAAGCTCCAACCCCCAAACCCATCCCACAACCACTCTCCACCCAAACCCATCCAACAACCACCCTTCATCCCAGGCCCCATGAACCCAAAACCCAAGCTCCTCCCCACCCTCAACCCAAGCCAGCAACTACAGAAAAAGAAAAGAAAAAAAATCTTCCACAAACCCCCTCCCAACTAACTCAGAACCCCAACTCAACAACCACCCAGACCCTCTCCCCCTCCCCCTTGATTTCCCTTTGTTGTTGAGAGACAACCACCCACCACCCCTCCTCCCCACCCCATTACCTGCCAACCCCACCTCCCAAAATCACAGCCACTGTCAATTTCTCACCCTCCAAGTACAAGTACCGGTTCTTCAGCCAAGACACTGAAATTGCTGTGAGGGTTTTTGGGATTTATGCCGTCAATACCAAGGCCAACACTCCCACCATTTTCTCCATTGCCCACCTCCTCAAGAGCTTTCCTCTTCCTCTGCGTCTCTTCAGCAACCTTTGTTAGTATTATTTTGGACATTAATTGTTGGGCTGGATGGTTGAAGGCCATTGCCAAACCATCTTTTTTTTTTACAAACATAGTAATTGGAGAGGTGTGTAGGGAATTGGGGAGAAGAAATCGAAGGGAGGGGGTTTGGGTCTTATGATTTTTTTTCTCTTTTTCTTCAATTATTTTATAATTTTGTATTTATTTTAACCTTATTTTATTTGTTAATTATGAAAAGTCGTATTTGCCCCTAAAATTTGGTTACATTTAACAGAAAATGTAACGGTTGGATCAAATGGGGGATTAAAATAGAGTTTATGTACCATTTGGACTAATAATTTAATTTAAGGACCAAAATGTAAATTGCGTACAAGTTTGAGGACCATTTGAGTAATTTACTCTATCTTTTTAGAATCTCCTGCTCATTGTAGACATTTCCTCGCAAGGAGTTGCAGACCTCCACAACTTTGCCGGTGTGCCCACAAGTTGCTTGATCTAACGCCTCAAAGAGGCTTTTTGTTTTAAAAAAAATATTTATTTTTGGGTAATTGCTGCGCATACAGCTGTTTGGGTTCAATTTGGCACACTCAGCCCAAAATCACAAGGCCCATGCCAATTTTGGGCAACCATCAGCATTCTTCTGAAATTGGGCCAAGACACACACTCAGCCCAACACTAGAGGCCCAGAGGGATGAAACAAAATTAGACCCAGACGGTTCGGATCCAAATCGTGAACAAAAGCCCAAATCCAAAGGAGGCCCAGCCCAGGATCTGTCTAAAACATAAATAAATAAGACTTGGGCCTCGGAAAGACGAAGAAAAAAAGGAAATTAGCCCATGGTTCAAACTCGAATTTGGGCTTGCCATGATTAAAAAGAGAAAACCCAAAACAGAAACAGACCCACGTGATGTTTCTGACTTAGAAAAATCAATATTTTCAACTGGGGTTTAACAAAAGCAAGCGGCTAGGAGAAGATTTCTCTGAATCTCTGCCATCCGAAGGTCAGATCCCTTTTTATATATTTGGAAATAATGTTTTTTCTCCAAAAGATGGTGGTTCTTCCAAAAAGATAAGCAGACTATGTTCTCAAATAGAGATATGCAGAAGGACAGATAGTTGATCAAAACTGGAAAATCAAACTAACCATCACAATTTGAGCTCTCACATGGAGCAGTTGGAATTAAAATAGGGAAGTGATTGACATAGGAACTAACCATTGAGAGCTTATTTGCCAGAATTGATAAAACCCATTCTTCTTTGCATTTTAAAAATGAAAGATCTTTTGAGAAATTTTGCTGCCCATTATTAAAAGAATTATCCTACTCCAGAAAGCACTTCTTATAAATATAGGAGAGGGTGAACAGGGCAAAACACACTCAAATCAACAACAAAATCTAACAACTAAAAATCAACCCAAGACAAGAACTCAAAATGATCACTTGATCCTTGAGAACCCCCAAACAGACTGAAGCAATCAAGAGCCCAGTCAAGCCAAAGAAGAAGCCAGCCATGATTCAGAACTTCCAAGCTCAGACTTAGAAAATAAGTCATTCAAAACGAGATTCCTCTCGTTACAAATTTGGTTCAGCAACATCCAAGACAAGCAGAGCTTGAATTTTCATAAATATGAAAACCTCAACAAATTTATAGAGAGCCCTGATCAAGCAGAACAAAAACCATAGTGCAGTTCTGGCTCAATAATCCTCAAGTCCAGCCACTTCTGTCCCGTTCAAACTGAAGAGGTTGTAGTTCTGCCCATTCAAAAAGCCTTCCAGGGCTTGAAATAGATTAAAGCTCTGCCAAAATCAAGCTTTGGTATCGATTTACGCCTGAAGCTTGGCAGTTGAAGTTGTTGACAATTCAATCCAGCACAGACATACCCAGTCCAGCCCGGATGAAAAGCTTCTATCCAGACAGAAATGGAATTCCATCCTTCTTTTTGCCCTCCTAGAGTTTATTTTTTCTTTCTGAGTCTTGTAAAATGCAGTTCTGTCTAAAACAGTTCACTTTTATTACCATTTATTCTGGCCAGAACTACCAACTTTATACTAAGATAAATTGTGAAGTCCTCACCAGTCTGAGGCTGGAAAAGAACTTACTTGGGAGATATTCCTCACCCAAATTCACAATCGTTTGTTTAGAAATTAGTAACTTGGGGCGCAAGTCATCTATTTTCAAGAAATCTGCTAGAATTGTTATTGCTAGTAGTGGCACGCTCGCACACCAAAGAAAGTTAACTTGTTGGCCAGTCAATGGTTTTCAAGACAATGAGGAACTTTACCCTTCTATTACAGGAACAAACACAAAACGGGTGAACAATTTGGCACGCCCAGTGGGACTTCTTAGTATAAATACTCCTAAAGAAATTTTCTAAAGTATATGAATATTGGAAGTTCTAGCCAGAACCCACGCTATGCGATGGAAAGAGATCAAATAGCCCTTCGAGAAGGACTGGAGTAAGAAGAAAGCAATGCTAGGTAATCAGCCCATGACAGTACTGGAAGTAGACACTCCAAGGCTAGCTCCAAGAGGTTAAATCAAATACACAAAGCCGTGCTCCGACAGGAGGCTACAGCACAAAGGAGCCATGACACTCTGAACAACATGACAGCCATGATGCAATGGCAAGTTAGCAGGCAATTCAGGAAGGACTGTGAAGCTGCTATGGCCAGAATTCCAAACCTAGATGTTGTGGTCCAACAATTAGACCTCCCTTATGGCCCTCCACCAGGATTGGCATGGCCATATAAGGAGAATCCTCTCATTGCACAGATAGCTAGAATACCAGGGCATGGAGAAATCCAAGTTGGACAGAGGGGAGGAGCCCTTCCCATTCAAGAGTAGGAGGGGCCAGTTCGGCCAGCAAGCCCTACACCAGTTCAGGTTCCTCAAAATCAGCCAGAACCTCCACTTGTTCCACAACCCTTGGCCTCGCGTGATCAGCCTTTGGCACTTCTGCCTGACACACCAGCTGTTTTGCCTTACAGACCCAGAAGGATGGATCCCAATCCCCTCCACCAGCAAGAGGCAGAAGAGGCAGAGGGGGAATCAACTCTTTTGCCAACAATGACAAGAACAGACTGGGGGCAAACTGGAGGAATCATCCGGACTTTGAAGAAGAGGAAGAGCACAGGGAGGAAGCTTTGCCCAGGCCATACATGATGGAGCACAGGATTGACCAGATCTAGCTAGAATAGGGACGAAATTTGCACCTTGTCAATGCTTTAAATGACATAGGGGCACTACACAGAATGATTAGGGAGATGATGGAGCCTGAAGCCAGAAGAGCAGAAAGACTCACCTACAGAGAGCCATATCCGGCTTACATTGATCAGATACCTCTATCACCAAGTTTCAAGGTCCCAAACTTCAAATTGTTCAACGGAGAGGACCCCCATGCTTCATCAGTTAAGCATATAGGCAGGTTTTCTGTCCAGTGCATAGCTATAGAAAATAATTCTCTACTAAAGCTAAGGATTTTTGGAAATTCTCTCTCTGGACAAGCCTTCACTTGGTACATCAGTGTACCAGCCAATTCTTTTCAAACTTGGGAGCATATGGAAAACGTCTTCCATGACTACTATTTCAGGATCCAGCCAGAAGTCACCATCAGTGATCTTGCTGCCCTCAAACAGAATGAAGATGAACCTGCTCAGGACTTTATAACCAGATTCAGAAAGCTCAAAATGAAGTGTTGGATCCCTATGGAAGAAAGACACTTCATTCATATGGCTCAAGCCACCCACAAAATCTCTCTGAGAAAAAGATTTGATAGGATGCTGTTTGGAGATCTAGCAGAACTGGCAGATAAAGCATCTAAATATGAGGAGCTGCTTAGGGAAGAACAACAGAAGATGAACTCTTCCAAAGGCACATACTACAAGACTCCTTCTTCTTCAGTCAATCTAGTTGAGGTAGAATCAGAAGAAGACACAGAAGGCTCAGAGGAAAGAGAAATTGTAGTAGCAGAGATGGCAACATGAAAACATCCCATCAGCTGCAAAGCTCTTACAAAGCCATCAAAAGATCAGAAGCTGCGGCCATTCACAGCAGGGTTTGTTTCAAACAAGCCAACGCAGAACAAGGTCTATTCCTTTGATCTGACCAAGGTGGACGCCTTGTTTGATGAGATGTTGCTGCATAAAGCAATAGAGACACCCCACAGGTTGCCCAAGCCATAAGAACTCAAGGGCAGGCAGTATTGCAGGTGGCACAACTCTTGGAACCATTCCACCAATAGTTGTGTTGTTTTCAGGGATGTCATACAGGAAGGAATAACAGTAGGAAGGTTGAAACTGGCGAAGAAACCTCCATCAGTTACAACAGATCTTTTTCCCCAGCCACAAGTTAACATGGTCAACTTAAATTGGCCAGAACAGAAGAAAAGCAAACCAACGACAGAAGGTAGTTCCAACAGAGAAAGAAGAGTTATAAGGGAGACTAGTCAAAGGACAAAAGTAACTATCTCGGTTGGGGTGGTGCTCAGCAGCAAGTGCAAGTGTGCAACTGAGCTAGAAGTGGTTCTGGACAGGCTGAATCAGCCCACACCTCATGTTTTTGACAGGATTGTAACCTCATTCCGAGACAAAGCTAGGTAGAATGACTATCTTAGGCCTGCTCAGTATAGCAAAAGAAAGATAAAGCAACCCAATAAGGAAATACCAATTAAAATACCCGGGAATGAAAAGCCCTTGGCAACTATCATAGAAGGTAGATGGTATTCTGTGAGGAAAAGTGGTAGACCAACTCTGGAATTAACCAGAACTCAAAAGAGGAGGGTTCAAAGGCAGTATTGCACATTTCTCAAAAGCCAGGGTGATACACAGGTACCTTCAGAGACCAGTTCTGCCAGAAATGGGAAGAATCCGGAAGTACTTCCCCAAACGGAACGAACAACTAGCCAACCATAAAAAATGGTAAAAACAAAATCTCCATGCAGATCTCCTATCCATCCTGCCTCATCCTCAGTCAATTAGCTTGAACCTTCACAAGCACAAGGGGAATCTGAACCTATTCCAATTGAAGGACAAGAAGACTGGACTGAAGAGTATGAAGAGGAGCAGCTAGACTATGAACCATCTGCAGATGACTAGAATGGACTCCTCGAAATAGGAGAACAGGAAGACTAAACAGAAGAATATGGATAGGAGCAAATGGAGTATGATGGAGAACTAGATGAAGAAACTAAGGCTCTTGGCGCAGAATTGGAAAGTTTGTTACAAGGTGATCTGGAGTCAACCAGAACGGCCTCCCCCATGGTGTCATGGCAATTTTTGCCCTCTGCCATGTGTTTTGAGGCAAAGTATTACCATGATGACCTTGGGCCTTTCACCTTCCTTGGAGTCAACCAAAACTGTCTCCCCCATGGTGTCACGACCTAGAGACTCATTGAAGATGGTTTAGCCAGTTCTCTAGAGGACTAGAATAGACCTTTTGTTCTAAACCTCCAAAACTCTGTTGTTTAGTCCCAATCAACAAGAGAAGGATTTAGCTGCAACAATCTGATCCATTACAAAAAGATTGTTGGTTTATTGGGAAGAAAGGAAGCTCTTTATGTAGGATCTAGCCATCAATATGGCAGAATTCACCCATGAGAGCACTGAAGAACAAGAAGAGAGTTTGCATGAGGAAGTACTAGATTTTGCACCAGCAGCACTAGATGATTCTCTACCAGAAGTAGAAGATCCACTGCAGGAAATAAACTTAGGGACCAAAGAGGATCCAAGACCCACTTTCATTAGTGCATTATTGGAAGAACCACTCAAGAGTGAGATCATTGCATTTTTGCATGATTTAAGAGACTTTTGCTTGGCATTATCATGAAATGCTTGGATTAGACAGAAAGCTGGTGGAACACAAGCTGCCAATTAAAGAAGGTTACCTTCCAATCAAACAGGCCAGAAGAAGGATGTCCATGAATACAGAACTGAAGGTCAAGGAAGAAATAGAAAGATTGCTCAAAGCAGGATTCATCATACCAGCCATTTATGCTGATTGGCTATCCAATATTGTACCAGTTCTGAAAAGAAAAACAGGGGTAGTTAGAATCTGTGTGGACTACAAGAATCTAAATAAAGCATCTCCCAAGGATGAATATCCTATGCCAATGGCAGATATGATAGTAGATGGAGCTGCTCATAACCAGATGCTATCTTTCATGGATGGCAATGCAGGGTACAACCAGATTATGGTGGCAAAAGAAGACATCCACAAAACAGCTTTCATGTGCCCAAGACATATAGGTGCTTTTGAGTATACTGTAATGCTTTTTGGCTTAAGAAATGCGGGAGCTACTTACCAAAGAGCAATGAATTCTGTTTTCCATGATATGATTGGACATTCTCTGGAAGTATACATAGATGATGTGGTGATTAAATCCCCAGGGAAGGAAGATCATGTATCAAATCTAAGAAAGGCATTCCTAAGAATGAGACAACATAAGTTGAAGATGAATCCCAAAAAATGTGTTTTTGGAGTTCAAGCAGGGAATTTCTTAGGTTTCTTAGTCCACCAAAGGGGCATAGAGGTTGACAAAAATAAAGCAAAATCCATCATAGAAGCTCTACCACCCCAAAACAAGAAAGAACTGCAGAGTCTCCCAGGAAAAATTAATTTTCTAAGGAGATTCATATCCAATTCTGCAGGAAAAATCCAACCTTTCTCCTCCTTGTTAAGGTTGAAGCAAGAACAGACATTTAAGTGGGAGGAGCAGCATTGACAGGGTTTTGAGGAAATCAAGCATTACCTTTCAAATCCACCAGTTCTGTCCCCGCCAAAGAGAGGCAAACCACTCAAACTCTATGTTTCTGCATCAGAGGTGTCCATTGGGAGTCTGTTATTTCAAGATAACAAGGAAGGAAAGGAGCAGGTAGTCTACTATATGAGCAGAACTTTGACAGAAGTAGAGAGGAAATATTCTGCAATTGAAAGGCTTTGTCTAGCCTTGTACTTCACTGCTGTGAAACTCAGACACTACATGTTACCATACACCATCTACATCATTGCAAAGACAGATTTAATCAAATACATGCTAATAAGGCCAATGTTGAGAGGCAGAATTGGAAAATGGACTTTGGCTTTGACAGAATTTGCTTTCAGATATGTTCCTCAGAAAGCTGTCAAAGGACAAGCTGTTGCAGATTTCCTAGTAGATCATCCAGGAGAAGATATTGAAAACATGGACTCTTTGGACATAGCAAATGCAGATATGCTAACTAGAGCTCATACTTGTCTTAACAATCCTATCTATTCAGTTCATCTCACACCTTGGAAGCTGTATTTTGATGGATCAAAAACTGATATAGCTTCTGGGGCAGAGATTGTTTTGGAGGAACCATTAGGAATCAGACATTGTTATTCCTTCTAGTTAGACTTCCAGTGAACCAACAACAGGGTTGAATATGAAGCTTTAATTATAGGACTTGAAATGTTGGTGGAATTAGGAATCCAATCTGTGGAGATCCTGGGAGATTCCATGCTTGTCTTGAGACAAATTGCTGGAGAATACAAGTGCTTGAGTCCTTGTTTAGCTGTCTATCTAGTGGCAGCTAGAAACCTTCTGACAGAATTTAGAGAAGCTACTTGGGAGCACATCCCAAGGGAAGAAAACTTTGCAGCAAATGAATTGGCTCAGGTGACAACAGGTATACAAATGCCTGAAGACTATGTGAACAGATCATCAAGGTAGGGAAGAAGAGTCTACCATCTGTTCTGACTAGAGGGATGGGAATAGACGTCAATTCTGCCATAATCACTGAAGATGATTGGAGAAATCCTATCATAAATTACTTGCAATATCCAACCCTGCCCTCTGAAAAGAAAGTCAGAATCATGGCTTTAAACTACCTTATGTTGAATGGAGATTTGGTCCGAAAGAGCAAGGATGAGGTACTTTTAAGGTGCCTTGGAAAGAAAGAATACATGAAAGTCATGGGGAGAAACTCATGAAGGAATTTGTGGAGCTCATCAAGGAGGAAGGAAAATGTGTTGGTTAATTAGAAGGTGGCTACTTCTGGCCAACCATGATGAAAGATTGCATTGATTATTCCAAGGGATGTGAGGCTTGTCAAAGGCACAGCCCGATCCAGTAGGCTCCTTCAGTTCCCATGAATCCAGTGGTGAAGCCATGGCCTTTCAGAGGATGGGCAATGGACCTCATTGGCAAGATCTATCCAGCTAGTAGCAAGCAGCATTGTTTTATCATTGTGGCTATAGACTATTTCACCAAGTGGGTGGAAGCCAAGCCTGTTAAATCCACCACATCCCAAGAGATCATCACCTTCATAGAAGAGCAGATTATACAAAGGTTTGGCATTCCAGAATCAATCACAACTAACAGAGGATCTTCTTTCATATATGGAGAAATGCTGGATATGGTAGAGGCATTCAAATTTAAGCTACTCCAATCCACCCCTTACTATGCTCAAGCTAATGGACAGGCAGAATCCAATGACAAGGTAATCATCAACATTATCAGGAAAATGCTTGAGAAAAATCCAAAGCAATGACATAAGAAGTTATCAGAAACTTTATGGGCATATAGAACATCAAAAAAAGATTCAACTGGCATGACCCCTTATGCTCTCACCTATGGCCATGATGCTATTCTACCTATGGAAATAGCAGTCCAGTCTCTCAGAATAGCTCATCAACACAATCTGGTTGGGGAAGACTATTCCCAAGCCATGCTGCTAGAACTGGAAGGATTGGATGCAAGTAGGATTGATACCCTCAACAAGCTCTTAGTAGGAAAACAGGCTGTATCAAGGGCCTAAAACAAGAGAGTTAAAAACAAGAGTTTTGAAGAGGGAGAGATAGTCTGGAAAGCAGTTCTACCCCTTGGAACACACATAACTAGTTATGGAAAGTGGTTGCCTACATGGGAAGGCCCTTTCATAATTAAGCAAATTCTTGGTGGTGGTACTAAGAGAAGGGAGCTATATTATGTAGATGACTTCAGTCTCGGCATGGCTAACAGTGTGACGCATCCCTCTAATAGCAAACAAAATCAAATCTGGTTGTGGCACCGTCATTTAGGGCATCCGTCTTTTAGTTATATGAAGCATCTTATACCAGATTTTTTTCTCAGGTTTCAAGGACTCTGACTTTACATGTGACACTTGTATTTTGGCCAAGAGTCACCGTGTGCCCTATTCGTTGAGTAAGAACAAGTGTACTACTCCATTTACACTCTCATCTCTAGAGACCTTCACCTATCACTGCTCGTTCTGGCGTTCGGTGGTTTGTCACATTTGTAGATGATTGTACATGGATGACATGGCTTTATTTGCTGAAGAATAAAAATGAAGTGTTTTCCCATTTTTAGTTCTTTCACAAACAGATGAAAACTCAATTCAATGCTCAAATACAGATTCTTCGCTCAGACAACGGTGGAGAATTTTTCAATCATGACTTTCAAGCTTACTTCCAACAACATGGAATTATCCATGAGACGACTTGTCCTCAAACACCACAACAAAATGATATTGTTGAACGAAAGAATCGTCATTTTCTTGAAACCGCCTGAGCATTTCTGATTGGGGCTCATGTTCCTCACCATCACTGGGATGATGCTACTGTCACCGCAGTGTACCTGATCAACCACATGCCTTCTAGTGTATTCACCTTTAAAACTCACTTACAAGTGCTTGCACAACATGGGCCTCTGCCCTTTGTTTTGGTACTCACACTGTGAATCTTTATATGTGTGACCTTCGTTCATCTCCACAAAAATCAACGTAGCAAACTTGATCCATGTGCGCTTCGTTGTGTTTTGGTGGGTTATGCCACTCATCAGAAAGGCTACCGCTGTTATCACCCTGCTACCCAATGTACTTATGTCACTTTGGATGTGACCTTTCTAGAATCTGAGATGTTCTTTCATGACCCATCATCCAGTTCTACGCTTCAAGGGGAGATACGAAGTGAAGAGCAGAATTGGAACAACTTGAAAAACTAAGAAATTCACCTATATACAGAAACGATCGATCGTCCTCAATCTGGAGCACAAGATTGCTCTCTACTGAAAAGCGATCAATCCCCCATTCACAGTGATCAATTGCTTGACTCAGCTGACCCTTGCGAAGATGTTTCTAATCTGAGTTCCATACCTATAGACAACACTGAACAACAACAAGAAGACCCCTTTCTAACTCAATAGTACCAACGGACCAATCTTATGAGAATATCCTTGAGGTAACTACTCGTACTACACTTGTGAATTTAGAGGATAAATATATTGGATACCGATTACCTTTCAGGAAAAATCTTGGGAAGCCACCAAATCGTTATTCATCTGATATTGGCAAGACATCAAAGTATCCAATTGCGAATCATGTATCCACTGAGAAGCTGTCTAACCATTCAAGGATTTTGTGCATCAGTTGTCTGCTATTCATATCCAACCAAGGTTGCCGAAGCATTTAAAGATCCTAAGTGGGTTCAAGTTATAAAGGAAGAGATGAAAGCTCTTAAGAAGAATCAGACTTGGACACCGGAAACTTTACCACAAGGAAAAAAGACTGTTGGATGTAGATGGGTGTTTACCACAAAACACAACACTGATGGATCTATTGAGTGATACAAGGCAAGACTTGTGGCGGAAAGGTACACACAGACTTATGGTGTAGATTATGAAGAAACCTTTGCACCAGTTGCAAAATTGAACACAGTCAAAGTCTTACTATCTCTCGCAGCTAATTTGGATTGGCCACTACACCAATTTGATGTAAAGAATGCTTTCTTACATGGAGAATTCACATAAGAGTTGTATATGGACATTCCCCCTGGATATAATACTACTCAGACTAGAACAGTGTGCAAATTATGAAGGGCGTTGTATGGACTGAAACAGTCACCACGTTCATGGTTTGGGTGGTTCACCATGGCAATGAAGAACAATGGTTTCCGACAAAGTAACTCAGATCATACTCTATTCTTGAAACATCATAAAGGGAAGGTAACAGCTTTAATGATCTATATTGACGACATGATTATTACTGGGAATGATAAACATGAAATTTCTCAGCTACAAGACTATTTGGATACTGAATTTGAGATGAAGAATTTAGGTGGACTCAAATATTTTTTGGGGATTGAGGTGGCCCGATCACAACAAGACATATTTCTCTCTCAAAGAAAATATGTCTTGGACTTGTTGACAGACACAGGAATGTTAGATTGCAAAACTGTAGACACTCTTAGGGGCTGTTCGGTAGCGTATTTAGAGGCTCGTTTTCATTTTTTGAGCCCAAATACAAATAAAAAATGCATTTGGTGGGTTGTTGACAAATACACGGAAAATGATTTGGGAGAATGAATTCACGCATAAAGCGTAAAACGTGAAAAATGCCAAAATGACGTTTTCTCCATTCTCAACTCAAAATTAGAGTACGGAGAAAACAAAATCATGCTTCTTCTACCTCGCCCTTCGACTATGTCCCTTCGTCTAAGTCTAAAACAGATTTCTTGCTTCTCACTCTTGCAATCTTCCTACACACTCTTTTGGAAGATCTTGGTAAGAAAAACTTGTATAAAATATTTTGTTTCAGACTTGGGTTTTTCTGTATGGTTTATCTGAAACTTTTCTTCTCAGATTTCATTTCACACTCTCTCATAAGATCTTGCTGCTCAGCCTTTTGCTGATTGTAGTATGAAGACTCTGGTTTTTTTTTATATGTTTAGATTTGGGGTTTAATATTTCGTTTCAGATTTGGGGTTTTCCTTATGTTTAGATTTGGATATGAAGACTCTGGTTTTCTGTTTACTGTGATTGTAGTAAACTGGTTTTCTGTTTTCTGCGATTCGATTGAAATAGTATTGTTCTCTGCACTATTGTCTATTTTTGTTATATAACTTGGAACGCTTATGCAGAAATCTGAGTATGTGTTCTGTTCTGGACAAAATGACCTAGTTCGAATTTGTGTTTTACACTGGGTTTTTGATGTGTGAAAAATAGACATTTCGATGAGTATTTCAAAACTGATTTCATTCAAATTGGAGTTAAATTGGATTTTTGGCAAATTTTCAAAGTTGGCGTTATTCTGCAGAAAACCGAAAACTCTGCAGCCTAGTCTGTTTTGGATTTAGTTTTTGACTTCCTTCCTTAACTCGGAATTCAATGAAATTTTGATGTGTTGAAGTTTTATATGTCTACGTGTGATCTGGGAAGTTTCACACCATTTCGAATCAAAATGGATTTTTAATGATTTTCCAAAGGCGAAGTGTTCCTGCCTAAATTGTTTAATAAAACTGATTCCTATTGCATGTTTGTGTGACTGTGAGAGATTTGATCTATGATTTAAGACGATATCTTGGAGGATATTAGACCATTTTGGGTTAGCTAATGCATGTATTGGATAATGATAATTAATTTGACCATTGCACAATTTTACTGTTGACGAACGAATATTCACTATTTTTGTCAATTTCATATGTTCGTACCGGACATGTTTTCTTTGTTTCCATTCTCGGAAAATGTTTTCTCATTAACGTACCAGACGTGTTCTCGAATTTTAAAAATGCAAATTCGTTTTCTCATTTTCATTTTCTGAAAATATTCTCAGAAAACGTTCCAAAAACGTTACCAAACGGACCCTTATCGTTTAGAATCATCATCTTGGACAATACCCGGATCAAGTTCCTACTAACGAAGAAAGATATCAAACGTTAATGGGAAAATTGATCTACTTATCTCATACTCGGCCTGACATTGCTAATGCGGTGAGCATCGTCAGTCGATTTATGCATTCTCCGAGTAAAGACCACATGAATGCAGTTTTTCGGATACTTAGATATTTGAAGTCTGCACCCATAAAATGACTTATTTTCTCAAAACATGGTCATCTAAATATTGATGGTTACACATATGCAGATTGGGCAGTAAGTATAACAAATAGGAAATTTAGATCCGGTTACTTCACATTCGTGGGAGGTAATTTGGTTACCTAGATGAGCAAGAAACTGAAGGTGGTCGCCTTATCCAGTGCAGAAGCTGAGTTCAGAGGTATGACCAAAGGAATTTGCGAACTCATTTTCTTAAAGAGGTTGCTTATTGAACTTGGGTATAGACCTACATTTGTTATGAATCTTTTTTGTGTGACAATAAAGGCTGAAATAGCTATTACACAAAATCCAGTTCAACATGATCGCACCAAACATGTTGAGGTAGATCGACACTATATCAAACAGAAGCTCGAAGCTAAAGTGATTCAGTTTCCTGTTATAAAGTCAGAGGATCAATTGGCAGATATTTTGACAAAGGGGATTTCCAGTAAAACATTTCACAATTCACTGGATCAGTTGGGCATTGGTGACATTTGTGAACCAACATGAGGGGGAGTGTTAGCGTGACTTGTGGACCATTGACTTACTTTCCTTTCACACCAAGAATTCCTATTATAATTGTAATTGATTTACTTTAATTCCTTATTTCCTACTGTAAATAGAAATATGAATTTATTATTTTCTTGCGCATTAAAGTTCCATTGTATTATAAATATGACCTCCTACAAGGAGAAGAATACACAGAAAATTCCCACAAATAAATATTTTCATATTATATTTCATATTTTAGCACCTATGATATTCTTTACATGCAAGATACGGTCATTCTGGCAATTAATAGCTCTGCTGCTATTGACAAATTTTTCAAACAATGCATGGGTCCTAAGACATCTGTTGTTCGGTTTTCCACTGTTTACATGTATTTTCTTCGCACATTTGTCCTCGCCACAACCTTTCTTTTCTATGTCCTGCTTTGCGCTGTAGTATTGAAATGGACTTTGTGTGGCTTTTCAGGTTTCTTGCCTTTTACATGGCAACTATTCGCTGTGTCTGTTGCTTCATTGTCCATGTTATTCTATGTCATTCTTCAGTTTCTCTATCGGCTTTTGAATTACGCATCAGAATGTATATCAGTAAAGGTATTCAGCAGTTCAAGGATAAATATCAGAATCCGTTGTTCTCAGATCTTGTATTGGCCAATCTTTCTTCAAGATAATGGCATGAGGTAATATGAAAATCTATGCTGAATACTGTGTTTACACCATAATCAACCGAGCATATCCAGCCTCAAAGGGACTAGCCACCTGTCGAAGCTCCCGACTGCCGAAGCTCTCAACTGCCGAACCTAATCTCCGAGACACGTGTCATCACCACAGCAACTTGCACAAAGTCTCACATCGAAACTTTGTGCAAAACTCTCATTTTCACTTCCCTATAAATAGGGAACAGTATCCAAGTAAAAAGGGGTAACTACTTTCTCACCTTTACTATTACTCTGCCAAATTTATCATTCATAACTGACTTAAGTATCGAAGAGCCTTCGCCCGGCACCACACCGGTGTCCGAAGACGACTACTTTTTCCTCTTCATCTTCTGCAGGTTCTTTCCTTACCGAAGGTCCTCACCTTCTTCCATGCTGAAGACACTCCACTTCTCTCTAAGTTGACCCTCCCAAAAAAAGCATCAACATACTGGAAAGTTATCTGATCGATGATTTGGGTTTCAATGCCATTCCATATGGCATTCTAATCATTGATGAAATTAACAAATGCAAATACGGAAATGTATGTTGCATACTATTGAGTTGTCTAACTGACAAGTTGGGTTTCAAATGCCATTCATTTAGCATTCTATGTTGAATACTGGGAAGTTACTGATAAGTTGGGTTCAAATGCCATGTCATATAGCATAATAATCATTGATGAAATTTACAAATGGAAATCTAGAAATCTATGTTGATGACTGGGAAGTTATTAGACTCATAATTTGGTTTTCAAATGCCATTTCATATAGCATTCTAATTTTGGAAAAAATTTAGAGATCTAAAGATGCTATTAGATTTCACACCATTTTGGTTTATGAGGAAGTTTTTTCTTTGTAAACTTATGCATGTTAATAAAGTGTTGACGTTTTCTGATCTATACTTTTGTAGGCTGAAAATTAGGTTTTCTTAAGTACCATGATTGGCATTCACCTGATCTCTCTCTTCTCATCCTTGACTGCATTGTCTTACATTTGACCCCCATGGCCAGTTCTCGTCATTTTGTGTATTTTTATTTCTTTTGTTCTATCATCATTTTGGTTTAGGGTTTAGGGTTTAGGGTTTAATTCTTCCGTGAACAAACTGCAATTTTTTTTCTCGTCATCTTCTTGATTTCAAAGGCCACTATCAAGTGTTGAATACGCAGAGAAAGCTGCACTGTATAAGCATTCCATGTGGTCAAGTTTAGCTGTTGATGTACTTCTGGGAAACTTGTTTGGTTTGGCACTGTTGTATCGTGCAAAATCTGCTTGCATATGGGTCCTGAAATTTTCCAGTGACATTACAAACAAGTTATTGCGCTCAGGTTGTGTGGTTGATGGGAGTCCCCTTGAGTTCTTGGGATGATTTCTCTAACTGCTATCCAGATTTGGTCTACCATTTGGATCTTTTTGGGGTTTCACTTCCTTTATTTCATCATTAGAGGACTTGCTATATCCGGAATGAATAGTAAAATAGGACTCATACAAAATCGGTAATCTCATTACTGATATTGAAGGGATTTGATTACTGAAAGGGGTGGTGGGATTGGAGAAGAGGGAAAGGGAATCATAATTTCATGCCTAAACTACCCTCTTTTTTTTTTTGATAACCCAAAAACACCCCTCCCAAGTCTAACTCTTAGAGATAAGAGAAATACAACACTCTACTTTTTCAAGCATTTTCATCACCCAAAGTATCCTTTATTTTATCTATTATTTACCCAACATAATGTTAGCGAGATCCTAACTTAATTAGGAGATTTATTTCCTAGTCTATTAAGACTCTATTTCTTTCTTTTTTATACAGATATTGTGTAATTATGATTTTATCTTATTTCCTTGTATAACCCTACTAGGGTTACAATCTTATATTATAAATACCTCCTTTTGGGGAATGAAATATATCTGAAAATATTCTACCCATATTATTTGACTTGGCATTAGAGCCGACTTTCTGGTGACTTGTGTGTTGTGCCAACCCGTGTTCTAGCCCCATATTTTTTTCTACATGTGCCGTGTGTGCCCTCCTAGGTTTGTGTGCTGTTGTAGTGTTCATACCATTCTTGTCTTCGTGCATCTGCCGTGTTTGTGTCTCTGCTATGTTCCGTTGTGTATTCTACAGTATTCGGGCCTCTACAACGTTCATGCCTCCACTGTGTTCGCACATGTCTTCGTGCATCTTTCTTATTTGTGCCTCTGCTGTATTCCGATGTGTACTATGTAGTGATATGTTGAATTTCTACTGCAATCATGGGTGATAAATCCATTGTTCCTGCTGCTTCTGCAAATTTGTGTGTTTCTGACTATATTCCAAGTACCGGCTCCAATACTTAGATAATTGACACTTGTGCTCCTAATCATATGACTTATTATGCTAAATTTTTTGATGAATTGTCTAGTAACACCCGTGACCCATACATAACTAGTGCTAATGGCTTGCCCTCTCCAATTACTGTAGAGGGCACAATCTGACAAGACCCGACCCAAATTCCACTTTGGAATCCGAGCCGAACCTTGTGAGTGTTCAACACCTGGCTAATACTGGGCACAAAAGACTAAATTGCCCTTTTAACTGAAATTAAATGAAATTCAAATGCGACTTCTACCGAAAATTCGACAGTTTCCCCTGTAAACTGAACATTTCCCAAAAATATTCCACCTATGAAACAAGCATATATGTTTAAATATATATATATATATCACAACTGCCAGCATGTATCAAATTATATACAAAAGAAATTAAGCGTCATATCATTCTGGTCTTTGGCTGCAACAAATCAAATAAATCAATTTGCTAATAAAATTCATCTCAACTACCAAAACAACAATAATACATTGACAATCTCAACCATTCTAACTCGTGGCTGCATATTGTAACCAAAGGCTGCCTACGTACACTTACTGAGGGATCAATCCACACGTAGTTCTTTCTTTGCAAAACCACTCTAGTTCTCATTTCCTATTCCAAGCTTCCTGGTATTACTCACATGGCAATATTTATATTTAAATGAAGAAATAAAAGCATTTATATCAAGTAATCATGCTTGCAAAACCATAACCATCAATTCCTCGTGACACCAATGGTGACACGTCCTGACCTGGAATCCTCGCTGGACTCAGGACACATCTGGTCAACCTGGTCCGCAATCCTCGCTCCCACGGTCCGGATAACTCTAGGACTCGTGGGCAAAATATGCTAGAAAAACTTAAGGTATTTAATACTATATAAAATAATGCAAGATAAAGATAAATGAGCATAATAAGATGAAATAAAATAAGTTAAAGATTTATAAGTTCCGAACACCCTTGTATCGAAATCACGTAAAATTCATAAATAAATATATATTTATATATTTATATATATATATATATATATATATATCAATAACTTGATTAGAATCTATATATATTTCCATCTATCGCTTGTAAAACAAATGTGATGCTTAAGAAAATAATGGTAATTATATAAAATCCTCAATTTAGTTAAAAGCATCTCATATCTTAAATCCTCTCCACCTAGGCGTACCCCCTTTATTTCCGTCAATTCCCTTGGCAAGTCTCGGTGACACAAGGTCAACCCGAGCCTCAAACTAGCAGGATTCAGGGGATTGTAGTCAGCCTGATCCGCAAACTAGCAGGTCTCGGAGACACACTTCAATCCGAGCCGCAACCTGGCACCACAGGGTTCAGGCGTCCCCGAAACTCGTGGGGCATCATCAAAATAGCAAACTGTCTCAAGGCAACTGGGGGGTACCCTCGCGGTGGGTTTGAAAACCATAACCCATCATTTATATAAACTTTCAATAAATTGGTTCTCAACTAAACTTAAAATATATATATCCATATATATATATATATATATATATATAGCTTCTATTGAGGGATCCCTCAAATAAGCTTATTTAAATGACACCCTTTGTAGGGCCCACTCCGGATTGTATTTCACTAATCCAAACCGTCTATTTTGTAGATACACATTCAAATATCATCTCTACAAAAAAATCAATTGAATCCGATATCATTTGACTATTCAATTGAGTTATTGAAATTTTACTTTCTTGAAGTATCGTGTTCATTGATTTTGTAGGACACAATTGGATGTCGAAACGGTTTCCAATTTGTCTAATTTTTTGTAAGGATGATCTATGAATGAAGACCTAAAAAATAGATGGTTTGGATCATTGGAAAAAAAAATTGTAGAATGCCCTAGAGGGCGTCCTTCAAATAATTTTTTATTTGAGTGATCCCGGGGACGATATATATATACCCAAAATCTGATAAAAACCAAAAGCTATAATTCTTCCTTTTCAACCACTGAATATGTGTATTAAATATGGACATGCACTTAATTATTTAGCTAGGTTGTTAATCATGTCGATCTCTGAATAACATACGAAACCGTCGGCATAATATGGGTATATGGAACAATCTGTAAAACTTCAAAATCGATCTTTAATACCTACATAAATGGATAGAGCACAAAGAGTAGATGAAGTTTCATAGCTGGCTCGATGGATTTCGTGGCCGGAGTCGCCGGAAATACAAAAATATTGCCGGAAAAGCCTAACCATTCCTTAGCTTCAATTCGAGCTCATCATTAGCCAATCAGATTGGATCTTAGATGGGTTTTATAGAGGAGGGCGAGATGAACACTTTTCGTGAAGGTGGCGTGGCCATCCGGTGAACGATAACGTCGATTTTGTGGCTTGGAAGTCGAACAGTCACTGTTGCTACAGTGACTGTCGAAAAACAAAGAATAAGAAAAATGCTGAAGCTCCTCGGGGAGGAGGAAGGAGAGAAATAAAAAGAGTTCGGGTACTGTAGTGGGTACTGTAGCAATAAGAAATTTTAAAATTCCATTTACGTCCTTTTCGTTTCTAGACCTTTTCTCCTTCGTTACAACTCAGAATTGGGTGTGCCGCATGTCTAAGAACTCATATCATCGAGCTCTACACAATGGTACCATGCAAATCCCCAAATTCCTTTCCGGTCAAAAAATCAACTTTAATCCTAATAAAATATTCTATGAGTATAATTGTCTTTTACTAGAATAAATTAATAATTAAATATTAATTAAGGACCGAGTTGTTACACAATCTCTTTCACTCATACTTTGTCTTTGTTTTGTGCGTTACTAGTTTCCAATATCCATTGTAACTTGTTATCTATTGGTCGATTACTTGATACACCTAATGCTTCTGCTACTTTCTATCTTACACATTACTCTTTTCAAGATCTCAAGACTCATGAGATGATTGAGCATGGTAAACGAATAGGGGGTTATATTATTTAACATTACCTTCTACACCAGTTCGTGATCGTGTCGTTAATACTGTTAAAAGTTGCAGTGTCAAAGACAAACAACAAATTTGGTTATGGCATCTTCGCTTGGGACACCCGTCGTTTGGCTACTTTAAGCGTCTGTTTCCATCTTTATTCCATTTTTGTGATGAGGCCAGTTTTAAATGTCAGACATGTATTTTGGCCAAAAGTCATCGCACTGTGTTTCCTTTGAGTGACAGTAAAACTACAAAGCCTTTTGATTTAGTGCATTCTGATATGTGGGGTCCGGCTCACGTTGCTTCGAACGGATTTCATTGGCTTGTCATATTTATTGATGATTGTACCTGACTCACTTGGGTTTTCTTGCTGAAAAATAAACATGATGTTGTTTCCATCCTTCCAGAGTTTTGTACTATGGTGTCTACTCAGTTTCAGGCTCGGGTCAAAGTATTTTAGACTGATAATGGAGGAGAATATGTGAATAATACTTTGGCTTATTTCTTCCGTGCTCAATGTATTATTCACCAACCCCTCAACAAAATGGTGTGTCTGAAAAGAATAACCGACAATTGCTTAAAGTTGCCCGCTCACTCATATTGGATATGTTTGTTCCCCATCATCTTTAGGGGCATGTTGTTCTGTCTGTTGCTTAGTTGATTAATTATACTCCTAGCGGAGTTCTTGATTTCAAAACTCTGCATGATGTGTTTGGTGGACATGTTTCCCCTGTCTCCGTCTCCAAGTTGCTCCCTAAAGTCTTTGGGTGTATTGTCTATGTTCATGTCTACTCTCATCAATGGAGTAAACTTGATCCTTGTACTCTGCGTTGTGTATTTATTGGCTACTTTTCTACTCATAATGGTTATAAGTGTTATCATCTACCTATCCAGAAGGTGCATGTTACTTTGAACGTGACTTTCCATGAAGAAGTACCTTATTATGTTTCTCCCTCATCTCCAATTCAAGGGGAGAGGGGGAGTGAATTGGAGAGTCTTGGATTGTAGAATCTTGGACTTGAATTGGAGAATGATGTGTTTGCAGATACTGCTCTCAGGAAAGAAACGACCGGTCGCACTGAAGCAAGTGACCAGTCGCCACATCTGAAGATGAAAAATGTGGTCTTTGTGAAGAAACGACCTATCGCCCTTTGGAACTCAACAGGTAGCCCATACCTGGAGATGAAGCAGGTGCTCTCGGTGTCGAAATGACCGATAACACTTAAGCAAATGACAGATCGCCTATATCTCAAAATAGTGATAGTGATTCTTGTATGGATGAGCTCGATGCAATACACCCCCCCTCGCCTTCTTGCCCTGCCAGTGCCCCACTCTACTCGTTATAGTGAATCAAGTGAGGTAATTTCTGATGATCTATTTATGTCAACTTATCAGTTATCCCCACGAATCACTCGTGGGATACCTAAAGTACAATATTCTCCTAATATACATATCAAGTCTAAATATCTCATTAGCCATTATGTGTCACTCATTGTTTGTCTAAGTCATATGCATCATATTTGTGAAAATTATCTAGTGTATGTGTGCCAATTAAGCTGTAGGATGCTCTTTCTGACCCCAAATGGGTGGATGCTATGAATGTTGAAATGGAAGCTTTGAACAAGAATGAAACTTAGGATTTAGTCTCTTTATCAAGAGGGAAGAAAGCTATTGGGTGTAGATGGGCGTTTACTTTGAAGCACAAAGCTGATGGTTCCATCGATCGTTACAAGCCTAGATTTGTAGTAAAGGGTTATACTCAAACCTATGGAGTGGATTATTTGGAGACCTTTGCTCCAGTAGCAAAGCTCAATACTGTGTGTGTGCTCTTGTCCCTAGCTACTAATCGTAACTGGCCCTTCTTACAGTTTGATGTAAAGAATGCATTCCTACATGGTGACCTCAAGGAAGAAATATACATGGATCTTCCTCCTGGTATTCATATGACCTTCAAAGAGGGTGTTGTGTGTAAGCTACGAAAATCCTTATATGAATTAAAACAGTCTCTAAGAGCATGGTTTTGGAGGTTTGCAACATCTATGAAGAAATTTGGGTATGTGTAGAGTAACTCATATCATACTTTGTTTCTAAGCATCATAAAGGTAAATTGACAGCTTTAATTATTTATGTTGATGATATGATTGTAACTAGAGATGATCAAACATAAATGCAAAATCTTCAGAAGTATCTAGCTTCCGAGTTTGAGTTGAAATCATTGTGTGATTTGAAGTACTTTCTTGGAATTGAAGTTGCCATACCTAAACATGGTATCTTTTTGTCCCAAAGTATGTTTTGGATTTACATGCAGAAACTGAAATGTTGGATTGTAAACCAATTAATACCCCTAGTGAATAGAATCATAAGTTGGGGTTGTATCATGATCAAGTCCCTACTGATAAAGAGTGTTATTGTGGAGAAATTGATTTATTTAGCTCATACACGTCTTGATATTGCATATGCAGTCAGTGTAGTGAGTCAATTTATGCATTCTCCTAGTAAAGATCATATGGGTGTTGTGATGCGTATTTTGAGGAATCTAAAAGTAACTCATGACAAGGGGTTAATGTTTTCCAAGTATGGTCATACAAATGTGGAAGGGTATACGGATGTTGATTAGGTTGGTTCAGTCACTGATAGACGTTCTACGTTTGGGTATTTCACATTTGTTAGTGGTAATCTTGTTACTTGGATGAGTAAAAAGCAAAAAGTGGTGTCTCAGTCTAGTGCCGAAGTTGAGTATCGTGGGATGGCTCAAGGTGTGTGCAAGTTACTATGGTTAAGGAGATTGTTGAGAGATCTTCGGTTTGCGCCCCAGAAACCCATGGATTTGTATTGTGATAACAAAGCTGCAATTGTGATTGCTTATAACCCTGTGCAACATGATCGTACAAAGCACGTGGAGGTTGATCGACATTTTATTAAAGAGAACGTGGATGCTGAGATTGTTTCTTTTCCGTTTATATCATCTGAATATCAATTGGTAGATGTACTTACGAAAGCTGTGTCTACTACTGTTTTTCTTAACTTGCTTGACAAGTTGGGCATGCACTCCAACTTGATAGGGAGTGTTAGCGAGATCCTAGCTTAACTAGGAAATTTATTTCCTAGTCTATTAGGGCTCTATTTCTCTCATTTTTATACAGATATTGTGTAATTAGGATTTTATTATAAATATCTCCTTTTGAAGAATGAAATATATCTGAAAATATTCTACCCATATTATTCGACTCACAATAAGGTAGAATACAAAGAGTTACATTTAGAGCATAACCAAGAAATATCTTAGTTACTCCAAGTTTTCTAACTGAGCATTGTTATTTAGGTTAGTGTTATCCATTCATTTCCTTCCAAACTAAAAGAAGTTATAAGTTACCATATCCATCTTCGGAAAAAGTAAAACTAGATGTCACTAGTATTTCTCCAAAATGATTTAAGTATAGTGTTTACCCCGACAGAGCATCTGCACATTCTCTACGGGGCCAATTTTATGATGATCTATTATCATATTCCAACAAGAAGACATGATGAAGCATATAATTTCAGGCTGAGCAAGATGGGAGAAGAGACTTTTGAAGTATTGTATAATAAATTAGTAGGTCATCTGGAAGCATAATATGCTGACATCTCATACTAAAACAATTTAGCATAAGTAGAGATTCATAATATCATGAACATGATGGAAGCATAAGATAAAAAAGAATCTCTCATCTCCCAACGGCATAAGCAGCCATAATAGAAGCAATAGCAGCAACACCCACGTGTAGAGATCATTTGCATAGTAACAAACTTTACTAAAGAAAGTGGGATCATGTTTGGCACCATACGGAAAGCGAAATGAAAATCTCCATTGGCATCATTAGAAAAGCAAAATCAAACTTCCAAGGCAATCTCAAAAATGAATGAGGAATAGGTCCTTATTTAATACTACGAACCTTATACTTACCTTAGAGCACTTCCACCAGTTAGCCCCTTGCCATGGCAAGGGGAGCCCTAGGGCAGCTACTATTCACGTGAATAGTGGCTGCCCTACCCTCCCTTAGCAAAGTGTGTTTCCAGCAGTTTAGGCTTGCCATGGCAAATACTATTCATTTTTTTTGTTTTTTTCACAACTTTGTTTACTTAAACAATTAATTTGTATAATATTTTCGGATAAGATTTTTGGGTTCCTACGTATAAAAAATCATTTTCTCAAGATTTTTAGCGGAGGTGCAATATTGACTAAGTATGAAAAATGGTTTTTCGAAATAATCATTTTCTCAAGAAAATTTTTGGCGGCTTTTATTCCTTACACATCAAATAAGAAAACTTGATTTTATGGGATTTTAATATGAAGTATATATTGACTTAATGAGCCATCATTTTTAGCCTAAATCGTATTTTGCACTAAAACCGATTTTTCATATTTTGATTTGGTGGGAATTTGATTTTCTAGTATTTTTATTTGAATCCAAATGGGGGGTACTTCCTTATTTACATTGTAAACTTAAGTAAATGGAGTAATATAAAAATAAATAAAAGTAAAAGGACAAAGACATTTACTTAAATGTTGAAAATGGAAATAAGGTATAGAGAGAAAAAATAATAATAATAATTTTTTGGTATTTTTTATTACAAAAATATTGGTTGTTGGTGTTAAAAGTGAAGAGCATTGGTTGGTATTTATAGAAAACAATTTCAGTATTTTTTGGGTATTTTTTTACATTTTTTTTATTTTTTTATTTTTTTTTATTGGGAACAATGGAGGTGACGTCATCGTGACATCAGCTCAGCCCGCAGGCAAGCACTCAGGCCGAACCCCACCTCGGGCCAGCCCAGGCTGCTGGCCCCCACCTCTTGCCCGGGCTCCATTTTGTTGCTGGAAACACCTACAGGACCCAAACCCCCCCCAGCCCGAGCCCAGCCTGCATTGCTGGAAATGCTCTTATATATATTAATAAATTTAAACGTAAAAGCTAAATTGAAAATATAAAATGCACCAAAAAAACCCCATATATGGTGGCTAGGCCCCTCATCGACCACCAAGGATTACTCAACCCAGATTGGTCAAATGGTTAGCAGCCAAATTTTTTAAAGCTTGCCACTTTTACTTGGATAAAGAATTGGATTGTCTATTGATGCATATCTACAGGCAAAGGAGCTCTATAGCTGATAGCCCTGCAAATCTTTGTCTTTATCTCTCACTATCTTAACGCGCCAGACGGTACGGTTATGGTACAGAAAAGCCATAACAATAGCTAAACTGATATAGCAAAACATGTTCCACTAATACAATATATCTAACCGCATTTCACCAAATACATATCAATTGATGCATTCACATACATTCATCAATCAGATTGACCAGGTCACACACCAAGAGAGAACAGGTTAGATCATAGGTTAGATCATTCCACCTATCACAGAACCCCAAACCAGAAAGACAACAGCAAATTAATACACATGCGAAACAACTAACAATGCGCTTTGTTGCTTATTCTTAGTCATGCCATGCAAACTCTCCTTTCCTCTCTCGTAAGCTTCTTCCCCTTCTATAGTCAATTTCTGCATCTGAGCTTGATAGACCCAGCTGATACTTTCTGCTCAATTTAGACGACCCTATCTTTGAAAAAATGTCTTCTTCGTCGGCGAGAACACGGATACCAGGACCAGGCGTAGTTGATCGAGATACATCACCAGGCTGCCTCCATGATTTGTGATCTGAGTCATACAAGAAATGAACATTACTATCCAAAAATAAAAAATAAGCAGGGGGAAGAAAGGGGAGAGAGAGAGTTCAAGTAAGATGAAACGTTCCCTGATTCCTTTTCTATGCGTCCTTTACATTTTTCTTCCATTGCAAAGGCACACACGACAGCGGAAAGCGTTATCGGGGGAAAAAAAAAGAGGAAAAAAAGACTAGCTTAAATGTTAGTGTCCTCCAAACTTATGATAAACAAGCGTGAATGGTTTCGACCACATAAAATTTGACTTATTCAAGCGTGTTACTTGAATTTAGTTTTAAAGAAACTACTGCTTCATCTAGTTGCTAAGAAAACATGGACAAATGAGGGCTTATGAGTAATTAAGGTTGCATAAGCTGTTCCAGCAGTCAAACATTGACTTTTTAGGAAATGATAATTTTCATTTAAAAATAATAATAATAAGTTTCTTCCCTGCTTGATTTTCAAAAACAAATGAACAATAGTGTAATTTAGATAAAAATTATAACAGTTCACCTTCATATCCATTACATGATATTGGCAAGTCGGAGCTTCCACCCTCATCAAGATCTGATTCCGATTTAGTAGTGTCCTGACTCTGCAAGATTGTCTTTGTCTTCTGTGCTTTAAGTCCTTCGGTGACAGATGTAGGTTCTATATGTTCTTCAGTAGGCAATTTATGAGAGGTAAAAGGAGTCATGGTAAATGAGTCATCCATTACATCAGAAATCTCCACATATTGTGTTGTGGTGATAATTTCATCAGCACTGAACCCAAAGGATGCTCTATAGGCTTCTAATTCTTCCACATCTTGCTTGGGGCTTCTATTGTGTCTGTTCTGACTTCCATTTCCACCAGTTGAGTAAACATCTGAATCCTTGGAAACGCTTAACCTTCCACCAGCATGAGGAAATGGTGGATTATCCAGATAGAATTGTGCAAATGTAGCAGGACAGAAGAAATTTGAGTCTTGAGATGCCGCAGAGGCTCCAGTCGTGTCATACCCAAACAGCCTGGCAGAACCACTCCTTGGATAGGTGCCATTCTGGGGAGAAACTGAGGGATCCCACTGTCGGGGGAAATCACGTTCAGGAAAAGATGATGAACAGTCATTTGATGCCCTCGAAATTGGTGATCGGAGACTACTAGCAGGACTTCCAGGATAGAGCGAATATGTTGCTTGAAGATCATTTGCAGCAATGTAATTGGTCTTGTCAGTGGTTTTAATGTCTACTGAAGATGAGAGGAAACGAGCAAATGGCACATCTGGGGAAGAGGGAGTTGTTAGGTGAGCCAATTCTGGTGGGGGAGTGAGAGGAGCTGTGGACGGCTCAGTTGTGAAGGTTGAGAAAACAGGAGGAGAGACCAGTTGTGTTTCATTGGCATATGGCCCGGTGGCATACATTGTTGACGAAGGACCTCCAGGTGAGTTGGCAGATAATAATAAGGAACAACTGGGTGACTGAGCTGTTGAAGGAAGTGCTGAATTTGTAAATGATGCTGGTGAAGAAGGCGGAGCCAAAAGAGATGGAGCTAGTGATGTGGCTTGGTTGGTCAGCCCAACCGCTTGGGGTCCATTTGGCTGGGTTGCTGATGCATTGCCTTCAGGAATACGAGACGCAGGGACTATACGCTTTCCACCTTTATGTGAGTCAAAACAAGAGAATGCACCCCAACATCCTCCCCATCTCTTTCTCTGTCAATACAGATGGAAGCCATAAGCTTGATTGAGAATTGCTCGCAAAAAGAGAAATGCAAAAACAGACAACTAATAGGCCAGTAAATCGAAGAGCCCATTCTAAGTTACTAAGTAGGCAATTCTATCCCTGGTGTGCAAATATCTGCATGCATTACCTAGATACAGTCCATATGCTTGGAAAGTAGGATTTTATAAAAGAATAATGTGAAGAACTACCCAATTACTGGATGGTTATGCATCCATTAAACTAAATCAAGCAACATTCATACATTAGAGAAGACCACACCTTCCACTGTACAATGTCAATGATCTCCAAGGAAGATGAATTGAATCTACTACCTCAACCAAAAAATATGAGAATTTTATAGCAGATGCTATGCAAGAAAGAGTAGGTCTCTATTAGGCCTTTTTTGGGGGTTTAATGTATTGGGACAGATTGTGATCCAAGCAACAATTTATAGGCCAACTATTTGAAAATTTACTCAAATTTGGCATTGAACGACAGCACTCAGTGTTGATGGCATGGTAAGCACGCAGTGTATGAGATAATGACAAAACGTTAGGTAGATAAAATGGGAGATGATCTTGAACAGGACAGTGATTAGTGACCAAGAATCATGCACAGCCTAAACTGAATTTAAAAAAGCAGATCTGTCCAGAGAAAAACAATGATGCACAGATCTGATTGAAACCCAAAAAAGCAAATAGAATCCAAACGCCAAACACAGCAAAATGGTGCACAAAAGGCCCCAGATCTGAAACTGAAACAAACTCTCACTGACCCATTCATTACCACAACAACAGCAGCAGCAGCAGCAACAACAACAGTTGGACATTCATTTAATCACAGAGCAAAGCACAGAGAGAGAGAGAGAGAGAGAGAGAGAGAGAGAGAGAGAGGAGAGAGAAGCATTACCCGTTCCTGCTGCGGGAATCTATTCTGCTCCGACCCCATTAAAGCAGTCTCTGAGCTTCTTTGATTTGCTTTCAACTATAAAAAACAAGCTCACACTTCCGCACTCTCTCACTACTCTCACATTCCTTTTCAGAACAAAGCGAGAGCGAGAGCGAGAGCAAGAGCAAGAGCAAGAGCAGCAGCAGATGCTGAGTGTCACCACCACCACCACCCACCACCCACCATCACCGCTTAAGATTTTCACTCTCAAGGAGTCGAGACTCAAAGAGCCTTAACCAAGCACAACTAAATATAAAGCTGAAATCTCAAAGAAATGTAAAACGATCAACGATCCCACGGAAAGCAAACCAATTTCCTTTAATCTTAAATTGTAAAATGGAAAAGGATATTGTAGATCAAAGACAGGGAAAGACAAAAGCGAAAAGGAAAGCAAAGATTGAAGTGAAGTGATAGGGAAAGAGAAAGAGAAAGAGAAAGATAGAATTGACACCGCTGATCTTTTTCCTTTTTCTTTTTTATGTTCTTAATTTTTTAATATTAAAAATAAAAATAAAACAAGACTGTGCGTTTCGTTTTTATAGGAGTTAGGAGTTGAGAGTTGAGGCCTGAGGAAGGAAGGATTTGACCCTAAAAAAAAAAAAAAGGCCCGAGGAAGGAAAGAGAAGTAATAAATATTAGGCTTAATAAGACAAGGAAGGAATTACAAGAATAGCATGACCCATGAGGGAAAGAGAAAGACGCCATTAAAAGTTAGAGCTGCTGCTGCTTATACAAACACTCGGGCAATGGGAATGGGAATGTCAAAATGGGAATTTTGGGACCCTACACGCTGCCATGCGAGAAGCTCTTTTCTTTTCTATTCATTAAAGTGATTCATGTATTTCTTCATAAATTTATTTAAAGTGATTTTAATACCCATTTAAAGCACTTTAATTTTTTTGCCAAACACTCTATTTTCTGTTTTGGAAGTGCTTCCATTTTACTACAAATATATTTTCTTTTTTTTTAATACAAACAATATTTTATTTTAACTTAATCTAAACAACAGAGCTCGTATGAAGGGTGAAGAGCACATCCATGTCTGCTACTACAAATATACTTAAAATTACACATTTAAATCTGAATTTTTCGTGAATAATATACACCTTTTCAAATACTTTCCAATAATACAAGTCTCTAGCTTTGATTGATTTTCCCCTGTAATCTAGGTTATAATCTGGTTACCCCATGCCTATCTGCAGTATATGTACAACATATATGGTGTGTAAAGATCCACCCTATTTGTTTATATGAATTAGTTTTCCCCACTATATTATGATGATGTAGATGATAGTAGCATTACATGACAAGTTTGTTTGTGAATTATGACTGGAACCAATGGCGAACCTATTAAGGCGCAAGGAGGTGTAGCTACACCTCCCTTCATTGGAAAAAACCATTGTAGGTACTTCAAATTGCCCTTTTGCTCAACTGGTGGTGATGTACATATTAGTTATTTCCATTTTCAACATTTAAATGTCTTTAAATGTCTTTGTCCTTTTACTTTCATTTATTTTTATATTGCTTCATTTACTTAAGTTTCAACATTTAAATGTCTTTAAATGTCTTTGTCCTTTTACTTTCATTTATTTTTATATTGCTTCATTTACTTAAGTTTACAATGTAAATAAGGAAGTACCCCCCCATTTGGATTCAAATAAAAATACTAGAAAATCAAATTCCCACCAAATCAAAATATGAAAATCGGTTTTAGTGCAAAAATACGATTTATGCTAAAAATGATAGCTCATTAAGTCAATATATACCTCATAATAAAATCCCATAAAATCAAGTTTTCTTCTTTGATGTGTAAGGAGTAAAAGCCGCCAAAAATTATCTTAAGAAAATTATTATTCCGAAAAATCATTTTTCATACTTAGTCAATATTTTTACATAAAACAATTTTTCATATATGATATGAATGCATGAAGTGACCTAAGGTCAATCTAGATAAAAAGCTTTAGATGTTCAATCCACAAAGAGTTTTTAGCCTTTCAAAATTGCACCTCAACTAAAAAAAAATTAGGTCCACCAGTGACTGCAACAAGTTGGGAACTTCAGAGTTGAACCTCCAGAATTATTCTGAGATCATGAACAACATCCAAAGTTTTTTTTTCTCTGCTGTGATACAGATTTCAGAGTTGTCCACGATGAGATGGGTTGATATGCGGTGGCTATCGCATATGTTGAATTGTTTACCTTGATTCCGAAATTTCTTTGAGTGAAGAAAAGCTGAAAACGCTGAAGTGATGTTACAAGTAATATAGGAAAGGATAGCCCAAATCCAAAATGTCTCATCCCTGGAGAAAGGGTTCATGATCTCCAAGTGAAAGTGAAAAGAACTCATTTACTTTCAGTGATTCAGAGGATTGTATTTTCCCTATTATATTTATCTCTTTTGTTCTCTTCATTCACCAAGTTTACATGCAAACTATACAGTTAATCAAAGGGATTTCATACGTGTATCGGCACCTAGTAATCCTTAAAGGGACAAAGTGACAAGTACAAATATGAGAAAAAGCAAGGATGTTGGACGTGTATAGATGGCGATATGTGCCATAACCTTTTGATTCTTTCATTATATTGATTGATGAAATCATAGGCTACTGTTTTGAGTGCAGGACTACATAGGAAACATTAGGGCGGAGGTAGAGTTCGACGTATGTTTGGGGGGGTGGGTGGGAGAGGGGGGAAATCACGGACGTTGTGAATCTATCTTACAACGGTACGTCAGCTCTAAACAAAAATCATTGTCTAATTACTATAAAAACAGCAAAAAATGAAACTTCGACGACCTTAGACGACGCTTTTAGAAACATTGAGCCGTCTAAAGTAGAATACATATCAAAACTCCATACGTACCGCTGTAAAATAGATTAACTAGGACCCCATGTGTTAACTTACCGTTGTTTACAACGTCATCACCGACGTTGTTAAGACATACTACGTCATCTACAAACAAAAATCGACGTCTAATTACTATAAAAACAACAAAAAAGGAAAACTTCAACAACCTTAGACGATGCTTCCAGAATACCCGAGATGTCTAAAGCTGATTACATGTCAAAAATTACACACGCACCGCCGCAACACAGATTTACCACGACCCAAAGTGTTAACTTACCGTCGTTTATTTATTCGTCCACGACGGTCCATTAAAATAAACCGCCTTGTTAAGAATATTCCATGACGCCCATGATCACTACCGACATTCAAAAGCAATATTAACGTCCATAAATATGAAAAGAACGTAGTTATTACTATATACGACCACGCTATTGTTTCACAACCGATATCTAATTAATATAAAAAAACAGCAAAAATGCCGACTCTGATAAGCTTAGATGACTCTTTTTGGAAATCTATGATGTCTGAAGTCGTTAACATGTCACTGTTTTTTCCTTTACTGCTGTAACATTGAGTAACCACGACCCAAATATTACGTATCAGTCGTTCAAAACCGTTTTCATGGCAGTTAATGGAAATAAACCAAAGTGGTTAATAAACTGAACAACGTTTATTGAAAATAAACCATTGTGGTTAATCTGTCTACTACGGCCATAGTGTTTACCTAGTCGTCGTTGTTAGGACGCTTAACACAACGGGAAGAATATAAATATAGACGTGGTTCCTTTGGTACACGGAGCTTGTAACACCAATATTGTCATGTGTATTCTCTGAGATGACTGTAGTTATCATTTTACTTACGTTCAGAAGAGCTCTCACGACAAGTAGTAGAACTAAGAGGCCTTTTGTGGTTATTTTAGAGGACGGTAAATATTTATGGAAGGTCGTAGTGTTCTCCTAAAATTCGTTGGTTTGTGCAATTTATAGTCAAGTTATTACTTTTGAAATGTCGCTTCTATGAACATCTCCAACGTGAAATTTGAAAAGTAACAGCTTAATGTGACCATCGTTGTTGGTAGTTCATTAACCGACGTGTAATATCAATTTTAATTAACCAACATGTTTTTTATTTCAAATGGCAGTTTTTATTTATGTAAGGTAATTATATCATCCATTCCACGTCTTTTGTTAAAATACGACATTGGGTATGATTTAGACGTCTATTGTTGCAATTTGTTAATTGGACATTTTATTTTACATCTTGAACCCCGTATTTTTAATACTGGAATTATCGTGCCCAAAACCTGCATAATGAAAAAGTGATAAAAATGATGCCAAACATAACAATTTATTACAAAATTAATGTCATACAGAGCCATTAATTAATGTCATACAAGTAACTGAATAACTAATGTCATACATTACAATCAATCAATCCATATATCTTCCCGCCCATCTCTAATATTTTCACTCCCAAACTCATCCACTAGGTTATCATACATGTCAACATTGGGTATCCCTCTAGTAAATGGTTCACACTCAATTCTAATATCACCTAGCACATCATCACTAATAACATCATTATATTCTCTATTAGACATTGATAACACTATCGACCAACTATGATGCATTGGGTCATCAACAAAAAATATTTGTTTGACTTGAGAAGTCATAACAAATTGGTCATTCATATGTCTAATTTTACTCAGATCTACAAGGGTAAATCCAAGTCAACTACAAGGCCCAAAATGTTGTCTATCTAATCACACTTGAAGATTGAGATTCTAAACTTTTGGTAATCAAGGTCCTAAATTTTTTGAATGACACCATAAAAACCCAATTGTCTATCCTTGGCACTAGCAACTTGCATAGTATGTGCAAGTAAATAAACTCTACTATTTTGGACAGTTCACAATCATTTTGTGCCTTGGTGTTAAATTTAACACTATTAATAAGATAGCTCTTATATGATGGCACTGACATGCTTGAACCAGTTTCTAGCCACCTCAAATTTTATAATACGTCATTATTGTCTTCCCCATTAAGTTCACTTTGAACTTGCAAATTAATCATATCTTAATTCAATAACTAAAAAAAAAGAAAAAAAAAAAAAAAAAAAATAAAAAAAATCCAATAGTCAATATATTAATATA